AGCCCTAAGCCCTAAGCCCTAAGCCCTAAGCCCTAAGCCCTAAAATAGGTAAAAATAAATAGGCTTTATATTTAAGTTTATATATGATATAGGTAAGTATAAAAAATAAAAAAATAGTAAATACCCCTATATAGAGGTTATAGTATATGCCTGTTTTTAGCTAATAGAATATACCTTCTTTTATTATATTAATATTAATATTATAGACTTTATATATAATAGGTAGGGGGTAAATATACTCTAAGAAAGTCTTACTCTCTTAGATAAAGATAGTAGTAACTATACTAAGTTACTTCTAGAGATATATTATAAAATTACTATATAATATAAGCAGCTAATTAATTAAGGGTATATAAAGGATAGGTATATATAGCAGATTAATACTAAGATATAAACTAAGGATAATAAGGCCTACTTTAGCTATAGCTAAGCTAAATAGATCTACTAGTTTAGGGATATTTAACTAAATTTACCTAGCCTATTTTATAGCTCTACTAGCCTAATAACTACTTAATATATAAATATCCTACCTTAGTTTATTATAATTAGTAATAATTACTAGACCTTAGATATTATAGAGTTAGGTACCTAAGATAACCTTTTATATTACTACTAGGATTTCTACTTAGATACTAAGATACTATCTAACCTACTAAATAGTATATATAATAATTAGGTAGATTATATATTTCCTATAATTATATAGCTAAGATACTTAAAGGTAATTTTAGATATACTAATTAGCTAAATATAATAAGATATAGTAGATATATAGAAGGAGCTAGATATTTTATTTAGAGATAGTAATAATATAACTTAGGGTTATATATAATCTTAAAGATATAATACCTAGTAATTATATTATACTATATTTAAAAACCTTATAGTAGTAAAAAAGGAGGCCTTTAAAGAGAATTCCTATTTCTACTAAAAAGAATAAAATCTATCTATAATCCTAGAGTTTATCTATAATAATATCTAATATATTAAGTCCTAGTATTCTCTAGGTACTCTAGAACCCTTTAATTCTAAAGTAGATAGCCTTACTACTCCTACTAAAGATATAGAAGTTAATAAATTAATAGATATTAGTATTAAGGGGGATAAAACTTAGACCTTTAGACCTTTAATATATAGAAATATTATATAAATTAAATATTTAGTTATTAAGTTAATATAAACTTTATAATAATATAATAATATAGAAGTTATACTATTATAAATACTATTAGACCTTCTAGCTAGACTTTTTAATTATAGTTAGAAATTATACTTATATAGTAGTATTTAATAATAAGATACTACTATAAGTACTACTAGACCTTCTAATTAGACTTTCTAATTATAATTAGAAATTATACTTATATAGTAATAATTTATAACTAAGAGTACTAATAAGTATCTATAGTATATATAAATCTAAGAGATATAAGATAGTTAGAAATATAAAGGAATAGGATAGTCTAAAATATAAGATAAGGGGATAGTCTAAAATATAGATATCTTCTACTATATTTTTAACTAAGCCGAACTTCTATATTTTCGACTATTAGGTTCTCTAATATTTTTAACTAATATTAACTACTATATTTCTAACTATTAGATAATAATTAATTTTAAATTATAGTAAACTACTATATTTTAAGCTATATTCTACTTTAATAAATAGAAATTATAATTATATAGTAGTATTTACTAACTAAAAGTACTAAATAGTATCTATAATATATTAAAATAGAAATTTAATATTATCGAATTTCTAGGGGTAGGTAATAGCTAGAAATATAGAAGAATAGTATGGTTAAAAATATAGGAGAATAGGATAGTCTAAAATATAGACGACTTCTACTGTATTTTCGACTAATAATTCCCTTTTAGGAATTTTAGACTAAACGCTAACCTAATTCAGAATTTTGAACTAAAGCTACAAATCTAGTTAAAAAACTTCCAACCCCCACCATAAATTAAATAAAATAGGTAAAAATAAATAGGCTTCACATTTGAGTTTATATATGATATAGGTAAGTATAAAAAATAAAAAAATAGTAAATACCCCTATATAGAGGTTGTAGTATGTGCCTGTTTTTAGCTAATAGATTTTCTAGCAGTTTTGTAGGTGTAATCGCTTTTCGAGTTGTGCATATCAAAGTGTGGGCGTTTCAAAGAAGAAGAAAAAAAAGATAAGGGATATCCTAATGCGGTAATGGTCACCGACTGCCGTAGGCCCCATGGTCTCACAAGGTTAAAGTTCCCGCATGCATTAGATCGGGGAACCCTGCTAGGATGCGGGGATTGGTTGGGAAAGGTACTTAAAATCGATAACATTTGGTGGCATATCGCGTATTTTGTTCTGGGCAATGATAAAATGCTTTGACAGGAAAACAAAGCGATGAGCTAATCATGTCCAATCTAGACATATTGAATTCAATTGTAACCATACCTAATACTGATGTAACTTCAGCCTAGTGTTGAAGGTACATTACTTGCAATAAATGATTATGAGAGAGGCTCCTCCGTAAGGAATTTGGCCTGTTGTAAGACGCTGTGGACGGCTAAGTGTTGCCGAGGTCGCGCAGCGGATAAAATCCAAGTGTCGGACTTTCGACCGTGATTCACTTTGTGAAATATGGAAAGAGTCTCTATGGCAGAATTGCTTGATGAGAATGTTTCGATCAATTGGGCAATATCATCGAGGATCGGCTGTGCCAAGGCTAGCCCATGGAAAAATCTCTTGATAGCCGCCAGGCATAGCTCCGCCCGACTCACGGCGAATTCAAGGCTAAGAAGATCTGGCTCAGTCGATGAATGAGCGATAAACAGAATCAATCGAATGGCGTGATAAACGCACACTCCTGTAGCAAATTCAAGCAGCCGGGGCTTGGTACAAGTCTGATTCAAGTCGCAAAACAAATTGACGACTGACAGTGCATGTTTAATACAGGTTCTAGTCGCTATATGAACAAACTGCGCATCAATGGTACTCAAAACCACAGACGGCGGAGCTTCAGGGTACCCAGGGAGGAAAATCCGATAGAGGTCAAAATAGCACCCATGCCACAAGGTAAACATCATGATGTGACGAGGCAGCCAAGGACTTTCAATCAAATTCTTCAGCCCCTTGGTCGAGATTTCCGCTTGGTTTGGCATTTTAGTTTTGAGTTCACAGAGTATATCCTCGAGGCCCCCAGTCACATCTTTGAGATGCAGGTAAGGTTCGCTGCAAACAGCGAGCTCCCGTGTCAACTTCATAATGTCCCTGCGAACAGAGGCCAACCGAATACACATATTCAGTGACCCTAACTCATTTTGATCTCTCAACGCGTAGATGACAAAATCTTCAGAGCCGGGGGGACATATCAAACCAAACGAGTCTTCCGATGACGGAGGGTGTAAGTAAATGCACTCAAAGGGGCAGACTTCAAATTCTGTCAGTCCAATAGAAAAATAGGACTCAAGCAACTTGAAGCACCATACAGTGCGGCGCCTGATCTCCTCAAAAATAGGATCCAAGTGTGTTTGCTCATGATTAAGACCCATTGCAGATGCTGCGCGGGCGGCTATAGCAGTCAACATGAATGCCTTTTCATAACTCCCTGTAGTCATGCGATAGCTGACAGTCAATAACAGGGCTCGCAGTCGAGACATTGATGGATTTTCCAGACACTTCCAGATGGTCTCTTCTGCATTCGACACCCATGTGTCACTCTTCTCCCGGTCAATGACCACATTGTGCACAGGCACGTGCAACGAGGTCAAGGCACAAATGGCAAGAACTAGCGGTCGCTCTAGTGTACCTTCGTCACATTTCGCTAAGGTCACGGAAGGATGCAAAAATGCATAGGAAGGAACTGGATAGAGATGCTCGAAGAAGTTTCGGACGAGTTCTGTCGCTTCACTCTGTGACGGATCTCCCTGGGCGCTTTCTTTGCTTAGATCTGGCGGCAGTGAGCCGTCGCCAACTGAAACTTTGTCATTTGCCGGAAAGGCGGCATCAGGGCCTCGAGATCTCGGCGGTGGAACACCAGGTAGATCATGTTCCCCACGTTCACCATCTCCCCCGGAGGTTGCATCACGTCGCTGCGCTACCATCGATGCAGGGTACAAACAAGGCCTGGTATATTTGATGCAGTTGGCACACTGTGGGTGTGTATTTGAGCAGCGGATCTTCCGAACGCGACATTGTGAACATGAACTCCGCCCCCGTAGCCGCTCGGGTCTTTCGTCAGTGTGTGGACTGGATCGCGCACCAGCCACTAGAAGCGATTCACCCCGCGGGGTAAAAGAACACTGGAAGCCCAGGCGCTCGCAGTTGCGGCAAGAAGAGAGTCTGCCATCACAGCCAACCTGATAATTGGTCAGTAATTCACTTCGATATCTCCTGAATACTATCGGGGAATACCTTCCGAGCTCGGCACTGTTGGCAGACCTGTTTCACTCGAGGGCTTTGCGATTTGAAAACGGACAGATAAGGTAGTATCGTTCTATCGGCAGTCGGCATTGTGGAAGTCACCTAGAAGATAATAAATCATTAATCAGAGTCCCCATAGTGTTGAGGTTGCAGAGTAACATTTCGATAGTCTCGGTTCCCGAGGTCATTTAAGTGGATGGGAGCACATGGCTGGTGGGGGTGACTAATCCAAGTCGAGGCAGACTGACCGACATCCGTCTTCTTCCAATGAATCTCCGACAGCCGTCTTGTCCGGGGAAACCGTCGAAACATCTGGGTCTTATCATCATGTAGCATTGAATTTCCAGAGGATTGTGTCGCGTCGAAGGCACAATCCTTGGCTATTAAGACACAATGCCCAGGCATCCATTTCAAAGATTGCGAGTGCATAGTTGACAATTTCGTCTTTCCTACGCAGAGCCCCCTGCCAGCCTCTCAGTCTTGCCCTGTTTGCACCCGCTAACACTGAAGACCAACATGGCCGCTAATATAGGGTCGAAGCGACCCAACATTATCTTCATTATGGCTGATGACCACGCCTCGAAGGCCATATCCTGCTATGGAGCTGGAATCAACCAAACGCCAAACCTCGACCGGATCGCCAACGAGGGGATACGCTTCGATCACTGTTATGTCACCAACAGTATTTGCACGCCATCGCGAGCAGCCATCTTGACCGGCATGCACAACCATGTCAATGGCGTGATGTCCCTCCATTCGAAAATCCAACGGCACACTCCGAACGTCGCGAAACAACTACGAGGGGGTGGCTACCAAACCGCCATGATCGGCAAGTGGCACCTGGGGGAGGGGAAATTACATGAGCCCACGGGATTTGATTTTTGGTCTATCCTCCCGGGTCAAGGCGAATATCATGACCCCGAGTTCATTGGTCCCGATGGTACACATGTCATGGAAGGATATGCTACGGACATCATCACAGACATGACTCTCGATTTCATCAAATGTCGAGACCAAACCAAACCGTTTTTCGTTATGTGCCATCACAAGGCGCCGCATCGGAGCTGGGAATACCAGGAGAAGCACAAGGATTTGTACCAAGATTCCATCCAGCTACCTGACACGTTCTCAGATGACTACAAAAACCGAGCAAAGGCTGCCGCAATCGCTAAAATGCGTGTTTCGGAAGACCTGTCGTACAAAGACCTTGGCCTCGCGCAGCCTGATGGTGATCAAAGGAAGGTCGGAGAGAAGATGGCCGGTGGTATGCGGAAGGTTCCCTCACCTTCCACGGACGAGGAAGTTCGAAAGATCACGCTCATTGACAATGAAGACGGCACCGTCTTCCGTTTTGGATCCAAAACGGAACTGGCTGAGTTCAAATTCCAGCGCTACATGCAACGGTATCTCCGTACCGTTCAGAGCATTGATGATAATGTCGGCCGAATCTTCGAGCTGCTCGATTCGGATACCGAGCTGGCGGATAACACAATTGTCGTCTATACATCAGATCAGGGATTCTTTCTTGGTGAACATGGATGGTTTGACAAGCGGTTCATTTACGAAGAGAGTTTCCAAATGCCGTTGATGATTCGTTATCCGAAAGAAATCAAGCCTGGCACTGTCTGCAGTGACATTGTCTGCAATGTGGATTTTGCGCCCACGTTTTTAGATTTTGCCGGCATCACCACGCCGACGTATATGCAGGGCCGAACGTTGCGCTCAATTTTGAGGGGCAATTGCCCTGCGGATTGGGATCAACTGGCGTATCATAGATACTGGATGCATAATGATGCCGAACACGAAGCGTATGCGCACTATGGAGTGCGCAATCATCAATACAAGTTGATTTATTGGTATAATGACGATTTGCTCGTCGATGGAGCGCGGCCAGGAGGCGAGGATTGTCGTGAATGGGAGTTGTTTGACTGTCAGGAGGACCCGCTTGAGTTGTTCAATTGTTATGCTGATCCAAAATATGGGGAAGTCGTGATCGAAATGACAAGGTTACTGGAGAAGAAGATGATGGAGATCGGCGACGAACCAGCCCATGAGAAACTTACAGTCCAATAGATTACTACCTGTTGTACTTCAATATTATAGAATCCTTTTGATAGAGACTTCCATCTGCTAGGTCCAATTTTGCTCATCTTCTTCCGTGTTCGAAATAACAGCATGTTGATTTAGTCGATCCTGCTACAGCTTGATTGGTTTCCTTCAGCCGTGTCGATCGAGTCGAGTTCCAACCAAACCTGATCACCGATCGCTTTAATGGGGCATGGCTCCTGTTATAGTGGCATTTATGGCTGAGACGAGTCCAAGTTGAACAAAGCTGGTCTTTCCTCGTGGCAACGGGTCGTATTTCCTCCCAAGGTCTCATGGCAGTGGGTGATGGTGTATTCATATGGATCAAGTTCCTACTTTGGATTTTCCAAGCCTGGTGCGATCTGCTCTCCTAGTAACCAAAATTCATTGGAGACATTTGGGAGCGAGACTGCGGTTCTAGACTGTCATAGAGTGAAGATTATATTTCAATAAAAGTTCGGGGTCGCAAATTGTCTCTCAGAACCTCACTAGACGTCATACATATGGTACTAGTCTGTATGCTATATGTACATGGTGTATCTTCATTCAGAGGATATCTTACGATATTTACTATACTTCTAACTTGTCGGCTGGTGTGCTTTGTCCTGTTCAATTACAAATAGAACGAAAACTGTCCCAAAAAAGCCCCAAATTAGATTAGATCAGCTCAATTTTTCCTAAACTACCATTCAAGAGTATTAGATCTCCCACTACATGCTAGTTCCGCACAGAAATCAATATCCTCAGCAGTGGCTGAACCCGCAGAGCTCTGGCGAGCTGGCCAAAGTTCCTTTTTCTCGCGTGTTTCCTCATCTCGGTGGGTCCTAAGAAGGCGTCTCACGGTGTTTTGGAAGAATAAAGGACCGTTCTCGAGGTCTAGGTGAAGTTGTCCATGGACACAGACTCCTGCATCTGGATTCTTTTGAGCTGCATTACAAAAATGTTTGTCCTTGTTTAAAACTCGCTTGAAAAATGAGTCAATATACTCGAAGTCTTCATCGGAGGCTTTCCTATGCCGATAGACCTCGTATTCCATGGAGCAAGTCCCCACAGAAGTTGGAACGCATCGCATCAGATAGAAAAAGTGCGGTCTATAGTGAAAGATATTCGTTCTCAGTGTTGGGCATTGAGATTAAGGGAACTCACGAAACTGTCATGCAAGCATTTGGAAAATAATATGTGCTGGCATTCTTGATGTCGTCTTCCACTTTGTCTTCCTCAGGGCGGGAGAAATGTTAGAGATGTCCAGGTTTTGAGACTGTGTAGTAGTATGACAGATCGGCGAGCTTTGCCACATCCGGGTGGGCCGCAGTGCAATGATAACATTCATTGTAGTTGTCTGCCATGTGTGGTGAAATTTATACTGGCTAAGATCAAATTGCTCGAACCTTTCTTCTTCTGTGTCGACACCTTTGAAGTCGTCTTCCCAGGGGATTGGTGTTGTAGAGAAGTCGAGATTAACCCATATGAAACCTAGCATGTCAATATAAATATGAACTGGAAATAAGTTCTGCTCTTCTTTCTTGAATCCCTGTACATCGTCAAATTTGGGCGCTTTGGCTAATTTTCCATTGAGTTTAGGGCTTTCCATAAACGTAATTTGTAGTAATCAAAATCCATTTCTTTGAGAAGATAGCCCTTCTCTCTCCAACTCTTATATCTCTGGCGAGCGGTACCAGGACGCCGGGGGAGCTTTAAGGGGTTATTTTGGGGCCTTTGGTGTTCCGGGGCCATCGGTTGCTGTCACAGATATGCAAAGCGGTACCAGAGTTACCCAACAGTCAGTATAACTACACTATGACTACAACCTATATATACTATACATCCATACATAATGCACAACTACGTTCACAAGGTATCCCTCAATATAATCAATTTACCTGACCTCTTTCATTATTTCTTTAATATTGTAACCGACTATGTACTCCGTATAACGTAGTCAATTAATTACGCAAGTATTTTTCCGAACAACGCCGATGAACTTCCCAGAAATAACTCCCCCTTTTTATTCAAAGCAACTCTTTATCTTATGAATTCCAGCTCTCAAAATCCACTTTTGCCACTTGATTTTCTTTAATTGCTAGGTATACTCCGAGTCATGATCAGACCCACTTCAATCCACCATTGATTTTTATTTATAAAAAGAACCCCTTCTAGTTGTTTAGTGTGGCGGTTCTGTCATCATCAAGGGCACTGATTGGGCACTGATGCCCTGGGTGCGGTGGATACATGTGTAGATACCACCAATCACGCACGTTTACGCAAACCAGAAACGCGATGCAGTCACAGTTTAATTAGCTCAGAAGCTTGACCATGCAAAGCGTGGCAAATAGTGGAGGTTGTTTTAAAAACCTGCTAACTGTGCGCACTCATAGTTCGGAATTCACTTAGTTGTATGTTGTACAACTAGGTGAATTTGCCTGCATTTGCTGTTCGTTTTTTGCAGATTTGCTAATTTTCAAATGACATAGGGGGGATACCGAGATATCAGTTCTCCATGTAGCGACCCGTTCATTATACAATGAGGTTGCAATGTCGGACATCAGGGGTCCCCGTGGAATACTGTGCGATAAAGTTGCAACACAGCCAACAGATATGGCTCGGGAGCTTTCTGAATGAATTCATACCGCAGAAACTAACATATTGTAATTGCGCGGGCTGGCTTTCCTGATTCTGTGTATATATAGAGTGGCGATCACGAAATGGAATTCGGCTCTGGTCTCCCGCACATGTTTATGTTGTCTCTTTTACCTGACGTGCCCTTCCCCGCTGACAGATCACATTGTATGTTGTAGACAGCAAGATTTAGCAACTTACAGGCCCACCTAAGAAATCTAGGCTTGTGAAACGGGTATGACGGCACACACGCTCGAGGGTGTCAAAAACACTTGTACGAGGAAAAGCTTTTGCGGAGCCCACTCGGTGGACCAGGACAGGAACCGCCAAATGCCGTCAACCAGTTACATACCTACTCCACCACCCTATATAGGGCACGCTAATTGAGGAGTTCAATGGGGGCGGTTCCACCTAGGAAGCTTTTTCTTTTTCTTTTTCTTTTTCGGTAATGAATAGGTCAATTATTCCCCCCTGGTTGAAGCCTTTCCTTCTGTCCTTCTCGTTCTCTGTTTTGTTCAATTTGCTGCCTTTTTCTTGGCTGGAATACCTATACCATCTCAACTTGGCCGATTACCCGGGTAGATCCTGTCAACTAACGCGTAGTCAATATGGATGGGGAGAGTGGTCGTGCGAGGGCGATAGTGAGTTGAAGTTTGTTCACGGAATGAAGTTAACATCTAACCGTCTCATATTTTGTAGTCCGATGCTCAGCCCCCACTGTCACCGGGTCAGAACCGAGATGCCAGCGATACGGACTATATCTCACCCACGAGAACCACCGGTGCCGATGAGGGTGGTGCCCGGCAACGTAGCTCGTTTGCCTCAAGACGCAGTAGTGAGAGCAGAGTGCCCAGTTTGGCTCCCCGCACTACTCTCGCGGAGCGTACGCAGGGTAGGTTCACCCTAGCTGGGCCGGATGAGACGCCCCAGCTGCGTTCGGCTCAGGAGCCCTTCGTCCAGCCGGGCTATGCGGATCTGAATCCATCTTATGAACAGCCGTCCAACACCAGACCGGTCTGGTCACTGGCCAAGCCGTTGCCACGTGTGGTGCGGCCAGGAATGGTGCCGACCAAGCAAGAGCTCTTGCAGAACTTAGCAAATGCCCAGCGTCCCACGGAGAACTCGGACAGACTCAATCTCGACGTCGACGCCAATGATATCGAGCAGGGTCGCATTGATAAGACCGCTGACCCGCGGAAGATGAACGCGCAGGTCGACGATGCTCGTTTGCAGCGCGAGACCAATTTTATGAATAAGATACTCTCCGGTGATGGGAACTCTGTCAGACAGACATCGCGCTTGTCGCGCTCCATGTCGGTCCGGCGAAGACGGCCTACGATCGGGGATATGACGCAAGGCCAACTGTCGGTTGTACAGGAGGGAGATTCCCAGCATGACCAGGAACCAGGGGAGCGGCCGGAGGTCGGTGACGAACCACTAGGAGGAGATGAAGACCTGGGTGCGACGCTGGAACAAATTTTGAGTGCCCATGAACTAGAAAAGTCAGGTTTCCCCGACGACATGCACCCGCTCGTGCAGGATTTGATCGAAGATGAAGTGCATAACAACCACACCGTCTGGTCTGTTATCCGTACACACCACCGTGAGGCTTTCGCTGAGGCCCTAGGTGTATTTGTTCAGCTCACCCTAGGTTTATGTGTCGACCTGTCTGTCACTATCGCCAATCAGGGTAACCCCAACACTACCTCCTGGGGCTGGGGCCTAGCAACTATGATGGGCATCTACATTTGTGGTGGTGTTTCCGGTGCCCACCTGAATCCTGTTGTTACTATGGTACTATGGTTCTTCCGTGGTTTCCCTAAGCGCAAGATGCCTGAGTACTTCGCCGCTCAGTTCTTAGCCGCCTTTTTAGCTGGTCTTGCTGCGTATGGTATCTATTACCAATCCATTCAGAACTACCTCCACCTCAATACAGAGACCGGCATCATCAATAGCTTCGTGACCAATTCACGTGAGGCATGGATTGGTCCTGGGACAGCGTTCTTCAACGAGTTTATGGGTACAGCCATTTTGATCGTCACCGTCCTGGCTCTTGGTGACGATCAGAACTCTCCACCCGGCGCTGGTATGAATTCGCTGATCATCGGGCTGGTCATTACTTGTCTGTTGATGTGCTTTGGCTACCAAACCGGGGCGGCACTCAACCCGAGTCGCGACTTTGGTCCTCGACTTGCGCTTCTGGCTGTGGGTTTCCCCAATACCCTGTTTACTGACCCATTCTGGTTCTATGGACCTTGGGCTGGGACTCTAAGCGGTGGGTTTTGTGGCGCCTTCCTATATGACTTCTTCATCTTCACCGGTGGTGAGTCGCCTATCAACTACCCACTCGAGCGCACCCAGCGTGCCATTACCAAGAGTAGAATGAAGTGGAAGCGTCGACTGCATCTGAACTAAGACTGCGGTTCCAAGGTCAAGTGTTAAATATTGTGTTCTTTGTCCTATGATTTTTGCGGGGCTCCTGTCTTAGTGTTCGAATTTTGCACATGATGCACATACATTGAGGGTTTGCCTACTCGCATGCAGGCTGGCAGACCTCACCTCTCTTTGCTACTTTGTGGCCTTCGGACCTTTGTTGCTTTGTCCCCTTGTCTCCATAAAGCTTTTTAGAGATGTTCATGGCAGTAGTTAGATCAACATCAGCAATTATCATTACTTCTGTTGATCATCTCTTGTTTGTTAGACATGTAGAGTACCGTAGTACCTACATCCATCATCAGTACATTGGTGCCTTGGGACATTATGAATATGTCCGGTCGAAGATATTAAGATTATACAAGGTATCCTAAATCAAACGCATGTCAGGCAGTGTACAATCCAGGTACTTCATATTGCAAAGATACTCGGGAAATGTAACCCTCATTAGCACTTGTCCTGCATGTGTCTTGCATATGAAAGTTTCCAAATAGATCTAGCACGAATCCTGTCATATAACAGGTAATACTGTTGTGATATGAGGCTAGTGCAGACCAAGAGCAAAGCCTTCGAATACTTTGTATGTTGTGGATTCGCAAGGAGGTGATGAATACAATTGCTCGGCGACTTGGCAACATATTAATATTCCCAAGGTCAGCAATGTAAGGTAACCATAGGTGCCAGTCAAACTTCCCGTCGGGAAGTATCCGACCGATTTTTTGTTCCTGCTAGAATCACAAGCTCACCTCCCCCTGGAGCTGGTGTTTGAGATATGGACAGTACCAACTGCATCACTCGAAATCGAAAGCGATATTGCTATTTATTCAATACCTAGCGGAGGTATATGTTCAAAGATTACTAAATTGCGTGCATAACTCCCTATCGGAGCAAGAAACACGAGTTGACACTATCAGCCACCATATCGACAATATCGAATCTTCCCTGTAGGAATCGAATGATCGCCCAGCAAGACTACAGATTCGGTACTTCACCGCGCGTCATATCATACATACACAGACCATTTGTTTTCTTTGTTGTGACAAGTGATGTCATCTGCGTATTCCATGATGTTGGTTGTTGAGAAGGCCAATATTTACATCGATAGCTGCTGATGTTATATTCGCAGCACGGCTCGAATCCTGAAACCCCCGAGCCAATACAAGTTAAAATTCCCTTCAGCTATCGTATGTCACATAGATTGAGGAGTGCTTGACCTATGCTGGCAGGTAATCTTCCAGATCTCTCGGTGCCATTGTGATCCTAACGTTCAATTCACCAATCCTGTTTTGCAGCATTTGGTGACAGATATTGACGCACTACAAAGCCTGGCCTTGAATTATGTCCGACGATGGGATTTCTCCAGTCATGAAGCTATCATAACTTCATTTGAAGACGTCTAGAGAAAACGAAGACTTTCCACGCGTATGAATTGGTGATAAGTCACGAGTCAGCAACAGTTGATGCCATGAACCTATAGGGCCTAATGCCACCGATTCAACCCACCGGAAATTTTCCGTATCTATAATCATACTCCTGTGATAGCCAAATGAGTGACACTTTTTCCTAGGTCGATCCAGTTGTACCTCCAGGTCTATTCTCCATGTCATAAGTCAGTTCGTACATGGTTTTACTTACGAAGCATCGAGCGAATATTTTGAGGGCCATATAGATCAGTTCACTGCCCTAGCCTTTGCTATATGCCTATGGTAAAATTGCATCAGCACCAATAGGTGAACCTTTAGCTTACGATGCCATCTCCAATCAGAGTTCAGTTGGTTGTTTCCAGTTAGATATAAGAATGTAAGTCGTTATTACCTACATACACAGCATACATGTCATGCGACCCTATACCATCTCGGCACGCAGGGAATCGCAGGTCAATTTCAAAAGAAGTGATTGTACCGTCTTGCCACTAGAATCGAGGGGCTTGGGATTGGTAAACCGACCTTTTGACAAAGCTCGCTGTCAGCTGAGAGACTTTAAGCTTAGAATTCTGCTACATAGACTTCTCTTGTCATTGAAAGTAAAGGCTTCAGCGGAGAATAGAGCTGTAAGTGCCGTGGCGATACAAGCGTGAAATGCCAACTTGCAGATCTAGCGGGCTTTCGAGCATAGTATAAAACTGCAAAGGTTGCTTGCATGATCGACATACTTAGATGTTAGTAGTCTTACGCGTAGTTATGTAAATTGGATGATCATCATCACTACCATTCGACGGACCCCCTAAGTAGGAGAAACAAGTGGTGATTGGTGGATCAAAATGTGCTATGTTGATAAGGTAGTTGGAGATGCACACACCAACCGGTATCTTGTTGAAGCCGAGTGCTGATCCCATTGGCAGTCTTCGTGCAGAAGTGTCATTGACCTGCCCCCTAGAGGTTCGTATGGTCCGGTTTAGTTCTGGTACCTGTTCACTCACATGCACATTCACATGTTTTATTCAACAGCATAGAAGACGTTTGTTTAAAACCCTTGTGACATATTACAGAAGAACCAAAAGGAAGAAAAAGAAGAAAAGGAGAAATTAGGATTTTCGAAAAAGCAAGCGCCCGGGACACCTTGCGGCCTGACAGATCAGACCTCCACAACAATGTTCAGTCCCTTCGCAAATCAACAGCTATACAGAGTAAAAATTATCAATGATCGGTATATATAGCCGATATTATTCACTTCTGGTAATTATGTCGTGCTACAAATTAGGCAAAAATGACCCGAGTTTCTCGTGTCGATATTAAAGACATTAGATTGATGAAGATGACAACACTGTGTTTAATATATTTCTCTCGTGTTGGAAAAGCTCACAGGTGATATTGGCGAGGATTCTCAACTGAGATACCCAGCCTCTCCCACATAGCTTCTACATTCATATCCTCTCGGCCGCTGGTGAAGATGTTAGCTTCTCCCGAGGTGATGCAAGGAAATAATGAACTTACTCATCCTTTGCGTTGATCCAAGGCTCTGTCTGACCCTCTGCAGTATTGGGATTGCGGAAAATCACGTTGTGTTTCTGATAACAGTTAGCCCAGTCAAATCTTGTCAAGGCCGAAAGGCTTGGTTGACTTACCATGCCGAGTGTCAAATGAATGGCCCCAGGTCCCTTGACAAATTTATCCTCAGCAGTGCGGCCTTCAATCAAAGCCTGAATGTTTTTCGCAACAACTGTTGCCTGTGCCGAGCCTGGCCGAGCTGCCTTTTGGGCACCGGTATCTGCAATATCACCCACCGCAAACAATGTCGAATATTGCTCATCCAAGAACTGCATAGTGGGTCTAACCCGAATAAACCCATTATCCGGATTGACGACCGACTCGCCGTCCGGGCGGGAAGACTTCAAGTCAGCCACCAGTTGATTATTTGGGGTTTGTCCGGTGGCTAAAATGACGAATTGAGTGGACTCAGTGGTACCGTTTGTGAGCTGAACACCGAAGGTGCTGCCATCGTTGGGGAATCCACCTGGTGGAACAGTGACTCGAGAGCTAGTGATGAGACGGATCCCCAGCTCATCAAATCGCCTCTTAATAAGGTCATGAAGTGCAGAGTGAAAGCTCGGCATCAAGTGTGGCCTCGATTGCACCACGGTCACCTCCTTCTCTGGATAATATTCTTTTAGGTCGGTCGCCATTTGAACACCGACGGCACCACCACCGACAATCAGAATCGACTGGGATTTCTTAACTCCAGCTTGATGCTTTTTCAGATACTCGACTGACGATGCCTTGTCATCATCGTCCATAGCTGCAGGCTTTGAGAGACGCGTTCCAGTTGCAAGAACCACATAATCGAATGGAACTTCTTTCGAGCCCTGCCATTCACGGTCCAACTCAATATGGGTGGGCTTAACCGACAAAACGCGAGCCTGGATTACGCCATGGGAGGAGGAGTTGGGCGACGCATTGAAGATTCCAGTGTAGGGAATAAACGATTTATGCTCCTGTCCTGGAACGATTGCAAACCGAGGCTATGGGCCATATTAGCTCGGATGACTTTTTGGAATGAACGTCCACTGGTTTCGAAGTCAACTTACGAACGTAAAAAGATGGTGGAAGTGGCTATGAGGCTCGGTCAAGAGAACCTGCACAAAACATTAGCTTCATCTTCAAGGTAGTCTCCGTCAATGGTAGCTTACCCGGTGTGTTGAAGGCACGATGCGTGCGAGCTCCTGAGCTGTGGTCTGTGTTGGCATTATCAGTTACACTCTCTTGGGCAGCAGAAAGACATCTGGAACTCACACGTCCGACGAACGATCCACCAACAACAATAATATTCCGCAGTGAGGTTGCCATTTTGAAAATTGAAGTTTTGAGGGGGAAGTTTCAAGGTTACCCCGAGAAACCTATATAAATACCTAGTCTAGACCCTTTTATAATCTGATCAGATTATCAGATTAACTCCGAGGCCAATTCCCCCATTAGGCTGATCCCGAGCCAGCGGAGTAGTTTATATCCGCCGAAAACCGAACGCCACCTCCAAGTCCCGGCATCCGATCTGAAACACGTCAATTGCCTGGGATTACCTGGAACGAATGTGCAAATTGGAAGCGATCTCGAATAAATGCCGGGTTCCTCGGGTACAAGTTGACCCAAAAGAGACAATACACTTACGTATGAATTTAGCAGCATATGATTGTGGAGTAGACTAAGAGACACTTGTTTTTGATTGAGGAAAGGTAAAATTGCCAGTGTGTGCATTCAACTACTCAAATACTGGAACATTGTCCCCATCGAAATTTGTAAAGAATAGGGAGATCGTCCAGCGAAGCATGATGTGAAGAAAAAGCCAGCCACTTGGGCAAGAAACAATTTGACTAGATGCCTGGAACCAGCCTCAAGACTCTCGCCAGATAGAAAGTACCTCCTAGATCGTTTACGCAGGGTGCCAGGTGATGGTCTTCGCAAGGGGTCCACCACGGTCATAGGTAGCCAGCACGTTGTGGTGATCCAATGCCATGATACCAGGCCAGAAACTGGAGGCCGGGGAGATAAGGGTTGGCGAGCTCCATTGAACACGGCCTTCAACTGGCTGGCTAGCAAACACGACCTTGATCGAGGCATTCTTTACCCATTCCACGTGGTTGGAGTCTTCGTCTGTCATGAATATTGTCGCCATAGATCCATCCGCGAAAGAGGCAATTTGGGGAGAGCCTGCATTATGACCTTGTCGTGGGCGGAAAACTTCATGGCGCCAACCCCAGGTGGCACCGTCATCATAGGATAGAAGCGCTTCAACACTGAACGGTCCGTACCGGGTAGTCTCGAATACCATGAGAAGAGCCTCGCGACCGTTATCAAAAGTCCGTGCAATGCCGCACATTCCATCGCGAAGCGGATCCTGATCGCCATGCAGGCAGGTCGGTTGAGTCCAGGTACTTCCTTGATCCCGCGAGACGACTAGCATGGTGCATTGGTTGTTATGTGCGAATTCCTGTGAGAAATAAAGTTGCACTTCACCTTGGCGCCCGACGCGCATAAAGGGTTCCCAAATGCCCAAAGGAGGGCGCTTCTCAGCTGCCTGTGAAGCAAATTGCCATACCCGACCTCCATCCGTAGACCGGCAGACAGTGATGCGGAAGTGCGTGGGACCATTTGGACCCATGTCGTGATTGCGGAAAGCCGCCAGTATTGTTCCCGGGGCCACCTCACACAAAAACATGTTATCCACATCACCAGCAGCGCGTGTTACCTCGGAGAAGTCCTCAAACGTCAGGCCGTTATCGGTACTTTTTGCGACGCGAAGTGAGCGCTGTCCATCGGGAAATCGGGTAAAGGATGAGAGAATGGTACCATCTGAGAGCCTGCAGAGACGAGGGTATGTGCCATTGTTGGGAGGTGAAGACAATCCGCGTTCATCGTTGTTCACGGCTGGTCTGCCTGGAAGCCGAACGGCCGAAGAGTTCTGTTGATGAGCATGATCGTTCAGGCCCAAGGTCTTGAGTACCTTTTGGCCGAAGTGTCCAGGCATTGTGATGTTGGAAATTTGAGAGTGTGACAAAAACTTGACCTGCAAGGCTGCAACATTCTGTTGCTCAAATGCGCGGAGAGACATTAGCTGTGTGACGTCAATGGCCGATCCTGCTTACCTAAGTATTATTTTTTATCTCTATTGATGCCTTAGGTGTCGAAGGACACTGAACCAGTGTAAGAGAGCTTAGTGGAAGTTCAGTCGCTTGAAGCACTCCGACCCCAACATGGCAGTTTTTCCTGTCCTTGAATTTCACCGTCGCCCGTTGCATTACATACACCATGACATATCTATGTATTTGATGCACTTCGCAAATCCGCCGAGTTTCACCACTAAATATTCAAGTAAGACATACGTCCGTGCAGGCTCTCCGACTTGCCCAACTCAATACAGATGAATATCGACTGCAATATGCGTGGCACTTATCAGTATTCTGCATCTGGGCTCAGAGAAGCGGTTTCCAATCTTCGTTTGTGCTCCCAATGAGTCCTCATTGCAACCAGACCGAAGTCATCTACCAGCTCGGCCTGGTCAAAATAGCTGTGAAGAAACAGATGCAAGCTCAAATCCACAAACTGGATCAAGTCACAGATATGTACTACTGTGGTATATACTACGATCTTCGCAATGGGCTGTGCATTTCCACGCCAGATGATCACAGCATATCCCAACGCGACGGTGTACTCGGAAAACGTCATGGAGATCAAAGAAATCAACCTAGGAATGGCTTATAATGGTGTTCATACGGATATCCTTTGCACTGAGCTCAACTTCCTTGTCTTTCAGAGTGGTACCAATGTACACACTCCATTCTTATTGCTTGGTTAATAATATATCGGTTGTCGCTCTGCAACATTTGTCAATGGGCGTGGTGCGAGCGTGACCTTTCCGGGTACCAAGAGAAACTTTACTTACACATGCACCGGGTTTTCGTACAATGTGATTTCGAAGTCCGAGAGAAACCTCTCTATTGCGAACCCGGTGGAAGCGAACAGAGAAGCCTTGAGCATGGCTGACACGGCTGCACCGAGGGCCTGGTCCCTCAAATGGCCTTGTTGGAATCGTGCTAAGCTAGCGAATCCGGGAGGAGGTGGATGTCTCGTGGAACAAACATCAGCATGACTACAGGTACATGTGCAAGATATTTGGACTTGTTTCTCGCTGGATGCCTCCGTCTTCATAGGTCCTTTTTTTTAAAAAAAGAAAAAAAGAAAAGGCCAGTTCTACCTTGTTTGATCGAGACCATGAATCGAGTCTTTCCAAAATACACAACATAGGGTTCATGGAGCAGCTTCCACTTGAGCGAGGCCACTATTTCACTTTCGACCGTATGAGAGAGAGGGAAAGTTGATATCCTTGCGTGATTACTTCGCTCACACGATCTGCGGCGTGAAAGATGACGACTAAGATTTTGTCTCCTCATAGAGAGATGATTGCAGTCAGGGTTAAAGTGCTTGATGGGTCAAATTATCTAATAAGCTATCCAAAACATCCAATTATCCCGGTATTCCCGTAAACTCTCGTTCTTCATCAGCTTCGAACATCTTCAGTGATTCTGTCAATATGTCCTCAAACTACTCATCAAGTTTTCCTCCTATTCCTCGAACGAGATCTTGACAATCTTTGCAGGCTCGATGAATGAGCCCAAAACAGGCGCAATTTGACCACCGTTGGTGCCAACATAGAGTGTCTGTCGATCTTTGCTCAATCGAACCGAGCTTGGACCTGCCAGTCCCGTAGATACTTGGCCACCTGTAACGAGAGATATCTGCCCAGAAGGTGTGAGGCGCACAACTGAGTTCTGGGGAGCTGTCGGAATATACGCAGTGCCATCCGCGGTTATCTCAATGTTGTCCGGTAGGAATCCACTAGCAATAACCTCGAAATCTCCGATTGGTTTCACATCCTCGTCCACCTTGACCCTGCAATATACCATTCGTGTCGTGCCGGTATAGTACACATAGTCACCAAAAACTGTAAGGGCATTGACACCAAGAGGAAGAGCCTGGCCCTCCGCCGGTGCCATTGTAGTATCATTCAGTGCAACAGAGTAATCCCCTGTTTCGGTATCGACCTTCCATATTATCCCCTTGGGGCTATCGGCAATGAGAACCAAATTTGACCCGCGTGAGAAGGTGGCCATTCCATTCAAAGCTTCAGCGTCTGGCATTGCGACGATCTTCGAGGACTTTGGTGATTCCAACACGCGCTCGTTCTCCCCAGCATCCATCTTGGTGAAGTCTAGTTTATGAACAGAGAACGAGCCTGGACCTGGCTGGAAGGTTTTGGGAGAGAAATTACCAACAACAACTGCGAAGACATCGTCGTCGATTTCACTGATTCCGAAGCAGCTCGTGACGTTGGGGAATGAGTAGGCGAGGGTCGCGTTTCCGCTTGTAGGATTGAAAAGCCAAACTTCAGGGGTGTCCAGACGCGTGAGAAGAAGGTTTCCGTCTGATCGAACTACCATATTGTCGATCCATGAGCCATTGTTGGGAAATTGAAAGAGGGTCTCGACTTTCACATTCGGTTGCTCATTGCGGTAGGGGGTTGCCGATGTCTTTTTTGTGGTATCGAAGAAAGGCCAGGAAGCTAGAACCACTGGAAGAATAGCTAGACCGCTGAGCAAGGTGGTATGAAAGTGCATGTTTTCGACAATGATCGGATATTGAAATGAACAACAGTGAGGGATGTCCTGATTAGCTATATGCTGCTATAACACCAGCGCCAATGCCAGCGCCCATAGGCCAAGACGTTGCAAATGCTCAGCAAATGCAACTTTTGTTATTATTATTCCTCCAACAATGCAGGAATACCATCCGCATTCCTCGGCACAGACGTTTTGCTGTTGCCGGAGCTAACCCCTACATTCCCCAACAGCCACGCATTGCTCGGATATACCCATCAACAATGAGAAACAGACAGACATAGGTGAACAAATGTATTCTCAATGTGCTTCTCGTTGATTTTGAATTACACTTCTGATTTACCCGATAGTGGCAAAAGTACATAGATATCAACATGTTAAATCCAACTAAACATGTGTTGTATATTCATGACTCTCAAGATCATGTACTTCACTTAGCATCGTTTTCGCAATTGACTTCGGAATGGCTAACCCTTGGGAAGCTGGGCATAACCGTACATGTTCATTGCAGCCCCGTCTTTCTGCATCTGCTGCGCCCATTCCCTAGGGCCTTTCATGAAAACTTCCATGTTAGCATCGTTGCTCAAGTCAATCGGTTCTTCGTCTTTTGCGATCCGCAGCATCCGTACACCACCAGCAGGGCTTGTCTTGAAAAGTTCTGGGGATCGATCTTCTGCTGGATTGCGCCCTGAACAGTTCCAGCGAGCAGCTCTTTTGGCAAGCGAGGCTCCTGGGTAATGGAACGGCCAAGACCGACGCCATCAACTGTTTCCAGTGCCTGGACCATTCCGGACGCTGTGCAAAATCCTCCGGTCACATATCTGCGGGTTCGCTTGGGAGAAGCAGCGATAAGGTCTGCAAATTCCAAGAAAAATCATTCTCGTTTCTGCGAAAACTCCCGTTTGTGCTAGGAGGCGACGGCTTCATAAGTTCCACCAGACAACTCAACAAAGTCAAAGTTTGTGCGGTCAAGGATCTCACATAGTTCCTTCGACTCCTCGGGGGTAAATCCATGTTCTTGGAATTCCACCGAGTTAATTTTGATTCCAATGATAAAGCCGAGATCCCGGGAGTGCTTGACGGATAGCCATGGGCGGAATGCAGCTGGACACCATCATGCACAGACTTTTGCAGGTAGACGGCTACATGGACAAACCGGTGGATAATATCCCGAATCTCCTCCTCGGTAGCTGGGTGGGGTTTTCCGAATGCGCCAGACTTTTCCATGACGAGCTGGACATCGTTAGCAGAAACCGGGTTGGGTTGCAGCTGCTCAAATGTCTAACGACCAGGATGGCTGACCTGACCAACGATCAAACTTCCATCCTTCTTGGCTGCAGTGGCCAATTGCTTGAATGTTCCAAATCGTTCACCAGCGATGGATTCTCAAGATCGATGATCATGTTTCCCGGTGACTCGAGCTGGTCGTATGCAATCATGATGTTGCCGGTAAGGATAAGTCCAAATTGACCCTCTCCCCACCGACGATAAAGATTGATGAGATTTTAGCTGGGGATACCTCGAGCTGACAGATCAGTCCGAGACCACGAGGCCATTCTTTCTGTCAGAGTGGCCTTCAGAAAGCGATTCGAAGCCTTGCGCTGACTGAATTCATACTGCAATGAATGGTGCGCCAAGAGACGATACATTGTCATTTTCGCCCGGAAACCCTGGAGAGATGGTGAGAGAAGGTAATATGTAGTAATGATATGTGCAATTTGGAAGAAAAATCATCTTCAATTATTGCACATAACCAGCTTGCTTTATATTCTAAAGTCACAACCTTGGTCATTAATCCAGGCCCACCCAGTTCCACCGTGGATCGGCAGCCGTTTTGGCCAAAAGTCGGTCGAGGGAATGAAGTCCGATCTTAATCCACTTCATGATATATATATGTAATCATTATATCAAGTGGTTGGAAGGTTAGGAGGGTTGGAATATCCCGGGACAGCTTCTAGATGTTTGGTATTGTGCATATGCACTTGATATGCAATTGACATGAAATTCCAGGGTTTAATTGTGCCGAAGCCTTTCCTCTTTCTCAGTTCTTCTTGTAATTAGACGGATTATAGATTTGTAAACATATATTCCGTGATATTGCCCAAATAGCGTTACACCTCATTGGAGTTTACTCGTTCAATAAGATCTTGTGCGGAGACTTGAGTACTTGGTACTTGGTACTGTGTACGTTGTTTTCTGTATTTTCCACGGATATTGTCGGTCCAAAACATTTCCATATCTTTCGTATCTGGAATGAGCGGAAACAACATGGAAGTGGGTTCTTCCTCGGTCCCACGCTGCTGACAATCCAGGGAGCCAGCATAACGCCACTACAGCAACTATTCATCCCCTTTGAGACCCTGGAAACAGGAGCTCGAGCTGCGCCTATGTAAAATTTTGTAGCAATCGCTGACAGGTACCATCAATCCACGTCAGTGGCAGAGTCTCGGCAAAACGCCAAGCCCATATAACCGAAGAAGCCGAGCCCCACCTTTCTCGGAACAAAAGAATCTTTAAGGCTTTTGGATATTGAAATGTTATTTGAATCGAAACAGCCGATTCTTCTCTTATCTATGGAGACCGAGAGTTCAGATCGGCCACGTACGCGGGCAAAGAAAGCATGCCTGTCATGCAACTCGCGTCGCGTGCGGTGCAACGTGTTAGAAATGCAGCCCTGCCAAAATTGCGTGTCATGGAATCTCACTTGTGAAGTAGGGGTTTCACGTCGTGGAAAGTAAGGACTTCATGGGAAATTACTCGATTCTGTGCTCATCCTAGGCAGATATCCCCGCCGAAAGAAAAAGGGATCGGCTCGAACATCCACAACGCCGAATAACACGGCAAATCCGTCAGATTCCCGAATCATACAGGGACAATTCCCATTACCCGGACATAGCTCTCAGTATCCGCCGGCTCGTCCTGTAGCAGCAGAGGATGCGATCCATAAAACTGTGTTTCTCGGCGAGTCAAGTCCTCTCACCTGCGTTGTGGATGAAGGGCGACGATCTCCAGACAAGGGGTATGCATGCAGTATCCAAAAGGGCCGACTTCACTACTCCATTTCTGAGATGAGTGGCGCAACGGAAAATCGTCAAGATTCACTAGGTCCCCGCCGCAAGTTGATACATGATCGCCTCACCCGTGAAGGGGCCCTTGTATTCCCATCACCCGCTATCTGCGACGCGTTACTTCAAGCTTATTTTGATTGGCTCCACCCATGTTTTCCGATTCTTGATCGGGTAGACCTGCAAAGTGATTATCAAGATGGCACATTGTCGCCTTTGCTCTTCCAGTCAATGCTCTTCATCGGTGTGAGCCTGTGCTCGGATACAGCTTTGAACAGCACAGGCTTCAATAATCGATATCAAGCGAAGGAGGCATTTTACCAACGAGCGAAGGATATCTATGATTCAGGTTGGGAGACTGATACGGTTATAAAGTTGCAGTCGTTGTTTCTCCTGAGCTTTTGGCGTGGAAGCCCAACCGAGGAGCGTGATGTTCGGTTCTGGCTTGGAGCTGCCATCAGTCTTGCCCAGAAAAAGGGCATGCATGTGATGTACGGCTTGTATCTCATTTAATTGAATTCCGAATATGCGTTGACTTGCATAGGTTGAAATTGTCCTTCCTTAATACCAAAGATCAAAAGCTTTGGAAACGAATCTGGTGGGCTTTATATGTACGCTTCTTGTTACCCAATCTTTGCCTACAAAACCCTGGAATTAACATTCTATCAGGTTCGCGATCAACAAACATCGGCAGCTTTGGGTCTACCACCTCGAATACGTGACGAAGACTGCCAAGTCGCTGATCTCGAAGCCATAGACTTTGAGGAAAGCGAGCCCATGGGACCTCCTGAAATATTCCGCCCACCACCAGCAGTACACATTCCCTACGTGATTGGAATGGCCCAACTGGCCAGGTTATGTATGGTATCCTCAAACATTGGGGCAATGCCATTTACTGACAGTTTGATCTTCAGTGCGTGAAATAGTATGCAGCCAGTATCTACCTGGTCGATCGAAGTTGGACAATAAAGCTCGACCAATGCTTCGTCAACGGTTAGTTGACTGGGAGTCGTGCCTCCCAAAGGAAATGCAGTTTCAAATGCCAACGAGCAGGGAAGCGATGTTCCTAGTTGGCATGCTTCATATGGCTTATAAGTATGTACTGCTCTGCTAGTAATAACCAAGAGCCTTTGCAGCTAACATTCATACAGCAACTTGTACATTCTTCTATACCGACCCCTTTTCTTACAGCCCCCAGTCCAATCGGCGAATCCCGAAGGAAACGTCGCCTTGGATGCAGCAACACGAAGCACCCGCATTCTAGAGGACATGCTCTCGGAAAACCTGGTCCAACATGGATCAGTTCACTTGTCAGTTCTCGTGACCATCTCTAACTTGGTTATGACTCACACCAAAATAGAATCACGCACACTTTCTCGGCTTTATGTATACACACCATTCATTTCGGACGGGTCACAGGCACAGCCCGAAAATTAGCAGAACACAGAGCAAAGTTATGTCTATTGGGCTTAAAGGAATTACAGAAATCATGGGACTTGGAGAACTGGGTACTGGATCTTTTCTTCCGGTGCTTGGATGATCGTACTGCTCGCGATCTCCGACTAGCCGATCCTGCTATGCCATCATCAACATCACAAGCAGGCAGCGGTCGAAATATTGAGATGTCACCTGCGTCTCCTGCTAGTGGTTTATATAGACCCCGTTCTCCTAACGCAGCGTACGATATATTGCAATCTCCTAACATGATGCCCCACCATAATCCTGGAGAAGAGGCAGCAATTAATATGGACTGGTATGAGCTGTTCAACGTTGAGGGTGATGATGTGATGGGCCTTGCCGGCTCATTGTCAAATCCGGACTATTTGAATCCACAGAACCTCGAGTTTCTGTATCGATTTCTATAGTGATGCAATTTCAATGACACGAAGACCTCGTTTGACAATTCGGAAACATCAAACCGTCTATATGAATATTAGGCTCTTATAATATTGACTATACATGGGATCAATTTGAAAGACCTAGCTCCGCAAGAATGGCTTCATTGTGCTCTCCAACCTGCGGAACTGAACCCATCTGCGCGCTATATCCACCTCGTTCAGCTGACTTGGTTGATCCAGGAGGCAAAAGAGCTGGAATAGCTCCCACGGGAGTTTGAACCTTGGTCCATCGATCTCGCGCTTGAAGCTGAGCATGGTTCCACACATTTTGCATGTCATTGACACTAGCGTTAGCGATTGAAGCTTCGTCCAACCGGGCGATAGCTTCCTCCGTCGTGAGATTCGAGAACGCATCGTGAATGATAGATTTAAGCTCATCCCGGTTTTGAGTTCGTTGTGAGTTACTCGAAAATCTGGGATCGGTGGCTAGATCTGGCTGTGAGAGAACGACGTTGCAAAAACTGACCCATTCCCGCTCATTCTGAATGCCCAACATAACCGACTGGCCATCACCAGCTTCGAACGGTCCATAAGGGTAGATGGCCGCATGTGAGGCACCTGCTGGTACCGGACCTGAGGCATTGTCGAATGCATAGTACATGGGGAATCCCATCCATTCCACCATGCTTTCTAGCATGGAGATGTCAATCTGGCAACCCTGGCCATCTTTACCACGCTGTAGTAGCGCTGACAGAATGTTGCTGTAGGCGTACATTCCCGCAGAAATGTCGGCAATGGAAATACCAACCTTGACGGGCTCTTTTCCAGTCCCCGTGACGGACAGCATTCCAGCCTCGCTCTGAATAAGAAGGTCATAGGCTTTCTTGTCGCGATATGGACCATCTTGGCCATATCCAGAAATATCGCACACGATCAAACCAGGATTTTTCGCTTTCAATGCCTTATGAGAAAGCCCTAGTCGCGCACTCGCACCAGGAGCCAGATTCTGAACGAGAACATCGGCCTTCTTAAGGAGCTTCATCAGGACGGCATGGTCATTTTTGCGTTTGAGGTCCAGAGCCAAACTCTCCTTGGACCGGTTCGCCCATACGAAATGCGATGATAGACCACCGACTCTCGTGTCATAATGCCGTGCAAAATCCCCAACACCTGGTCGCTCAACCTTAATGACTCGAGCTCCAAGATCGGCAAGTTGTCGCGTGCAAAAGGGCGCAGCAATAGCTTGCTCGAGACTAACCACGGTAACTCCAGCTAGAGGTAGAGGCTTATATCCACCAGAGGATGCGCTGGAGTAAAGTTGTAATGTAAGATGTGATCCTCTTGCATGTTGAACTGCACCCGATAGGGCTTGTGGCCGGGAAGTAAGTGAGAGGAATGACTTCATTGTGGGCTGAGCATTTGGAAATGCCGATATCGGTGTGAAATTAGACTGTGGATACAGCTAGCTGTCTTGTACTGCTTTGTATATATAGAAGGTTGAAGCTCTGAGGTGCCAAATCCCTAAATACTCGACGCGGGGAGAGACCTCGGTCGAAATGCCGATCTACACACGACATATGCCAAGCCCGACGAGTCGGCTTTATGGTCGAGGGCCCAGGTGGACGGGGTGAATGGATGACGGCGCTGTGAGGAAGTGCCTCAATTCAGATTTGTCAGGTCAAGAACGTACCGGAAGAAATCAGCATGGTCCCATAGTTCTCCAGCCTTGGGAGCGATCAAGATTGGTCTCTTTTGTGTCGAAACTAAGCCTTTGGTGTCCCTGTCGGGCCGTTTGGAGCCCTGAAGCCAAGCCCTTGCTTTCCTATAAACCTATCAGTTTTGTTGCTATACTTGTTTCGAATTCATACTACCAGAAAGCAGGGATATTCCACAAAAATCGAAGTCCAAATGTGACAAAAACCGGATGAGACATACCGAAATGAGGTCGTGGGGCTGATCGGAACTGATATTCTGTTAAAATTAATATCCCCAATGGTGACGAGGTAAATGTTAGAAAGTGGATGTTCACTCCATCTACGGAGTAAAGGTCAAACACTAACCTTTCTCAACCTACTTTATACATCTCCCGTCTTTCGTCAGGCTCCGATTCTGAACGCCAAGCACTCAGGAACCCACACGAGGCGCCCAATGCACGACGGGGAATTTCGTCAGAGTTAAGCTGCGGGGTCCCCTGGAAGACCTCGTATTCTCGCAATGTGTCTTCTTTGGGGCCTACTCATACATAAACATCACACATCCCGGTGAGGCAGAAGTGATGGTTGGCGTTCCACGCAGCAAAGGCTGCTTGGCATGTGTCCAACGGCGGGTTAAAGTAGGAAAACTCCACTTATACGCTATTTCTTTTTGAGGTAACAGTCTAATCCAGGGTCCAGTGCGATGAAACCCAGCCAGCATGTCAATCCTGCGTGAGAAGAGGGAATCCATGTCCTGGCTATATACGGAACCGGAAATTCTACCATTTCTCTGCATCAAGGAATCAGCACGAGCCTTCGAGCACCACATCCCTCGCAACGCAACCGTCAACATCAAGTGTGGCACTGGTCACTGCACGAGAAGCACAGCAACAACCCACGATTCCCCGTGCGTCTATGGATGAGATCCTAATGCCGGGATTGGTTTCCAAGGCGCTAGACCGACAATGCAGAAAAGGCTTTTGTGATTTCGTGGATGATGTATTTCCAAACATTTATTACAGCTACAGCGATCGTGTGGAACTTCCTTGGTTTGAGATTGCCCAGTACGACCGAGGCGCAGGAATTGCAATGGAGTGGGCGTTTCGCAGCCTTGGGACCTTGCAGCAAGGCAGAGTAAATGGCAACCAACGACAGATTCTTGCCAGTCAGGAAATGTACGGCCGAGGGCTGCGCTGTCTTGCTCAAGCTATCAGGAACCCTGCTACAGTTGGCACGAACGACACTCTTGGAGCTGCAATCCTGCTAGGCATTTATGAGTTGATGAATGCAACAGCGGAGAACCCATGGGTGCTGCATTCACGTGGAGTTTCTCATCTATTCCGTCTAAGGGGCGCGAAGAGTCATGCGAGTGGGTATGGTCGTACCCTGCTCTTATCATTTCGAGGATTCCTAGTTTACGAGGCCTTCACTCAGGGGGAGGCTTGTTTCCTAGAAAGCGAGGAATGGAGGTCAACTCTTCCGGATACCCTAGAAGACGATGAACGGCGTGGCAAAAGCTGTCGTCTGGGTCAGCTCATGGACTATGCATTCAACGAGATAGCTCAGTGCCCGGGGTTTCTCGCCAAGACCAAAGCCCTCGTCGGCTCCCCGCGAACTACCGATGCGGAGAGAGACGATTTAATGGGTACAATCAACAACAGCCGAGAAGTCCTTGGTGATGTGGAAATTCAAATAATGGCTGGCGTTAAGGCTGATCATGAAGGGAATAAGAAAGAGTCTCAGGCGTTCTTTGGATTGATTCCCCTTTCTATGAAGAACGCATCGGTCAAATTCACACTCGAGGGTGTTCATACAGCGATCGCTCTTCTCCAACAGTTGTCGGTAATACTACTGTCCGATCGGAACCGACAAAAATCAGTAACACCGTGGTTAAAACTCGGTCCGCGTGTTAATGAGAGGAATCTCGTCAAAAGCGTTGGTGAAATTGGGCAGGCCCAAGAAGATACTCCACTGCACCCAACAGGTCCACAGCAACAGGGTAGTCCGAAGATATGGTATGACCGGATCGCCATGGCAATGGGGATGCCAGAAACTGTTTAACCAATCCACACTCAGAATGGGGCTGTCTATCTGGCCTTGATTCGAGCTGAATTTCTGCGCCTGCAAACCATAGTCAAAGTTTGTTTCGTCCATTGCGCGCTTTTACTCCAGGTAGAATCGTAGATGAACCCCTGTGCCCAAGTAGTAATCAAGTGGCGTTCCCAGAGGTCCAAGTGCTGCATCTGTCGATCTTTGGTGCGAATGACTCGCAAATGGTCGAATTTATTCCAGGTGGTCGAACGACTGAAAGCGACCGTACTGTCCTGAGAAATTGGGCAGTCATGGGGATGTGGTCATGTGCGGCAACCAACTCTACAATACGGAGTATCTGGCGTCACAACCCCTCAGGTCGTCACAGGAAAATGACATTATCATAACCCACATGGGGGGCGCTGGGGTCCACTTTTACAAAGAAATCTGGAGTGAGAAGAAAAGAAAATAATGTTCGATGGAAATGCTGGTGTTTCAAATCCGGCGATCACCGGAATAAGAGGCTGTGACATCGCAGTGAAGTAATGCATTGCGAGTATGCACTTTGTTGTAGATTTTATGCATTGCAAATAATTTTTATTCCATTGCCCCACTGGATCGGATTTTATTCTCCAATTACATTAATTGCGTTGCCTGGTGTCCGAGGTCCTGTTCTGTACTTTGTACACTCTTTATCACAGCCTGAGCGCAATAACCTGGCTATGTACTCCGTACTCCGTATTCAACGTAAACTTAAAAGCATCTTGAAATTGTGTAAGACACTTTAGTTGTTTCTTCGTTTCATGTTCTTCACATTATAGTGACCCCAACGAGCATACAGTCCTGGGACATTTGCAAAAATATTAGCTGACATGGCCCGGCAAAACCATCCGCATCGCACCGATGACTGGCAGGGTGTGATCGATTGTTCCTGGAGGAAGAATGCTGGGGTGCTCCCGTCACATTTTCGAAACCGGCGATCATCCCCACCTGGGAGGCAAGTCGTCATACAGTGGGATACCTACTCCGTACATACATATGCACGATTTACAACATACATGTGATTGTCTACCTTGGCAACGCACATCTTCCTCAGATACCCCGTAGGATTGCTCGAAAATGCAACACAACACGGGTACCTGGGAATCTTTACGGGTGCCTGGAGCGGCCCAAGATTCCAGCCACCCGTGCTTGCGTGGCCCCTGAAGTGCTTATTCATTCGGATTGGCCCCAATGAATGCTAAGCATTCTGCTGGATACTAATAGAAGCTTGGCTGGCCATTGGGAGTGCTCCGGATGGGCCATCAACGTCATGCGAAAATACATTGTAGCGACGAGCCGCCTACAGTCGCCGATCAGGATCGGCCCAATCATCATCCCAACTGATCCACAGGTGTTGCCACGGCTTGCGTGCTCTTGATTTTTGATGTTTCGAGACAGGCCGTCTATTCTTAGTCCACCAAAGTCTGAACGTGACAAAAAAAAATGACATGGGTGTGAGATATATATAAGATCAAATTCGCCTCCTAGTTATTGACTAGATTCCTAGTCACATCATCAACTAGTTTCATATCACTACTTTGATATACTTTGTACACATTTTCAAATCAATTTCAATCAATACTGGCTCCATACATTCCCAATAATGCCTTCCTCAATGACCTCTAGCGAGCGCTCCAGCTCGGTCAAGTCGCACCACAGCCCCAAGACTTCTCTCCAAAGCAAGGCCGACCCCAACATGGCCCTACATGAACAAGAGCCCAGTGTGTATCCCCGTAAAAATGATCTGTCTTTAAGTCTACAACATCCATTGACAACAAGTAGCCGCTGTGAACCTCCAGCCTGGATCTCGAGATGCCTTCTCACTCCGAAGCATCCAGCATAAGGATCGTGATGGAAATCTCATCAGTAAGTCACCGGCTGCGATGACTTTCTATGGGAACTGCATTCTAACCTAGCGATAGCTGATCCCGATCTCTCCAATCCAACACGGAGCCGACTTGAGCGCCCACTTGACACTATCCGATCGTTCGATGCAGCCATCAACGCACATCGCAAGCAGCAACGGATGTGAACGAGGAATCAAGACCAAATGGTTACACCAGAACGAAACGAAGGAACGTTTTTTTTAATGCCAATCTCAATTCGAACACGGGGTGTTGATGTATAATTATTGTGTGTATAATGGAGTCAAGGATATACCGGAATACGATGCTATTGTGTTTTCGTCCATTTTATCTCTATCGGGGAAATGTAGCGGTTTGAAGATGAAGATGAGCGAATGTGGTAGAAGCTCTGTCTCTGGCATATATGTTCATTGTCATTGAACCAGCAACCCATGCAAGATGAAATTGTTAGAATGTCCACGATTAATGCAGGTATAGGCGATTTGGGTGACCAGGTTCTCCAATGCACAATCTTGACCACTACTTGGGTGAATTTTAAAGAAAGCTACAGAGCATGCGAAGTATTTTAAGCTATGAGTGCCATGAGGCCCCCACAAAATTCGTATTCGTGTACAAACTACGGAGTACCTCGTATGTACTCCGTACTCCGTACCATAAGGTTCGAAAATCCCGCTGGACTAAAATCTTTCTAACAATTCCCACACATGCCCCTCCGCAAAGCATAGTTGTCCAACCATCGGGGTTTGACATCGTAAACTTACATAAAAAGGAGTCGATCAAAGGCGACCTAAATGTAGATATGGTTAACAGAATGGGGAATCGGAGAAAGGCCGACCTGATCTACATGTAGATCTTTTCTAGACTAAAGTGGCCCGAACTATATAGCGATTCCTGAAGATACATACTGTCTGTCCATGGACGAGCATCGTCGACTGCAAGGTATCATTAATCTGTTGTTTTTCTACATCCATAGTACAGAGTAAAATGTAAGCTTTTGTGACAGTCACTTGTGTAAATTATAAAAATGAAAAATGCCACACATAAATTCTTGTGCATAGACCAGGCCGTGGGCAGTTTTCTTTGATTATCGTCTCCTATTTTGCAGTACCAAGCAATGCCGCAGATAGACTACAGCTTCAAATTGCCTAGCGCCGAATAAAATTAGATCTTCTGATAGAAAAAAAAAGTTCGTGAAGGGAAAAAAAAAAGCCACCGAGTGCCGGCGCCATCCTAAGCCCCCCCCACCCACCGCGTCAGCCGGATATTTTCACCTTTTTTTTTTTTTCCTTCAACCAGTTTTGGAATATAATCCTATGACCTTTAGGGCTATTTATTTTGATGGCTGCCTATTTTGATGAGGACCTGCAAAAGTGTATGTCTATATTTGTGTAGATCGACAAAGAACTGCAAGACCTTGTAAAAGCCAAGTCCAGTTAAGTGCGTGGAGTCCCGTTCATCTCTCGATTATTATTGGCTCGGACTACATGAACCGATTCGTTTTAGAGCCCTAAAAATGCTTTTTTTATCCCCCCTGAGAGATTTATCTTCGGCCTGAAATTGACATGGCGCCAATGACCTAAACCTATTGATCAATGGCTTCCAGGCACTTGACCAGATTGGGCTTGCTAGCTCGGCTATACGCGTCCTTTTTGAAATTGGACAATCTGGCACTATTACACTAGTAATCTTACTCCGTACTATTAATGGATTTGAAGCCATGGATCCCCCATATTTGACTTTATTCCCCCCATTTCGTTGTTCACTCATTTGACTTCTTCTTCTTTGTTTTTTTCCTTTTGAATCCAATCATACCAACTATATACACTCGCTATAAATCTTTGCGGTATCACATCCGCAAAACCAATCTTCATCATGAAGTTCTCCTTGGTGGCACTGGCAACCCTGGCTGGGGTTGCTGTTGCCGATTTGGATCCCATCGTCATCAAGGTACAGTCTCTATACATATCCAAAATCGTGGTTATTCAGTGCTAAAACTGTCAATAGGGCTCCAAGTTCTTCTATTCCAGCAACAACACTCAATTGTAAGTCCAAGTACTGCGGATGTCTCTTGAATTAGGTGACCTGACAATAACAGCTTTATGCGTGGAGTCGCCTATCAAAGTAGGTCGTTCATGCCATCAATTCAAAGTCACGACTAACCTTTCGCAGAGGAAAGTACGAGTAGCAGTGGCTACGCTGACCCTCTCGCCGATGCCACCGCTTGTGCGCGTGATGTTCCTATTATGGCGGAGCTGCGCACTAACGTCATCCGTACCTATGCAATCAACGCCAGTGCTGACCACTCGGCGTGTATGAAACTCTTGTCTGAAGCTGGTATTTACGTGATCTCCGATCTGTCCGACCCCAACCAATCGATCGATCGAAACGATCCTTCATGGAAAACCGATCTATTTGCCCGATACACCAGTGTTGTCGATGAACTTGCTCAGTACAACAACACCATTGGTTTCTTCGCTGGAAATGAGGTTTCTAACACCATCGCTACTTCCGACGCAAGCGCTTTCGTCAAGGCTGCTGTTCGTGACACCAAAAAGTACATCAAGAAGAAGGGCTATCGCTCTATGGGTGTTGGATATGCTACCGCCGATGTGTCCGACATCCGTGCGGACATGGCCGACTACTTCAACTGCGGAGACACCGACGACACAATTGACTTCTGGGGATATAACATCTACTCGTGGTGCGGCAATTCCTCCTACGCGGCATCCAAATACCAGGCTCGCACCGAAGAGTTTGCCAACTACTCCGTCCCTGTCTTCTTCGCCGAATATGGTTGCAACGAGGTCACACCCCGCGAGTTCACCGAGGTGAAGGCCCTCTACGGCGATACTATGGCTCAGGTCTGGTCTGGTGGTATTGTGTACATGTACTTCCAGGAGGCCAACAACTACGGTAAGGAAACTTCCATTTCACACATATATGCCAATGTAACTGATGAGAGTCGCAGGTCTGGTTTCCGTCGTTGATAGCACCAGTGTCAGCACTATGGCCGACTTCAAATACTATTCCAGCCAGATCGCCACCGTCAATCCCACCGGTGTCAACAAGGCCTCCTACACTCCCACCAACACCGCCCTGCGAAGCTGCCCTACCGTTGGATCCGCGTGGGACGCCGAACCCTCCCCTCTGCCTCCTACCGCCGATGTCGACCTGTGCGACTGCATGTATGACGCCTCCGCCTGCGTTGTCGCGGGATCCCTCGCCTCGACAAAGTACGCCAAGCTGTTCAGCACCGTCTGCGGGTTAACCGACTGCAGCGGACTGACAGCCAACGCTACCACCGGCGAGTACGGTGCTTACGGCATGTGCTCGACCAAGCAGCAGCTTGCCTTTGCTCTGAACAAGTACTACGTTGAGCAGAGCCGTGCTAGTGATGCTTGCAGCTTCGCCGGATCTGCAACTGTCAAGGCCGTTACCAGTGCCACTGGCACTTGCTCTGCACAGATGAAGGAGGCCGGATCCTCTGGAACCGGAACTGTCACTACCGAGAACACTGCCACCGGTGGATCTAGTTCTGCTTCCTCGACGGGCTCGTCGACCAAGACTAGCAGCGGCGCTATCAGCATGCACTCTAGCTCTTCCTTCGGCTCTTTCCAGGTGGCCGCCTACATTGCCACCGCACTCCTGGCGGGTGTTGGAATGATCGCCCTGTGATTGAGTTTGTGTATATTCTTCGCATTTGGACCGCGTGTCTGTTTTCCCTTCTTATTGCGACACTTCTGAAAATAAGCTTCGGAGCAAGGTATCGTCGATATAGCTAGCATTTAGCCCTGCACGCATCTTTGCTTCATTGATATTATTTCTCACGAAAGGAGTTTATATTTTATTGAATCGAGCAAATTGTCAAGATTGAATTTGATTTGTATACCATTTGCTCGCGATCATTCTTTTTAACAATTTCCCTAATTTCTCCTCGTTGCACAGCAACTTGACGTATTGATTCTATGAGATTCAACGCTAGGTAAGCTTCATTCCAACCACTGCAGCTATCTTAACCCAGACCACTGTATTCGCAAGGCCGCAGGAGGAATCTGTCCCTCTAAACCTGACTGAGAATTGGCCATTTGGCCTTCCATCTGCCTTTCTAGTCTGCCGCTTTCCCTTCCCATACATCTAAACCTCCAATCTGCGGACTGTATAATGTGTTTCACCTGCTCGGGGTATGCTTCGGAGCAGAAACTTGATTGAAGACATTGTATGGACGACCCTGGTAAGATTAGTGACGAAGTATGCCTTCCTGGCCTTCACCAATGCGAACAGAACGCATGGGCTAAGACGACCGACCGCATTTCAAGCGTTCCCCAGCCCTCCTCTTGTCCACGTTATTCACCTCTCTCCTGACCCTCCTTGTGCAGATACCATTGGCGAACTGTATCAAGAAAATCCTGCAGAGGATTATCTATCAAAGGAAGCCTTCTGTCAGGACTTGGACATTCTTGGACTCCTTGAGATGCTTTTGTCGGCCGAGTCCGAGCAACTAGGATTCTGTTTCGATTGATGTAGACACTGTTCGTGATCTTGATATGTTGTTAAATATCCGATACTTGGTAAATAGGAAAGTAGCTCAAGAAAGCCCAACAAGGCTCCTTCATTATCATTCATGACCCATGAGGTCCAATTGCTACATATAACCTTATATCTGATCATTGATGGGGCATCTTACTAGTGCACATTACGGATTCCTTCGTTCGACACATCGTTTCTTCTTGTAAATCGCGTTACCAATGATCATCCGTCTCCTCCAGCCCAGAATGCGAAAGTACACCTTTCAGCCAATCCCTTCGGTGTCACCAACATAAAGAGAGTCTCTCTGTCTCTTCTCAGTTATCTGCTCTCCCCTGTCGCTCACTTAGCATCCTAATGCAAAGGATTGATTTGCTCACCATTTCCTTCTGTTCGGAAATAATGTATGTTTTGATCAAACATCTGACAGAGGTCGTCGAGCCTCAAAGCTAGTTGATAATCGACCTTATGTATATTATTTGCTGAATTTGCTGAGGTACTTATTTATATCCCCGAAAGGAATCACCCCTGGATTCCTGCCATGTCATATCCTGTTGAACTCGGATGGCATTCAACGGCACCTCATCCTCAGATCCATCGTCAGCACGGGACACATCTAGATGTACTCTAGTTTTATTACGCGGCTCATCCGACGGTCGTAAGGCAGAATTGTCCAACTCATATCCTTTAGAATGCTCGATATCTGTCGTTCGTGTTCTTTGAGTACCAGACCGGCTGGCAAATTTGGATGAAACGATCATGAACAATGGACGCAGGGTCGGCATGCAGGCGGAAATGATACCCGCTGAGCATTCAACGACACACCAGGTGCAAGACTTTCCGAGTGTCCAGGCAATATCCGTCGGGTTGAACTCAAAAAGGGTAGTGAAACGATAGACACTGGTGAAGATAACGCTATGCAGAAGAGTCCAGTCAGTCTATTGTCACAAACCAGTAGCGATATGTAGTCAAAGGTTATACGAACAAACTACCCAACAGAAAGATTCCAATTACGGACAGTCGGTGCGTGATACTTGCGTGTAGTCCCCACACCACCCGCACCGGTAGACACAGAATGAGAATATCGGTGATGACGTTGGGCACTGCGTTTCCGATAAACGAGCCTTTGAGGTTGATACAGGTTCCGGGAATGCGGGTGTCCCAGGCTCGCGCAATCGGAGTGCATTGGAACACGCTCACGAGGATAATAGACATGCTCCACGCGATTGATATCCCACCCAAAATCATAGAGGCAATGCGAATTTCTCTCGTGGGGAAGATGCGGCAGTACATGAGCAGGATAGAAACTTTGGTAGTTGCTATTGTTGTGACGTATAGGCACTCGAATATTACGAGGAGCTATGTACATGGATATCAGTGGAGGCGTCAACATCATCTTTATATTTTGAATCAAACCTTTGCGATCATTATGATATTTCCCAACGGCAAGATCTCTGAATGTAACCCCATGCCATAATTAGTTACTATTGATGATTAGCCTCCAGGTCAAGAACATCCCAGGGAAATATGACGTACAGGCTAACATCAATCCAACGAGAGTCAAGAAAGGAGCTAAAGCGGCCATGATAACATAATCGTCCGGGCCTGGCTTTAGTGACTTCTTCCACCGTGCCAAAAACCGTAAAATCACAAACACGACGCCCAGGACAGTCATCGCGATCGTCCCAGCGCGATATGAGCCTTGGTAGCTATCCTGGAGATTGGTTGTGGTCATCGTGTTTTGACCTGCAAAACAGGTGAGCATCAAAACATCTTTTGAGCTCGATGGAGCGGTTATGGTTCGTTTAAAGAGAATTGAATTTCTCTCGTGCACCCAAGCCGCAAAACGGACTGGTTAAAGAATATCCACTTCCGAGTGTCAGGATTGATTTCTATCCACAATTGAGCGACAGACCTTATACCAAATGTGTACAAGAATACTCCATACGGAGCAGTATCTCGAGGAATCAAGCTGTATTTTACTATTGCAGCTAGTACTACGGAGTAATACATCGATACGTGGTGCTTTGGTGGATCATAAAATAGGGCGCTGTTGATTCTTTGCACAGGGGGATACCATGTTGGTTCTCCGGCTGTTCGTACATAAATAAATAATAAATTATTTAGATGGGTTAAGGTTCATTCCGTGTCGGCTGGATACAGGGGTTAGCTAATTGTGGATCGAGGCTCTTCCAAGATTGGAAATTGCTGGCCATAGCCGACTACCGTGTGGATACTGAATTAAATACCAATCGGGGCCCCTTGGCGCAATTTCCGGTCGCTCTAACGGTTTTGCTGTTTTGCTAGTGAAACCGGGAGCCTATAGCAAGGCGAATCTCAGCCGCGCTCCACCATTGGCGTCGAACAGCCGAAATCCTTCGGGGAAACTACTTGTAGCAATAGATTAGAAGGCCCAATCGTTCCAAGTACCGATGAAATGCGGGCCCCGTTATAACCTGCCTAGTTCAGTGTAAGGAGAGGGTGATCATCTCGGGATTTGCTGATTCCCAAGACCCCGGTTGAAGGTAGATATGTATTCGCACCCTCTAAACACAAACAACTACAAGAGAGTTATCAATATGAACATTTCTGAGAGCCCAGTCTTTGTCTTCGTGCCAGGCGCATGGCATACGGCAGATGCATTTGATGTCGTGCGGGATCTGATGCACAAGCGCGGACTTGCAACTGAAGCTATCTCCACTCCGTCTGTTGGCGCACCTTGCCCAGATAAGGGGCTACACGCCGATATTGAACATACTCATGCTGTTCTCAAAGCGATGGTAAATGCCGGCCGCCAGATTGTGGTTGTGAACCATTCCTATGGCGGGGTGGTTGGGGCCGGGGCTGTCGAGGGCTTGGGGTACGCGCAGCGGTGCAAAGCCGGTCTTCCTGGCGGCGTAATCATGGTTGTGTGGATGGCTGCATTTGTGACGCCCAAGGGGAAAACGGTCAAGGATATGCTGGGCGGAACTTTACTTCCCTGGATGGTCATCAGGGTGAGTGGTTCATCTTCGTTCGTTCGCCCAATTCTGTTCACATCTGACGAACCACATATAGAGCCCGGATGATGGGTACTGTTGGTCCTCCTCCGAAGAGACAATATTCTACAATGACATGTCTCCAGAAGCGCAGCAAAAGGCGATTTCCAAATTGAAGCCACAGACACAGAACTCGTTCCAGGAACCGGCAACGCATGAACCTTGGCATGAGATGCCTAGCATGTATCTCTTCTGCGACAAGGATGCAGCTATCCCTTTGGCTGGGCAAGAGATGTTTGCTCAAACTTTAGGTAACCCAGTGACTTACCATGTCGATGGGTCTCACTCCGCATTCTTGAGCATGCCGGAAAAGGTGGTTGATGGGTTGGAAATTGCGTTGAAAGAAGGGCAACAGCAGAGTGGGATTGCTGTCAACTAAGTCGGATAATGCACTATAACAAATAACCATTGGATCATATATTTATATATGAGATGGTTGTGTTGATGACTTGGAGGAGATGTGCTATTAACCCGAGTATATCTAAATAATTTCATCATCGGTACAAATGATAATTCCACACAAATTCATGCATCGTACTTGAACACCCTTAAACACTCCCTTTTGGTGATTGATGCTTCCGGGTGTAGGGACTCGAGATAAAATTGACATACTCATGGTAGGATTATTGAAGGCTTCAAACGGGCAATGATCGTAAAAGTGTGTTGCCTTGGTCAAGTATGTTGATGAGCAAGTGCCATACCACACGATATCCATGTATTTAGTGCCGGATGATTGTGGTCTGGATTTATGTTAGAAGATTCAACGATTGATGCAATACTGGAATTTCTGTCCTACGTAAACCTAGGGCAAATGTATTTCTTTTTTATGTTTTGCGCCTTTCTATCCTAGGATCCCATATCTAGTTATCCATCGTCAGGTCAAACCAAGCCAAGTGTCCATCTCATCCATCTCAAGAATTCCATTTCCAAGCAAAGCAGCGCACTATCACCAAAAGAGGTGGATAAAGCAACTCGTTTGTACGCATGTTGGGAACCAGCTTAATTTCTAGAGTTGCCAAAGTTCTGAGTGGATCCAGAGGGAGGGGTGTATACAGCATCGCCCTTGCCGCTGTTGTAGTACTTGCTCTCATCGGAGTTTGAGTAGTAGTACGAACCATTGCTGATTTGTATGAAATGAAGTTCATTAAAATGCAGACACCAGAAGATAATGACCAAACAGGGATATGAGTTGTCACATACTGGTTGGAGTAATGGTAAGGGTTGGAGCTGGATGCACCGGAGCCGTAGTCACGAGAGCAGTGGTGATTGCCCTCTGGATTGGTTAGAGTTAAGTTGGACGAGTGTCTCTAATTCTTGACTCACCTAGCTGTTTTCACCGAAGCTCTTGTAAGAGTACTCGTTGCCATAGTTATCCTCAGGCATGATGACAGTTGTTCAAGTTTAATTTCAACGAAGCAATGTGTGATCATTTGATTTGATGAATAGTGCGAGATATGAAGAGAGGAAGAAGAAGAAGAAGAAGAGAAAAGATGGTAGAGGAGGCCTTTTATAGGAAGGAGCAAACGTGTGATCTAATCCTGATCCTTATACGCTTCTGCTAGGGCAATAGCCCTCTACTCATCTAGTAAGATATAACGAGATCATATATCCTCGAAGGAATATTATTTATAAACTTGTAGACTTGCCACTATAGCTTGAAGGTATCGTTTACGACTTGTCAAGGAGAAGGTAGTCATGATTGGAGGGCAATTTGTATTTAGTTTTCTAGTTTTTTCTATTTTTTCTATTTTACTTCACATCTCCATGAGATATGAGACTGCCCAGTATAAATAAATATGAATGGGCAGGCATCTCACCTAGTTGTCGTTGGCAACATTTAGCGCACTGCCACTTTGGATCCTCGTCCATCCTCAACTTGAGTGCCGTTTGATCTCTATATCAGCGATGGCTTTGTTATTCTCCGTTTTCCATTTTCCATTTTGATTCTTTCTCAACAATAATATCCATATGAGGAGCTCTAGAATCTCAATTTCCGGAATTTATTGAGTTTCCACAGGCCATACTTCGCGATGGTGACTGTTCCTATCACACACGCTCCAACAAGGATTACAAATGCCGAAGTACTCTCTTCAAAGAAATTCGCCACGTTCATTCCAAAAAGGCCCGCCACAAAAGTTGACACGGCGAATCCCAACATACAGATCTCCAGTTGAGCCTCGAAAACCAGGATCTGATTTCGTCGCACATCCAAGATCGACTGAATGGTTTCAGTTGTGCGCTCCAAGTCTCCCAGTAAAGCACTTGCAGACTCCGCGATCGCGTCTGTGTTCTTGTAATACGCCTCGAGGAGATATTCCACTTCAAGGTGATCCTCTACCCCATGCGGTTGACCTGCCTGCCGATCTGTCAAGAACATGGTCGCCATATCTTCATCATTTTCAAGAATTTCCCGTAACGCCAAGCGGAACTGGCGGGCACGCTGCTGAATGGCCACTAGCCTTTTCCTGTGATCCTGTAAACCACGGAGAACAGAGTAAACAACATCTTCTCTCGTTGAATCCCGCAAGCTATCTTCCACTTCTCGCCGGATAAAGATATGCTCGGCTTCAAGAGTGGCAATCACAGAGGCAAGCGCGGCATCCACTACACGCAGCTCAAATGGGAGTTTTGCTAAAAGACCAGAGCCAGGACCAGGTTGGAGCCTGCTCTGGAGGTTTGTCATAAAGACATCCTGCACCTTCACGTGACAGTCCTCAATTGGGAGAAGGAAAAGAAGGACTCCATGTGCGCGAACCAGGAGCCGTAAAGTGAACATGCTGATAAAGATGACAGACGGACGAACCAACAAATGTGGGGTTCCCTCTGAGACAAGATCCACGTTGCGCAGATCGCGACCATCCAATCCCCACTCTTTAGCAAGATCATCTCTAGTTCCTCGGGTTTCAGATTCCTTGATAGAACCGTCGAGATCCAAGACCATGCAGCGCAACTCCGTCGCATCATTTATGCGGCTTTGTGACAGAGCAAGAGACAAGTTGAACACCTTTTGATTGAAGGTCGCTTCCTTTTTCATGTCAGGCTCTTGTATAACATGATGTGATTTATTGGGGAGCGTGATGATTTCCCGTCTGCCGTAACTGGGGATATTCTGGATCTTGGGTTCTCTCATGCGGAGAGTGCCGGAAAGGCGATGGGATGGGTATTGTGGTGTATTTGTACATTTTGACAGTCTCTCTCTTGGAAAAAAGGATACGAAAGTCCTGAAACCACGCCAATGCATGATATATATCGTCTTTACCGCAAGTATGAACGGAGTTGTGGAGTTGGACTGTTCTCAATGCACTAATTGGAAGTAGTGTGGCTTGATGACTGTGGGCCCGTGGCCATGCCTGTGGCTGTTTCATTGTTGGCGGATTTCAACGAATTTCTAGACTTGAATGTGATAAAATAGTACAAACGAGGACCAATCTAGTAGTCATCATTGAAGCAGAGAATGCCCCCCAAAAGATATGCTAAATTTTAAGCCAGTGAATTGACAGGTGCGACGCAGTGGTAGAGATTGAAGACGTATATGTATACAATGGTGGTAGTAGTATTTTACAACTCATTCGAAACAAAATATGCTAGATTTTGCAGATTCTGCATGATTCTTTTGGGGTCATACTTTTTCGCCACTATGTCAATATACTTGATATTCTTTTCCCCAAAAGACTGCAACGGCTTCTGGTTGGGACTCCCGTCGTTGACAAAGATGTAGGGGAGGAAAAGACCCTGTGACTGTGCGCTGGAGATGAGATTGGCCAACACTGAGTCTTCGGTACCCGTAACCACCGATTGGCTGAGTGTTTCTGGGAATTGAACGAATATGTTCGCCCCTGTGCAAGATAATGGTTAGAGATGTTTACCATAGGGAGATATAAATAGAAGATGAGACGTACGAATTTGGGTAGTTGCCTCCAGACCGAGCAGATTCCCTCCGTTCTGCGACTTTCCTCAAGTCACTAGATTTGGAATGACACCTTGAGGTACGTAAGAGAGTACCGCACCGGAGGGCAGAGAGGCAGCGGCCTCGAGATAGGCTGAGAAGGTGTTTCGTAGGAATTTCGGCCCTGTTACCTCAAACGTGAACGTACCGCCGTAGGATACGCCATCGGAAGTCAGTCCGGGAGAGCCAATCGTGAGGAGAAGCTCACTGAGCGAGCCGTTTGTCGCTGGGTACACTGTCGAGGCGACAGGTATGCCAGAGAATGGACCAAAGGCTGCGGGTGTAGGTACATGACCCAAATGCCCGTAGAAAACCAAAGTGTAAGTAGGGTTGATCTGGATTTCCACGTTGCTGTTGATGTCGGCATCCAAAAGATATTTTGCGTAGGCCTCAAGCACGGCGGGTGTGTTGGAGACGGTATAGGTTTTTAATTCATAGTAGATATCAATGCCGGTGGTGAGGTCGTATTCAGTCACAATGCCTGATCCAGTTAGGTGGTTGAACGATAACAGACAATATCACTCTCACCGAAGTTATTCAGACCCCCCTTGAGTCCTTTGTATAGATCGGCATGCTCGGTTTCGGTGGCGTCGACAATCTTTCCATTGGGAAGAACTACCTGAAATCGGGTGACACTGTCAATAGCCAATATGTGGGTGTTGTGGAAGGCGCTGAGGCCCCTTGGTCATGTTAATCTCTTGATTCATCTAGGATTCCGACGAGGATTTATCTACTCACTACCGAGAATTTACCCGCCAACGCTCACATCCACTTCACGACCACCCAAGACTGTGACATTATACGGCTGGAGGTACTTATATACAGCCCCCCATTTATTACCAGGGCCGATTATCACAGTTCCGCGATCGGCGCTTATTGACATGATATTCAACTTCCCCAGAACGATCAACCCTCCATGGTGATCGATTGAACTGAATCCCGGGTTAGTATTATGTCCACCAGAGCGAATGGGAAACTTAGTCTCTAGAATTCCAAGAATCTGCAGCAGGCGTGAGACCTCTTGGGCCGAATCAGGCGTCACAACGCAGGATGCATTCAATCGGCAATTTTGCGACCTGGCTTCGTCGATCAAAACGTCATAGTAAGGCGAGGTCGCTGTGAAGGTCTCGTTCTTCGAAAAGACGCGATTCAAAAGGCTACAGGTGTAGCCGGCATTTCCCACGAGGACGTCGCCAGCTGGGAGTGGAACTCCCAGCGAGGAGAGAGCAGCAGCAGCTGAGGATCGAGTTTGGATGGAGGTCGCGATGGCTGTGGCCGATGCACCACCCATAAGGACCCCTATTATTGAGGTAATCTTGACCATTTTGATTGATGTGAGTTGAGCAGTTGTAGTTCAAGCGCGTTGCTAGCCTTTTATGGATCTGCGGACTGCGAACTCGAGTGGGACTTTGGATGCATCGCATGATTCCGAATGGATGGCAAGACAGACAAGTATTTCTTTTCTTTATTTTTCTCACGCCCGAATTCGAAGATGGACTAATCGATTCTCGTGCCTGGCTTGTGATGCGTCTCTCAGACTACCGACCTGGCTCGGCCGACAGACCAGCACACCTCTCGCTCTATGTGCCGCCAATGATATATGGACAGCCAAGAAATACAGAACCATTCGGCATTTTTTTTACCTCTTCTTCATTCTGAAATTTGAACAAAATGGGCTTCTTCGCCTTCGAGGAGTGGGCAGCCGCCAATCGCAACTACGAAAATACCCCAGCGCCCTACTGGCATGTGAATTCCGTACCCAATGGCTTCACGGCCATCTCAGGAATCCTCTGGTCTATCTCGTATATATTGATGACAAAAAAGGCATTCAAGGATCGCTCCTACGCGATGCCTCTTCATTGTCTCTGCTTGAACATCACCTTGGAAGCGGTTTACGGGTTTGTTTACGGCCCGGGGCTGCTAAATCAGCTTGTTTTCGCGCAATGGATGATTTTCGACGTCGTTCTCTTCTACGCAATTCTTCGATCGGCCCCGTACGCTTGGAGGCAGTCACCGCTGGTGGCACAACATCTCGCGGGTATAATCGTAGTTGGGTGCGTGGTCTGTCTGTGGCTACACCTAGCGATCGCAGCCACGTTTATCCCGAGAATTGGTCGGAAGGTCGTGTTTATGACCGCATGGCCCATGCAGGCCCTTATCAATCTAAGCTTGATAGCACAGCTACTGTCGCGTGGAAACACCCTCGGTCACTCTTGGGGGATTTGGTGAGTTGACACATCCCCGGTATAATCAACTGAAGTCCGACGCTGACAGCATGGGCAGGTGGACCAGAATGTCAGGCACTATCGCAGCTGCATGGTGTATGCTGTGGTCTACATCCATATTCAAAGACTCGAGAAGCAGCGAGACACTCCGGTTAACATCAGGGCGAAAAGGAGTCGCTGATGTGGCGTAGAAAGTATCGTTAACACATGGTAGTGATAGTGAAAACAATCATGTCCAGAGATTGAGGTTAAGTATGTACGTAGATGTCTATTTGTCAGAATAGCCGTGTATTCCCATGTATAGACTCCATTCAATCTGCGGAGGATAGTCTTTCTATCTAGATATGTGAATATATTATGCACTTCGCTACTCCAACAGTGTTTATTTACTCCGACTTCTCCCCCTTGGCAGATGCCTCCTCCCCCAACTGCCCACGAAACCTTTCTTGTGCTCGTTGCTGTGCCTGTGGATCCGCAAATCGACGTTGGAACCGGCTCTGCTGCATCAGCTCGCAAGCGGCCTCCCAGTCGGTCGTCCACTCGGGATAAAACCCAGCAGCCCACCGATCCACCGGCCTACAACGATGCCGAGAAACAGCCCAATCCACGAGCGGAAGGGCACCCACCACGGTGGAGATAGATAGGTGCCTCCGGCTTCAAACATCTATATCTTGTGAGGTTCTGAAGATTTCTGGGGGGAACCTATTTTGCTCACCGAAAGGACCTGCACAAAATCCAATTTCTCCCCCCGTTGAAAAACATCCTCCTGATACCCATACCAATTCTCAAAGAACGGCTGATCCATCATGGTGGCACCCTCCTCCTCCGCCGCAGGATCACTGGCACTCACGATAAACTCTACCTCATTCATCTCCGTCCCTGGGGTTCCATAAATGACATGATGGGTATAGGGAGGCACTGCCAGCTCGCCATTGAACTCGATGGTAAGATTCCCGCGAAGAACGCGGAAGAATTCCCACTGGGAGGGGTGGAAATGTGTGGGGGGCTTTTGGCCGGTCGCGATCAGCTTGGCATAGATGCCACGACTTGGCCTCATGATACCGTGAAACAGAAAAAAGCGGTCCGTGGGCCGGGGCAGATTACGAACTGAAATAGCTCCATCAAATTTGGTGAGCGGATCCTGACCGGCAGTGAATGTACGAGGTTTGCAGGGAGCCATTTCAGGCTGGAAATAGAAGTAGACGTGAGAGGAAAGAGCCTCGAAATGGATAAACTATTTACTTTACATACTCGGTGTTCCGTTTCATTTCCCAGTTATCCCCCATCAAGGGCAAATATCTGAAAATTCAATTCTTGGCTGGATATCAGACGAGAAAGACATTTGGCCATGTTCATTCGGGCGAGGTTGTCTCGGCCGTCCCCTTGAACTTCTCTTTTAGGGTTGCCGTCGGCCGAATGCTGAGTCACCCATCAAGTCCGCTGTCGTTTGTCAGCTCAACTTAGAATGTGCTGAACAATCCAACAAAGAACCTACCTCCAGGGGTGATGAATAGTAGTAGTGTAGCTTGTGAAAATGAAAAATAGCTTGAGTATGACTACCTCCATACCCCTTCTTCTCTTCTATCTATTGTGCTCTTCACAGCGATTTTCCCATCTTCCCTCCTGAGTCAACTCTCGTCATGGTCAACATCCTTCAGCCGAAAATCGATCCCTTGCCTACGGGCATTGACCTGACCGGTAAAACTGTCGTCGTTACCGGTGCTAGCGCTGGGTTGGGTTTGGAAACGGCGAAACAGCTACTGCGACTGCGCGCCTCGACTGTTATTCTCGCCGTCCGCAATGTCGCTAAGGGTGAGGCCTGCGCAACTGCCCTCCGCCAGGACCGTCGCATCCAAACCCAAAATCCCAACCCGACTATCAAGGTCATGGCACTTGACGTGGATGATTATGAGAGCGTACAAATTTTCACGAAGCAGCTCCGCGAAGAGATCCCGGTGGTCCATCTCCTCATTCTCAATGCGGGTATCGGTCTCCTGAAGCTGGAACGCAGCCCGAGCGGCCATGACCGAACCACCCAAGTTAATTACTACTCCAACGTTTTGTTGGTCGCTGAGCTCCTGCCCTATCTCGAGGCGGGTGCGGAGAAAACCGGCTCTCCTGCACGCATTAGCTGGGTCGGCAGTCGCGCACACGAGTCCCCAAGCCTCGAGAAGAAATCCCCTATCAAGCCCGGTGAAGGTGTGCTTGCGCACATGGACAAAGAAGAGTTCTTTGTCCCGTTCCAGCGCTATGGGGACTCGAAGCTTCTTTGCGTGTTGTTCATGTACAGTCTGGCGCCGCGGCTGGACCCCAAGAAAGTTATCATCAACATGATGTGTCCAGGCATGGTAAATACTAGCATGAGTGATATTCTCCCTCTGCATTTGCGCTTGATTATCAATGTTGTCAAGTCGATCCGTGCCAGACCTGTTGAGGTGGGTGTTTGGATCATCCTACATAGTGCGCTGGTGGTAGGCCCTGAGTCCCATGGCAAGTTCTTAGGGGACAAGACCATCGCCGAGTAAGTGATCCCTTCCCCCTTTCCCTACAATGATGTTTATTGCCAATGGCTAACCTGTATTTCCCCATAGTAAATCGGCGTTCATTCAGTCCCCCGCGGGCCAAGAGATTCAGAAGAAACTGTGGCAGGAGACAATTGCCGAGATAGGCACATTGACAACCCTTCCGGCTGAGTTCAAGTAAACTATCCGGACAGTGTTTTCAATGTTCCTAAGAGGTTGTTGATCAATGTAGACCTCATCTAAGTGGAAGCCATTAAGGCTTCAGTATCTAGCACGAATCCATTCTTATTCTAACGTTGCATATAAATCAGATGTCTCGTCTTCTGTCTTCTACACTTATCCTAGAAATGTCAAACTAACAATCACCGGATCAACTCCCATGCGCTCGCTACGAAATTTCCTGGCACCGCTGCCGCAGACTCCCGAACTAGTTCCAATGCAGCCAACAAGTCCCTCCTCTCATGCCGAGCCCCCATCGCCAGTGCCACTGGCACGCCCTTCAAGTATACGCGACTCCAAACATACCAAGACAGCGTGGTCGCATATCCTACCCACCGCCGCATCCCCCCAGGCTTTGTTCCCCGATCATCAATACCCAACACCCAACAACCCAAATCCTCAGCTATGATTCCCACTCCCTGTAACACGAAATACTTGATTTCCCTACCATCCGACAAGGGCAAGCCAAAAGCTCGTGTCACTTGGTAGGTACCACATCCATGAATCAATCCCGAAACGACGAAGCTCATCAAGAGGAGCCAATACCGTCTAATGCAGGCTTCAGAAGCCGAGCTACGAAACGCAATCAGGTACAATTGTTCCGCGGATTGGCTGGGGCTATTGGGCTCCTGGCCTTGGGATTTGCTTTTGGGAGGACGTGTAGAGGAAGCTCCTGTCTTCAGCTCTCTTCATGATGATCCTTTATCTCGTGCATGACACCGAACGTAGAAGATCAAGTTCATACAAAGATGACATGGATAGCCTTGAATATTTCCTATAATGGATGTGAAGAGTGCATACAGTTTTGAATATATATTTCTTTTATATATTTTAAATTTCTTTTCTATTTCTTCTAACCATCAACTTCGACTCAAATATCAGTCTAATGCATCTTGAAATGAGTGATTGGTTAAAAGACTTCCAGGGTTGTTATCTAATTGGGGGGCTAAATCGTATCCCCCAACATTTTGCAGCCCATCGTCATCTCTCTCTGTAAAAACTACCCAATATGATTCCAATAAAAGGCGACCACCCCCCTCACATGAGGGCTCCAACAATTATCTAATCTCTTTTTTGAAAGATGCCCTTATCCGAACCTCGCCAGATCAAGAAACCCCGACTATCGCTCAGTTGCATCGTCTGTCGGCGACGCAAGGTTCGCTGCGGTCGCGAACAGCCAGAATGTGCGAACTGTGTGCGCATGAAAGAGACTTGTGTCTACAGGGCCATGGTCCGTGATGAATCCACCGGCCGTGTACGACCAGTATCGCCTCAAGACAGAGACTCGAGAGACACTACAGACACTACAGATGCCCGCTCAGAGCTCCCTTGGCTCCATTGGGGCCGAGAGACCAATGCGCCGTATCCCGAGAAACATTCGAGACCCCCTTCTCGTCCTCAGTTACCCTCCAATGCAAGTCCTTCTCCACATCGGCAAGAACCATATCCACCAGTCCCTTCATGGGAAGAGATTCAACTCCCAAGTTATCGCGATGCGAACGTTCCACAAATTGGTAGCTCGACAACCCGGCATCCTTCCCCTGTGCCATCAACAAGCTACTTCTCCGCCCTCAGCGATCCCATCTGCCACGATTATTTGAGTACAAGACGAGGTGGCCGCGTGAGATATATTGGTCGGTCTTTCTGGGGGTTCGTTGCCGGAAAGGTGAGTCTGACTGGAAGGGGGAAACAACACAAAAGGAACTATAATCTGCGACCAGATGGGTCGCCTGGCAAGACTATAGCTGACCTCCGTTGGTCTTCCTGTAGGAGAATCTGAGCGATGATTTCTTTGACGAAAACCAGCACGCCCATCCCGATCTTCCCCTTCCACATATTTCCTCTATGGGCATGTTTAATCTCCTACGGTCGCTACCCACCAAGCCCGTTAGTGATGCCCTGCTCGGGACATTCTTTCTAGCCGTGTGGCCACTTGTACCACTCCTACACCCGCCTTCCCTACAGGCAGATTATGACGAGTTCTGGGATTGGTGTCGGAATAGCGAGAGCGCTATACCCTCAGCTAAACTTCGCGATGATCCTACCTTTATATGCCTTCTTTTTGCAGTCCTATATTGCGGCGCATCTGCCGCGCCAGCAGCCACCTGGACGTACCCCAACCTGCCGGGTTTACAGAAGGAGACGACAGCCACCCACCTCAAGTCGGCATATACGACGAGTCTTTCCCTGTGTCAGCATCTGGAACATCCAACATTAAATACACTAGTTTCAACTTTGCTCACGACACCGTTTTTGGACCGGCCCTTCGAGCCCATGTGTAGTCTGGTTCATGTGAGCACGACGGTGCGCATTGCCCAGACTATGGGTTTACATCGGGAGGGAATATGGTCTGCGCTGAGTGATGTTGATAAAGAAATCCGACGTCGGATCTGGTGGCACATTGTTTGGCTCGATGTGCAGTCGAGCATCTCCACGGGGCTGACCCTCTGTTGCGGGAATGAGGCCTTGGACGCCGTGCGCATGGTTAACCCTCACCGCGAAGGGTCCAGCGATATCCCTGCTGGGCTTTCCCCGCGCACAGACACCGTAACTAATGGGCCATCGGTGGCCATCCTTTACGCTATCGGACGCTATCAGACTGCTCGATTACAAGCGAAGATCGTGGCGCACCTGCAGAGTGCGCAGGGACCAACCCAGGATGAATTTGGCGAGCTGATCACAGACGCCAAGGAGCTTCTGCGGAAGATCGACTCACTTATCGCGCGCATCCCTACACAAGGAATCCCTGAAAGGGGGTACATCCCATTCCGTCTGGCTAATGCATCGCCATCCACACATCCCTCGTTATACAAGGATGATACAAGCCAGCCAACCGTCTTTGCAGTATGGACTCGAATTATGCTAACATTGCTGAAATCAGAAACAGCCATTTTGCTACAAAAACCATTTCTGCCACCCCCAGATAGTACGAATGCGCAATCACGCAAGTCATGGACCAGGTATGCATCATTTCGCTCTACATCTCATCCCTATCCCGCATAATCTAGTGCATCTTCCGCTGCATACCCTTTTCATCCAGCGAATCCCGTCCCACTTGAGTAATTATCTGTTTACAATCATCCTTCATCACCATATTATTTTATTATTATTATTGCAGACTTATTAACATGCGATGTGGCCATTCAGCATGGCGCAGCTCTGCGTGAATTACTTGCGTATTTACCTGCAGCTGTATCAAACACCTGCGTTCTCCCCATACGCGTGGTTCTGCTCCAGCCACTATGGGCCCTTCCAATGCGTATTCATCACCCTAATGTATCTCCATTCCTTCCAGGAGTCTGGAGAGACCTTGCTGGCCCGATATTGCGTTGACGAGGTTATTCATCACTGTGTGGCCCAATATCAAGCCCCAGGTTCCTCCTCGACGAGGACCAGCCCCGACGATACTGATGCCAATTCGAGCAAGCCACGGATGCCATTAGCCATCCAGGTTCTCGTTGACCTGCACGAACGCCTCGACTCGTCTCCCGGGGCTGAAGACCGGCGCCCGTGTCATTGGACGTGATCGAGTGTCAGGCCCGCTGCCCTGCGCCGCACCTTGCTACCAAGGCGTCGGAGTTACGCGCGACACCCCACCAGCCCTCTCCTGATGCATCATCATCTACAACCCGCACCAACCGCAATTATGAAACCCCATATATGACTACAGGACCTCCTCCAGTGGTTGCTGGTAACAAGCCAGGCCCACCGAACAACGCCTTTGTGGATGGGAGTGACTCGGTCTTAGATATGGACTTCCTTGCTACGATTTCGGATCTCGAGGCCTGGTCCTCGTCATTGATTCTGGAACCCGACAATCTCCTAGCACATCCTGATAACATAACCCCTGATCACGCTGTAATCATAGGGTTAGGCCCACACAGTACAACGCCTGGTCACCGTGGCCTGCATGAAGGTCTCGATTTCCCAGCCAAATAGCGTTATGATACGTGGTGTTCTTTTTGCTTTTCCCTTTTCTTGTCGTAATTAAACAATAAATGTATAGATGATCTGAATAATGTTGAATAGAGCTGCTCCATCTAATTACATGATTTGACCTAATTCCACAAGCTCCGGACCCCATGCAACCCCGCAAGATCCATCTTTTGACCTTTATGGACTGCGCTACTGCGCGACAAGGCACACCTTTTGCGAGATCTCACATGTATACAGACGCATCCAAGCACCCCGATACGGCCATTTCCTTCACCCTGCAGCCTTCCAATCAAATTCCACCAGTCGAATCCCTCGGAAACGCCATATGGCGTGCAAGCTGTCACTTCCACGGTCCGCACGCCCCGTGTTGACGTTAGCCAAAGTATATTATATCTCCCGCCATCGGCCGAATAATCTGCAGTCAGCCTTGTGCCAGCAGTCCCCGGACCTTTGCGCTCAGCCTTGCAGCTTATGGCGTGGCATACTGACAAAGGATCTCGGACTCGGCCGGGGCTCTCGGCGTCAGTCTCGTTAGGCCGAGTCGCATCAGGCATCGCATCAGGACGGTGAGAGTATCTCGCCTCGGCCGATAGCTGACCACTCAGGTCTATTTTATGTCGCCAGAGAGTCACACCGGCCGATAGTGGTCCAGTGGATCGGATCAGGAACTGAAATAGGTCCCTATTGGTGTCAGACGAAGTATAAAGTATAATCATAGACCCCGTAGAATCCTCACATTAATATATAGAGAGGGAGCATTATTTAGTTGTATTCACTGCGAGGAAGATTGAAATCTCCAGATCAACTTGTTTCATTATTTTTCATCTATGTCTACATTACACAGCATAATGATTGCTTCAACCAGCAGTACAGAGGGCCTCACCCCCGCCGAGGGTTCCAACGATAGCAAAGGCATAACGATCCGGTAATTAGCGCGGAAGACGCTGAAATGCAAGATGATCTCTACTAGAATGATACATATGACAACATTGCCATAATAGGCATGGCATGTCGGGTCCCAGGAGACGTGAAGTCCCCCTCCGCACTGTGGCAATTCCTCCTCGACAAAGGTGATGCCTCAGGCGACATTCCCCCCTGGCGCTGGGATCCTTATCGACAACGCCATCCTCGCAATGCCGCCGTATTAGCTCAAACCACTGCCAAGGGCTAATTTCTCAACAACATCGACCAGTTCGATGCCGCCTTCTTTGCCATCTCCCCACTCGAGGCGGAGCAGATGGACCCCTAGCAGCGAATTGCCCTCGAGGTTGCCTGGGAGACTTTGGAGGATGCAGGCATCTCTCCTTCCCGTCTCGCAGGTTCAAACACTTCCGATTATATGGGTGTCAACTGCGATGACTATGCCAAGCTGGTCTTGGAAGACCTTCCCGATGTCGGTGCCCATATGGGCGTTGGCACAGCCTACTGCGGCATTCCTAGTCGTATATCCTATCTGCTGGATCTGATGGGTCCCAGCGTTGCACTGGATGCGGCCTGTGCATAATCACTAGTCGCCGTACACCATGCCCGACAGGCTATCCGCGCTGGTGAGACCGATCTGGCCATTGCAGGTGGTGTCAACGCGCTCCTGGGACCCGGGTTGACCCGTGTGTTGGACGAAGCGGGAGCAATCTCCGCGGACGGAAAGTGTCGTTCCTTCGACGACTCGGCTAGCGGGTACGGCCGAGGCGAAGGAGCAGGTGTGGTCATCCTCAAGCGTTTGGATAAAGCCCTGACGGACGGCGACTAGATGTTGGCCGTACTGAAGGGCAGCGCGGTGGCCTCAGATGGCAAAACGTTTGGAATCATGGCACCCAACGCGCAGGCACAGCTTCTCGTTGCGCAAAAGGCGCTCAAAGAGGCCAAGATGACGTCTGACTCCATTAGTTATATTGAAGCCCATGCTACTTCTACATCACTAGGCGATCCCACAGAAACGAGCACCCTGGCTGAGGTATACGGTGTAGGATCCGGACGGCACCCACCCGACCCGTGTTATATCGGTTCCATCAAGCCGAACATTGGCCGTTTGGAGGCCGGTGCTGGTGTCATAGGTCTCATCAAGGCCGTGCTTGTGCTCCGCCATGGTCGAGTGCTCCCACAGGTTAATCTACAGATGTTCAACAGTAGAATTAGATGGAAGGAGAGCTTACTACGCCCGGCTCGCGAGCTGGTGACACTGTCCAATGGCGGCCCATCACGACCGTTGCGGGCGGCTATAGCATCTTACGGATACAGCGGCACGGTATCTCATGCGATTATCGAGGCCTTTGAAGAACGATCCTTGTTTGCCGAGCGTCTGGGCCAGATCCCGGACAGTGATGCTGCGCCAGTTCTCCTTCTCTTGTCCGTGCCGCAAGCGAACCGTATCTCCACAACGGCTGGGGGTCTAAGCCAGTGGTTGCGCGGCAATGATGGAGCGCTATCCCTGGCGACAGTCGCGTCCACGCTGTCGCAGCGCCGCGCGCATCATCGCTTCCGCCATGCCATCGTCGCTGATTCTGTCGCAAACGCCATCGCTGCCCTCGATGATCTCACCAAGGGTGTGCCAAATCGATGGGTAATCAACGACAGAATTGGAACCGAGGCAGCTAAGGGCACTGTCTGGGTGTTCTCGGGCTGTGGTGCGCAGTGGCCAGACATGGGTCGCGAATTATTCCACTCTAGCCCGGTCTTCGGGGAAGCCGTGCGCAACCTGGAGCCGATTATTCAAGCCGAGTTAGGGTTCTCCGAGATTGAAACCCTGCACGCTGGCTGTCCAGATCGCACTGATGTTATCCAGGCGATGACATTCCTTATGCACCTGGGCATTGCAGCCGTGCTCGAGGCGGAGTCCGGTCCTCCTACCGCTGTCGTGGGCCATTCTCTGGGCGAGGCCGCCGCGGCAGTCATCTCCGGGGCACTGACCTGGCATGAAGCAGCCCTGGTAGTATGTCGGCGAGCGCGTCTCTACCGAGAGTTGATAGGACAAGGTGCCATGGCCCTGGTTCGGCTGCCGTCATCTGAGGTCCGTGCTCGTATCGCCACGCACCCCGGCGCGTTCATCGCCATCGAGGCGTCACCGACCACATGCGTGGTGTCTGGCACTGTTGACGCGGTCCACAAGGTATCCGAACAATGGCGTGAAGAAGGCATCGAGGTGCGTGCCGTCGCCACGGACGTGCCCTTCCATACACCACTGCTGGAAAAGCCGGCAGCTCCCCTCCGCGACGCGTTGAAGGGCGAGCTCCACCCTCAGGTACCGCATCGAGCGCTCTATTCGACTTCGCTGCTGGATCCACGCTCGGAGGCACCTCGCGATGTGCAATACTGGGTGATAAATATGGTCCTACCGGTCTTACTGCAGTCGACAGTGGCGTCGCTCGTGGACGATGGATTCCGCGCATTTGTGGAGGTAGCGAGTCATCCCATCATAACGCACTCGATCGCCGAGACTATCAGCGAGCAAACGACGGACCGATTTATCGCGATACCCACAATGATGCGTAAGCAGCAGGCACGAAGGAGCATCTTGGCCGCCGTGGGCCGCTTGCATTGCTTCGGCTGCGCTGTGAAATCTACAGATCTTGACCCGACTGCGCCATGGAGTTCATCAGTGCCAGGTACAACTTGGCATCACCAGCCATTCTATCGCGCAGTGAGCAGGATGACAGATGCACAGCTGGCTCCAACCCACAAGCCAACCGCCAATAACTTGCTGGGGACTCGCACCGCGCTGTGGGGAACGGACGAGGTACTTTATCAAACCCGCCTCGAGGAAGACAATCGGCCTTTCCCCGGCCGTCACCCACTCCATGGGTCAGAGATTATCCCTGCCGCTGTGCTCTTGAACACATTCCTGCGTGCACTCTCTCCCAGGAGCGTGGAGGAAGTGTCGCTTCAGGTGCCTGTAGTAGTGTCTCCGGCCCGCAAGATCCAGATCCGGCATAACACGCGTAACATCACTATTAAATCTCGTCTGTCAACAAGCAATGAAGATGGCTCGTAGCTTTTCAATACCACCGCAACCGTAGGTCCGGTTGATGCAGCAGCTTCTATCACCCATGTCAACATAGCGGAGATCGGGAAAAGATTGCCGCAGAAACTGTTGAACAGCTTTTCGATTACTTGACCTCTGTAGGCGTTTCTGCAATGGGATTCCCATGGAGGGTGGCTCACCACGTGGCCAGCGAAAACGAGATGCTGGCCAAGGTAGACGCCAATCCGGACAGCCTGGCTGGTATGGATGATCTTTTGACATCCGTCATGGATGCAGCAACCTCCATCGCGTCTTCCCTCTGGCACCGTGAGCCTCGACTCCGCATACCCACAGCTGTCCGTCGCGTCGTCGCCGTTGACATGACCACCCAACAGATCGTGTACATCCACTGCGCGAAGGCACAATCCTCCGTCGACGAAGCTGACGTGATCATCAGTAGCGAGGATGGCACCGTGCTGATGGAATTCCAGGGTATGGCCTTCGCGGGTGTGGAGGGCGAGTCGCTATCGCGAAAAAATACCTCTGGCCTGGTGCACCAAATCAGCTGGCCGCCTGCCACGCTGGTTGAGGAGCCGCTGGAATTCTCCCACATAGCCTTCCTGGTGCGAGATGCCACCAAGACCCACGTGGAAAGCTACCAGGGACAGCTTGAGAGCAGATGTATCTCCACCTCTGTCCATCAGCATGCCTCCGACTTACCCTTGACAACTCATTCGTCTCTGGCGGTCGTCTACCTCCCTCAAGTCACCGATCAAATCTTCGAGACCGCAACCCTTAGCTACAATGGCCTCGTATCAGCAGCGCAGATTATTTTATCCTCCTCAAATAAACCCACCGTGCGCCTCTTCGCCCTCACATGCGAAACAAATCTGGGTCACAGCGCCCTCACTGGCCTCGGTCGGATTCTACACACCGAACATCCCGAGATCTAGGGTAGTCTGATCGACCTTGAAGACCCTTCGGTCTTCCCGCTCATGGCAATGCGCTGCGTACGTCGCGCTGATGTCATCAAAATCCAGGATGGGGTCCCACGCACCGCTTGCCTCCGCCCGGTCCGCCCCGCCCCGCCCCGCCGTCGGACCCGCTGCTCTCACATTCTCCCCAGCATCAACATATCTCATCACCGGCGGACTTGGCTGTCTGAGACTCTCCGTAGCTCAGTGGATGGTCAGTCAAGGGGCGAGACGTATCCTGCTGCTTTCTCGTCGGTCTCTGCCGCCACGCTCCACCTGGACCGCCTCGCATAAACCCGAGACCCAGTCCATCATCCAAAGTATCCTCTCTCTTGAACGCCTCGGTGCTACTGTTCACTCCCTCTCCATCGACATTGCTCATCCATCTGCAATAATCAACCTCCGCTCAGTCCTCACCATACTCAACCTCCCACCCGTCGCCGGCGTAGTCCACGCCGCTGGCCTCCTCCGTGACCAGCTCATCGAGAAAATCACTCCAGAGGCCTTCGAAGCCGTCCTCGCGCCTAAGGTTGCAGGTGCTTTGGCTCTGCATGCGGTCTTCCCTCCCAACTCCCCTGGCCTGGACTTCTTCGTCCTCTTCTCTTCTTGTGGCCAACTCTTGGGATTTCCGGGTCAAGCTTCGTACGCGAGTGGAAATTCGTTCTTGGACGCTTTGGCACGATCACGCAGAAAGGATGGTGATAATGCCATCTCGCTTCTTTGGACCTCTTGGCGGGGCATGGGTATGGGAGCTAGTTCCAATGGAGCCCTTGAGGCAGAACTGTATGCTCGTGGAATCACGGATATGACTCCGGATGAGGCGTTCCGGGCTTGGGATTCAATCTCTGCCAGTGATGGTGCCGATCATGGAGTGGTTCTTCGTGTCCGACCGCTTGAATCCATGGAGCCGCTGCCACATGCGATCCTGAGAGATATTGTAGCGAGGAAAGAGAGCGTTCCTGATGAGCTAACTGGTGAGAGGGGAGAACAGAGGAAGACGTTGACTGGCACAAAGTTGGCGGAATATTTGCGTGTCGTTGTGAAAAAGTGTGTGTCGATAGATGAGACAGTGGCGTTGCCAGAGATGGGTATGGACTCTGTCATGACGGTGAGTTTTGGGCCAACGTTGGTGTAGAAGTACCCTACGGTGCATCATCTGGTTGAATATTTGTGCCAGGTGCTTGATGAAATATAGTTCCGAGATTGTTTTGTGGAATTAATGTATGTTTTAACACTTAGTTCACTTAGTTCTCAGCCATTTATTGTAACATAGCTTTTGACATGGATATTTCAATTGCTTACATATGTATGTAGATAGTGTTGGCTGTCTGGGTTCAGCTAGATTATCGCTGCGTAACTACACTGTAGTGCATGTACTATAATCGAAGGAGAAGAAGAGCAAAATTAGATAGCCAAGGAAAATGTACCTCTTTTATAGTTGTAATAGGGGTTATTTCCGTTCGGATGGCCCTCAGCTAGTAGATACACACTATAGCAAGCATAATACAATCCAACCCTTTTATAGATCTATAGATCAATGTAGAGGAGTATGATCGGAAAATTATTGACAAAATTAATCTACTTCCCTGGCGGACAGCTAACGTAAGACGTTAGAAAAGAGAGTTGCATGGTGATACCTGTTCTCGTTTCAAGTGGAGGGCTGGAGGCTCATACTCTCACACAAAGCTAAATCATACATCTTAATGGTGGCGCGGGCCTTGCATTTTATCCAGCTTGACCAGAATTTCCGCTGCACCTGCAGCCCCATACCCACCCTTTCTCCAGCAGGTTTCGATAATATCACGGGCCCAGATTCGCTTTCCCAGGGCAGGAAGCATATCCCGGGATGGGAACCTGGCGATAGAGTTATCAGTGCCAACGTTATGATAGAGGCTGATACCGGTCTCTCTTCCAGTGACAATCTCATAGAACACGAGGCCAAGCTGGCAAAGATCCGTCCAGATGGAGCAATTGTACTCATCTACCGTATGCGCCATGACAGTGTCGATAGGCATAATACTCGACGCACCGAGGTCACAAATCGCGACGTTCAACGAACCATCCAGCAGAATGTTGCGACTGAGAATATCACTGTGGATGACGCGACGTTGGTGGAGATTGTGAAGACCGATGGTAAGCTGGCGGAGCCACCGCCTTTGAAGCTCGATGCCGGGTCGTGCTCTGTACTTTAGCCACTTTGAAAGAGTACCGCCAGACATGTATCTCATCTCGATGGTATCACCAGGAAGGTCGATACAATGGACGATGCCTTCCACTGGGGTATCGAAGTTTGGTTGAATGCGCCGCCAGACTTCTTGCTCTCGTCGGATCCTGCTGCGGTTTTCTTCTACTTTCTCCAAGGTATCATTCTTGTAGACAATTGCCATTTTGATTGCCACGTCCTCCCGTTGAACCACAAGTGCTACGTCGCCAATCTCGAGGATTGTATGAGGCCTGATGTAGTGACCCTCGTCGTCGATGGGGTAATGCAGGGCATTCATGTTGGGTAAATGAATAAAGTAGCTGCGGTTGATTATTCACCTTTCTGTGGCAGGAGGAGATATCCTGAGCAACAGTTCGCTTTTGCTGGGTAGGCCTAAGCTGGTACATGGAGTTGTTAGCGTGTTAGCTGGCATAGTTTGGTCGGAAGAAGAAGCCATACCTGTCGAGACTGTGTTGATTTGGGGATGTGTTTAAGCAAACGGCCACAGTTCTGACGCTGGCTCTTGCACGGCTGTAAGGTAAGCTCCCCGAGGAGAATAGATGAAAGGTGCAGGTTGGACAGCTGGAATTTGGCGCTGTTCGATTGATTAGACTGAAATTATGATCTCTCGGGGATGCGGGGGGGGGGGGCAAGATNTGAGGTCGGAAACCTCCGAAGGATGTTTGTTTAAAACTAAAAACGAGCGGCTTAATGGCAACGTTTTGAGTATGGATGGTCACAAAGAACTGAAAGTGATATGAAAGAAAGGGATATGAATGGAAGTGAGATGGTTGCCTTCGACAGATGAAGATTCGAAGACCAAGACCGTTGATATCTGCCTTGTTACTGCCCTCTTGCCCAGGCCAAATTCCGTTATCCTCATATTTTTCCACTTTGGGAAAGACCGGGGGTTTGGACCATCCAAGGCCCAAACCATAGTGGAAATGCAATGATCCTCCAATTGGCATATTTAGATGCCTCAGCTGGGCGAAATTTCAGTTTGAGTGAATCTGATGTCTGTCTTTTGCTCTGACAAGTATATAAACAGCAGTAGAGATTCATTTAGCCTTTGGAAAACTGAAACTTAGAAGTGATTGGTGTATAGATCGTCACGTATGTCTCCTTACTGGAGACCTTCATCGCATCATATTGCGCCCACAGATCACCTGTTCGAAACTTTGCTTTTGTGATCTCATCCTTGAAGCCATGCATGATGTTGTGAAATCTTCATAAATCATCCCTGCATAACCTTGCACATTTAGTTAGCTGAATATGCAGTCAGCCAAAGTGTACGAAGAGTATATGTGGTTCGTTTAACACAAGGAGTGCCTGGCTACAACCTGTAGCCAGTATTTATGGACATTAGACGTACGCACTCGATGGTTGATAGGCTGACTTGGATTTCATAGAGACCACTCAGAAGAATCTAAAGGCTACTCCCGAGAAGTGAGAGTACGAAGGAGAAGTAATTGCTCGAAGAAAGTAGCCCTGGGGACTTTGGGACTTTGGGACTTCGGGACCTCGGGACCTCCCGGGCTTGGCAAATAAATTAGTAAGCAATGACATGTCGATGAATAAGGACCCTGGTCTACTGTGGTACACCTTTATACCTCCTTCATGGCAATATCCATATACAAAACGATTGGTACTCTAATTTCGCTCTAAATCTAACTGCTTCTGTACATTGAACACCCATCATTTGAACTCAACTCCCACAGATTCATCACGCATTCATAATTAATCCATTTACTACTCGTTCGTGAGAACGTAGCGGTAACGAGCATCACCATTGTCCATATCAAGGATGGCCTGGTTGGCATCCTTCATTGAGCGCTCCTGAATCCAAGGCTTGACACCCTGGGCAGCAGCCAACTCCAACATCTCCCGAATCTCACCAGGGCTACCAATCAATGAGCCACCAAGCTTGAGACCCTTACCGATGAGCACGAAAGCCGGGATCTCAAGAGCACCATCCTCGGGGACACCGAGCTGAATAAAGGTGCCGTGGACGCGGAGAAGTCCACAGTACTGGACAATGGGCATCTTAGAAGAGGAGGCAGTGGAGATGATCAAGTCGAGAGAGCTAGCGTGACGGGTAGCCCAGTCCTCCTCCTCGCCGGTAGCGATGAAGTCATCCGCACCGAGCTTGAGCGCATCCTCCTTCTTATCAGACTTGCGGGAAATAGCGACGACGCGGTCAGCACCGAGCGCCTTAGCGAACAAAATCGCAAAGTGACCGAGACCACCAACGCCGACGACACCAACGGTCTTTCCGGGGCCACAGCCGTTCCGCTTAAGAGGCGAGTAGGTAGTGATACCGCCGCAGAGCATAGGCGCCGCATCGGCAGAGGAGATGGCATCGGGGATCTTAATCACGAAGTGCGAAGGAGAGCGGTTGTATGTGGAGTAACCACCGTACGACTTGCCGCCATTAGGATAGGTACCGTTGTACGTGCCGACCATCTTACTGCAGTGCTGCTCGAGACCAGCGGCACATGATTCACAGTCCCCATCCTTGTTCTGGCATGAGCCGCTCTGCGCGCCAACACCGACACGGTCACCAATTTTAATATCTCCCACAGCCTGGGATCCGACGCGGACGGCAGTTCCGACGACCTCGTGGCCGACACAGCAAGGGTAGTTGGTGGGTCCCTAGAAATGGAGCTAGTATTAGCAACGTCATTCAATCCCGAATTTCAAGAGGGATGCGACATACCCATCCACTACGTAGAGTGTGCAAATCCGAGCCACAGATACCACAGTGAGTGACCTTGATATCGATATCGGTCTCCTCCCAGGGCTTAGGCTCGAATTCCTGCCAGACCATCTTTCCCTGGGCAGCTTCGGGGCTGAGACCTACCCAGCCTTCGAACTTGTAATCAGTGGAAGCCATTATGAAAGAAAGTGTAAAAAAATGTATAAAATTGGGTTTCGATTGATTCGATGGATATGATCTACAATCTATTCCTGCAGGGTCCTCGATTCTTTAAACTACTCACGCGGAGAGATCCAGCTCCGTCTCGGAGGGTTTTCGTGCAAATCTGGATTTGTGGCGATGTGGTCATGGAGATGAAGAAAAGGTCCACTTGACCCGTTGAGTGGACTATCGCGAAGTGGATTGTCATGGAGTGGGCTGTAATCACGGCCTTAATTTATGTTATGTCCGGTGAAAGAATTTCATTTGGAGGCGAATAAACCACACTAACAACCGCTGATAGAGTAAGTAATAATTTTGATGATATCAGATAGTTGCTTTCCGGAAGTATAAACTCCCTATTGAGCTATTTCTTCCCTAGGGATGTAAGATGCTTACTTCCCAACATCACTCCAGGGCTGATATCGGACTTAAAAATGCTAAGCCCATGGTTTATGCCGGCTTATGCCCGACAAGCTCGTTGTGCATTGGTCAGGAACAATTTTGGGTTTGGAAAGGAGGTTTCAGAAAAGAATGGAAAGACATTTTGATTCGACGAGATATTTATTATAGTGGGGAATCTTCATAATTATTCATAATTATTCATAATTATCCATACTTAACCATCGTCGTCCATGAATGTCCATGATTGTCCATGATTGTCCATGCTCGTCCATCATCTATCGTCAATTTTTGTCAAGCTTTTGTCTCCCCATTATCTGAAGGAACCGCTTTTTGCCGGCGGAAATAATATTGAACAGAAAGCACAAAAGCGAGGACCCATGAGGCACCGGCAATAGAGCAGATCGCAGTGAGACCGTGCAAGTACTTCGGAGCGTCGGAAGTGCGGAAAATCTGCGAGCCAGCGATACCAGCACAGTTAGCAGCCATGATGACCAACGCCATGGCAACGCTTCGTTCCTGGGGTGTGCGGCAGTAGAATGATAGCCATCCGACATTGAGGATGCTAATATTTGATCAGAGCGGGTTATAGACGCTTGGGGGCAGTGAAGGAACTTACTGCATGCTGCAATAGGAGATATTTGCAACGGCAATAACTCCATACCGGTGCCATGGTGAAGCGTGGGGGCTACTTGTACGAAGGCAAGCGTAGGAAATCACATTCCAAGTGATCGCCAATAGCACAAAGGGTCCACGGTGTCTCGTTTTGTCGCTGTGACGTGTTAGAATCTGTTTCATTGTCATAAGAGTCATAGCAAGCACTCACGCAGCAAAAGATAACACAATCAGCCAGATCATACCACAGTAGACTGGAACCGAGGCCAAGGCGTTCGCCTTGACAGCACCGAATCCCAGTCCTTTGATCATACTAGGTGTGTATTGGGTCAACCCCGTGAAGCCAGTCATGGAGACCAAAGTCACGAAAACATGTTGCAGGATCCGTGGCTGTTTGACAGTCTGCCAGATATCAGAGCCTGAAATTTGGATATGGCCCTTGGCTTTGCGAGGGTCATCTAGCAGAACGCGATTGCGAATGATGTGCGACTCGCGCTCGGTGAAGTAGCTCCAGCGGCCGAAGGCGATCAATGGACGCCCATCTCCGGCAGATGGAGGCACGAGGAGAGTGAATACGATTGCGATGAACAGGGTGATTAAGCCCTCGACTGGAATGTTCATTAGACAAGCTCGGGCAAGTAATGTATATATTCATGATTTGCACTTACCAAGGAAGATCCATCTCCATCCCTCCATACCATGGGTGCCATTCAGCTGAAGGAGACCGGCGGATATCAAGCTCGATGTAGCCGATGCGAACATCTGCCCGTAGAAGAAGAGACTGGTACGAAGACTGGTCTCGTCCTTTTTGTACCAGGTGGAGAGGTAGTATAGAGCGCCTGGGGGTTGTTAGTCGATTATCCAAACATGAATATACATTTCCATACCAGGAATAAAACCACCCTCACAGAATCCCAACAAAACCCGCGTAACCAGGTACGCGGGAAACGAGTTAACAAAGGCCTGGAAGGTCGCAACCAACCCCCAAGCGAACAATTGACCCGATAACCAGACACGGGGTCCAATTCGCTGCATAATAATATTCGATGGGATCTCTGAAAGAACAATACCAGCAGAGAGCAGTTGTGATCCGATATTGATTTGGTTTGTTGTGATATTAAGGTCTTTTGTGATAGTCGATGTCAACACGGCGCTAATATTGCCACGGTCCATTTGCAAGGCAAAGAAGGCTACTGCGAGAATGGGAATAAGGATGAAGTCGATTCTAAGAGGATTGTATTAGTGATATGTGTATAGTTGATGGGTGATGAGAATTATGCGTACTTCCGTCGAACGGCAGATTCTTCGGTATCCCAGTCTTTGACAATACCATGATCAGACTCACTAGATGAGTCGATGACCTGCTCGCCTATTTTGTGTTTCTCATCGAAGAGGTCTTGGTCTGCCATCTTGCGACTCAGACCTTGAAACAATAAAAAAGTAGGAAAGAAATAAACAAAACAGCAAGTATAGACGATCAATCCTTAGATTAGCGAATTTACAGGAACACTCCTGGATGATCGCCCACTCTTATATAAATCGTAAAAGACAGCTTGAGACAAGATTGCGTAGGTCAATGGACTAAATATCAGCTAAAAAAAACCTGTAGAATGCGTATGAACGCGAATTTTTGGATGTCGCGACACAGGGAGATATGGCGCAATCACGGTGACTCTGACGGGATTCGCCGAACGTACAGTCTTTAGCTTTAGTCTCTGATACTGGGGAAATATGGAGTTTTTTTCTCGCTTTCTATTCGATAGGCACTTTCTTTGACTTTGACTTTGGCTGTTTATCCGAAAGTCTATAGCCACGTTCCCGAATGTTCATACTTCCCGTCAACCTTACGTTGCCTGATACGTACACTAAAATTAAATATTGAACAAATTTGACTATATCCGATTTGAATCACTATTTACAGTCTAAAATTAAAGTTATCTCTTTACACCCACACATCCCAAGACACGCCGTATCGACTAGTCAACGGTACTTGGGGACCCTCAGCCTCAATGATGTATCCCGCATCACACCAGTCAAACGAGACCTGAGGCTGTGCGCCATAGAAACCATCATACTTTTTATGCAGAGCATCTTTGAGAGTACTCACTGGATCTACCGGTTGAAGGACATCCCAGGGATGGACGCAACTCATACCCTGGCAAGACTTAAGGACCATCAAAAGAGCATCGAGTCGATTGATAGCCTGGGTGAAGCTGCGACCAAGAATTCGTGGCTCATTGATATTCCCATGGGATGTGGTCGGGTATAGATTATTCAGCTGGTGCGGATCGGTCTTGCAAATGAATCAGTTGTTGCTATGATAAAGAACTAAGGTACGATTTACTCACCGATAGATCGTACAGTTCATGTTCGTTGTTGCACCAGACCGAGTAGTACAAATTGTAGCCTTGTCCGAGTAAGCGCACGGATTTGTAGGTGTTGTTCGGGATCAGGGTCGAGCCTCCGGGGCCTGCCTTGGAATTAGTATCACGTATCTCATCATCACCATGACAATGTCGCCTGGACTTACCAATGCCACTATAAGCACCTTCCACAACAGCAGAGCCCCAGTATTCTACTGTAACATGTTCATGTCTCTCACCACCAAACTCGGGCGTCACAGGAATCGCTGTACCATCGAAGTCATCCCTGGCCGGAATACCCGCAAGATGGAACAGGGTTGGCGCCAAGTCCACATGAGTAGTGACAGCATCCTGCACATATCCCTTGGCAACGCCAGGTCCACGAATGAACAAGGGAACACGAATATCCTCCTCAAACCCGCAAGTCTTCCCGGGCGGCAGTCTGTGTTGGCCAATATGAAACCCATTATCCGAGGTATAGATAATATAAGTGTTATCCATCTGGCCACTCTCTTCCAGGCGAGTAACAAGCCCATCAACTAATTCATCCACACCCTGCAAGGCGCGGAGACGCGAACGATAAAAGTGATCGTTGTAGTCGACCACCGATTGGTTCTGCAGGGGGAGATCGTGAACCCAGCTGACTCCACTTGGCTGCGCAAGAAAATAGAATCAGTCAGAATGAGCCACCATAAACACGTTCATTTGAATCTAGGCTGCGCTTACCTGATCCGGATTGAAATTTGCCGTGCGAGGCACCGTGACACCCTGGAATAAATGCTCATGTCGTTCGAGGGGGATGGGCGCGGACATGTAGATCTTGCCTGAAGCAATATTGCCCGGATCGACATTGGAGTGCGGCGCGACGGGCGACACGGCCAGGAAAAAAGGCCTCTCCCCGGCCAATGCATCATTGAGGAAACCCAGTGCTTTTCCCGTGATCACGTCGATGGTATGTTCACCCTCATAGCTGACAGGTGGTTCATGATTTCGCTGGTAAGTCGAATTGAGGTAAGAATAGGTATAAGGATCGAGAAGGAAATCCGATCCATTAAATCCATTGATGTGTGGGCTGTGGTAGTTGTCCACGGTATGTGCGTTGAACATTTTGCCGGTGTAATATGTGTCATATCCTGCCCCTTGCAGCCAAAGCGGGAGGAAATCATTATTAAAGCCGCGCTCGACAAATTTGGGATATCCGCCGTAGGGTGGATGGACATCGGTTACATTTGTGTTGTGTGCCTGGCGACCGGTCCATAGACTCACACGCGACGGACAGCATAGGGCTGTTGTAACGAAATGGTTGCGGAAAAAGGTACCCTGGTCACGGATATGTTTTGAGATCAGAGGAGTGTAGGATATGGAATCGAGTTGGAGGTCTTGATCATCGGTAATCACGAAGAGGATATTTGGTTTGCGCGATTGTGTTTCGCTGTCTTTGAGTATGGATTGAACGGCTGATTGCAGGTTGGATTGGAGATTGAGGGCAGTTACCCCTTCGGCGGCGATGAGGCCGACAAGGGCATTGATTAATTTCATTGTGAGATGATTTGCAGTATTCCAAGAGAGACAAAGCTGGATGAGTATATGATTTACGAAGTACCTACGGAGTACAAAATAGGTAAATTCGAAAATGAAGCTCCCGAGATCTCGGCAAATGTGGAGTGTGAAATGTGGAGATAAGCAAATGATGCCATCGATGGCTTCAATGGCGATCCGGTGTGGGGCAGTTAAACCAAAGAGTCAAAATATCAGATATTTCACAGTCTAACCATCTGGTTTGTACAACAATGAACTGTAGGGAATATATATTGTACAACATCGGACAGTTTATTCTCACATCCAGGATTATTTCTACCCCAAATATTTATATATATTTATATATACAACAGTATACAACATCACACATATCTATGTTGTAGTTAACTAATGTGGATGGCGTGCTTCGCAACCACAATGAGCACATATCCATACAACCTGCCCCATATGGTTAGAACGTCAAGTCTCTTATGGCCAACGACATTCGACGTTGCTCATGAGCGGGGACTTCAAATATTCCGCCGCCCCAGGCTGCTGGGTTCAATCCTTGGCGGTCATATTTGGATTTAATCGCAGTAATAACGCACGCGTCGGGGAAATTGAGAGCGAGGATATCAAGTGAGGTACATAAGGCAGGGTTTGAGGGGAGTTCGGTCTGGGCCTTAGAGAGACAATCGTTGGGCGCTAGTAGGTAGGGAAGAGAACCTGCCATTATAACTACAAGCATCTCCTCGACATACACCAACAATTCACCTTGTTAGTAAAAGGCAGTTCCCTCGCTCTCCGTCTTCTTCCCCCTCCGCGAAGCTTAGCTGAGTGAACCCCTTTTGTCGTTACGCAATCTTTGCTAGCGAGAGTGGCCCATCCTACCATTTATCGTTCTTTTTACGCTCTGGGAAGCCCAGTTGAGTCTCATTTCTGTACCTCTTGTTGCTAGGGATTTGTATCTAAATACTATAGACATATCCCCTCAATCCAAGGGCCACGCAGTATTACACCATATATTGACTAGCAAAGCTCAACTATCCCTTTTTAATAGGAGGATATGTATATGAATCATAGTAGCCATCGTGAAAAGTAGGTTCTTGCTTCTCAACAAAATCGGCTGTGCGACGGCGTTTGCGTGGGGAGGAGCAACCGAAATTCGGTGTTGGAGAGGGCGATGTGGACCTTGTGGCTTTCTTGAGGAGCTCCAAGTCCGACTGGACTTGGTGTTATGTTCGTTCAACGATGAAATCAATGGCGTTCTGTAGGCACTGTATTGAATGATACGGTAGCCTGTCGGTCGGGGGTTGTTAGGTTTGATCCTTTGAGGGAAGATCTTCTAGACCCTGTCATTGTGCCTGGGATCTCGATACTATTTAGTTCGCAGACGAGAAGATAGTTTGCACCAGCTTCGCCGGCGTAAGACGAATGTGTTGCTATCATGGTGGGAGCGATCTTGTAGGAGAGAGAAAGAGCATTTGGAAGGAAAGAGTTAGGGAGGAGGAGGTCTGATATGCGCTTGGAAGGACCTCTGCTGTTCATGACCTTGTTGGCTTATTGATTTTACTCTACCACAGATTAGTACCTCGATAGTAGTAGAAGCTTCTATAAATATAGTAAATATAGAGAGGTGTACTAGTCAGCGCTACTATTATCCATGGATAATTTTAGGATATTGCTATTGTATTTGAGAGAAAACAGAATTCATTTAGACAAAGGTGAGTATTCTAACAAGCCTTCCTATTCGATTTTAAATAATATAGTTCTGCAGAGTCCTGAAAAGACGATCATCGACCTTTAGGCCGTTAAGCTGTCATAAGGAAAGCTCGCTTGGCCTTGCACTCCCCCTTCATGCATAGTCTTTTCTTCTACCCTGGAAAAATTTCCTACTTTATTGAATTTTATAATAGAATCGGAAACTTTCATTAACTAAAAGCAACCTGAGCTGGAATGTTTACCTACGATACAACACGATTAGAGCTCCGCAAACCACAAAGCCCAAAGCCTAGCCCGCCTCAACCTACTAATGGGCTGGGTTTTAGGCCCAGTCCTTAGGCTCACTAGTGGGCTATGGGCCCGGGGTAAAAGCCTGCAGGGCTTTCAATAGGGGCCTAATAGGGCCCAAACGCACTAAACAATGCAAACATTCCGAAAAATATGGCTTTTTTAATTACCCTGTGTTTAGACTATGTTTTATGCCTTTATTTCAAGGTAATATTTTGATATTTTAATTAATTCGAAATTATTCGCTTGTTAGATCTAATTATTACGTTCAAAAACGCGAGAAAACGCGTTATTTAGATAATTGATAAATTACAAAAGTTCACTTAGAAAGTAGTAGTACTCCTATACAAACCTAAAATATACATCATATCAAAATATCAAGATTAACGGTATCTCGACTTCTACCGGTTAGATTTTGTTTAAAATCAAAACATATACTTATATAGCTATTAATATTCTAATTTGCAAAGATTTAAACTCTATATAATAAGTGGAATGTTAGAATACAGCGATTACAAGATACCAGTTGAACCCCCTTAATAGGCTGTAATAGGGGCCTTGTGGGCATAGGCTGTGGGTTAGGTTAGGCTTCGAAGGTTAAGGCCACAGCCAACTGCTGGGAGGCTTTGGGCTCGGGGTTCGGGCCCATTTATGGGCTTTGCGGAGCGCTAAGCACGATGCAAAGCGAAGGAAATGCCAAGATATCTGCGAAGGCATTTGCTAAGAGTTCGGGCGTTGTTTCCTCCTTGCCCTACTCCAATCAGATCTCCCGACTAGGGTCCGATGTTACGTTATTGTTTATCATTGGATTTGGATGGATGTATGGACTTACTCAGTCCGCAGGTGGCGCCCGTGTGTTTATTTAACATCTTTCTCCAGGGACTGGAGGTCATTTCTACATATGGGGATGTGCCCCAGGTGCCGCTGCTGCTGCCTTAAACTGTGATCTACAATTTCCGGGTTAGTCCAATATTTCCAATATGCTCGGGTTTTCCCATGCATCGGTGATCGCACCACTGCTAGCTATGTTGCTATGCAGCCCTAGTGAGTCAAATATTGCGTGTGTGTTGTGAACTCCCTATCCAGTACCTGGACTTATGTTGCCAGATGCCTTCGCTGTCAACTGCAGCCCAATCTGGATCTATTACACGCTTGCCAGTTCATCTTGAAGAAAGTTCACGCCAGCATAGGGATTCTTGCCTACAATCTCACCTACCTGGATATCACGAGTCTAGTTCCGCGGAAACTATGACGCTTGGCCCCCCGAATCTCACGACACTCCATCACGCAGGGCTGCGCAATGTGACCGACCTGAATATTAACCCGATGCAGATCGACTCGCTCGATGGTTTGACTGAAAATCCGCTCAATCTGCGTCAAGCTTGGATTCGAGGTCCATTCCCGAATGTCAACCACATTGCTATTGGATTCACGTCTGCCGACCACGTCAGGATGTATGACAATCCATCTCTCGCGCTAGGAGGCTCCTCGACAATGTAAATGACCATAGAACGACTTAGCCTCAGTCGTATTACGGATTTTAAGTGTAACGCACAGCTTACGAGACTCAAGGTTGATACCATGGAGTTGTCAAACGACATTTCTATCACTCATCTAGAAATCCCGTTCGATAATCTCTGATCTCTCAAAATCCGTCAAGAATATGAGACCCATACTCTGAAATCTATCACTCTTTCCCCCAAAGCCGTGATTGGACAGGTGGCTTTGAACTCCACATTCAAAGTGCCCCAGATCTGAATTTGACTTCGATGTACGGTGTCAACGACCAAGGCAATCGCATTCAGACTTGGTACTGGCCAAAAAATATCTCGTTGATAGATATCTCCAGCGTTACTATAGGAAATGCATTTTTGTAGGTGTCGCTTCCTCGCTCGCAGTTCTGGGGTGGTAATAAAAGCTTACCTAGAAGAACAGCGATCCTTTTGTCGCCCAGCAATGGGCCCGTTGAACAGTCAATTACCTCCTTCGGTCTTGACTGACTTTGCAGTTATTCCATCATTAAACTTTACTAGTTTCAACTGCACGCTATTCGTTGAGCTCAAGCGTATGGGCTGCTTGCTAAACGATACATTGTGGTTCAATTGCCGCGATTCAAAATCGTCTACCAGCGGGCTATTCCTGCTTATTTACCAATTGCCTCGGCCTTGTGAGTGCAGTGCTAGGGATTTGGATCTGGGTGCTGTAAGCGAGTCACCTCCGACACAAGGGCAACAGAGTGTTGTGCCATACATTGACTAGCGAAACCCATATTTCCTTTTTTAACAATAAAGAATAGATTTTGATATTACTGATAGAGCCTATGATTCGTATTCACCTAATTCATAATTTAATCCAAAACAATTGCCCAAATTGCCCAACTGTTTTATTATAACCTTGGAAGATTTATCTCTTACCTAGGTAAACTTTCGAATGCAGCATTCGTTCACGTGCCTTTGGCGTGAGAACCTTTTTCTGTCTTCTCTTCCGTTCTCATCCTCTCTTGCTCATAATCCCCCTCCTACGATCTAAACCACCCCAGGTTGCAGCTATGCCGAAGTGAGGTACTCATCCTTTGATACTATTATCAGAACATTGCCGACATTTCTAGTAGCAATCAAGCCCTGGACCCCCCCCCCCCCCCCCCCCCNCCCCCCCCCCCCCAAATAAGTAACCCATGGTTCGACTGAAAACGCTCCCGAACCCTGGGCCCAAGTCGCCGTCCGGCTTCCATGGCCTGTCTCCAAAAATACTATCCCCACTATTGTGTGTCCTGTACCAACAAGAATTCAAGAGAGAAGTCACACTTTGCCAAGACATCAATTGGGATGGAGAAATATTCTACATCTCTCAGCGCGTTGCGCTCAATTCTGGCCACCCCATAAGCTGTCCAATTGCCTTCAGGCAGGTGGCTATCAATATGCTTGAACACACGACCAAGGTCAACATTGAGATTGTATAGGTTTGGCTTGATCATGTCTGTCTTCTCTCCTTTTCTTATGCCTGTGTTTTCTAACCTCGGACTCGAATTTTTAGGTAGGAGGATCGCTACACCGCATTACGCAGCCCGGGACGCTCGTTAAAAGTGCGAACCAGGGATGCCAAGGCAATGCGGGTCGCTCCTTGTATAGCTACAACTCAATGCCCAACAAGCGTGGATAGTTTTGAAATAACTTGGAAGTCCTTCATGGTTGAGTCCTAGAATGAATCAGCTCCAGTGCAGGAGCAAGGCATTGTTGTTGATTAGTGCCAGGGAGATTTGCTCGGCTCCCTGTATTGAGCTGTTGAACTAGGCGGAAAGCCAGACCTGCCAAAGCGCCATGTCTCAAACCATCATGCTAATTTCCGACGGTGAAACAGTCGTGGAGCAGGTACTGGCGCGAAGAGGCAATAAGTACTACCATAATGCTCTCACAATTTGAGCATTTTCCAGCATATCCAACCGATTGAAATCCCCCTTTACCCCCGTGAAGCTGTCGATATGCAAATCCACGCGAAATTAGGGTCAAAATCGGGCCGAGAGACTGTGGATGGAGCTATCGCACTAAAAAATAGTAAAAAAAGTGGAAAACGAATGAAAGTACAATATTACCAGAGTGGACCCTTTATAAGCCTGTAGGATGTGCGAGATCGGCAGAGAATGATCTCATGCCTCGGCCCCTCTTAGAAACCCATCTCAACATAAAAAGAAGATTCGCCAGGGGTAACAGCTCAAAATTCCACAAATCTCTCATATTCAAGAATGTCGTGAGTGCTCATGTACACCCATAGGGAAAAAAAAAAACTCACCCCCACAGTGCTCTTTTGACAACTCTTGGGCTCCGCGCCGCCCCTGGCCAGACAGCCGGGAACCACGCATCAGCATTGCTAGTGGTGAATTGGTTCTTCGCGTACATTTTGACGAGCCCTCGCGGCGCAAAGATTCGTCTAGGTCTCGATCACAATGTCAACCCGCGTGAGGACTTGACTACGTACGGCGAGGCGGCTGTACAGTCGGGAAAGATTACTCGTCAAACCCTTGATAAGCTAAAGCGCCAGACGTCGGCGCATGCCAATGTGCAGGAGGGATTTACTTTGTTTGTTGCGGCGAGTACGTGGATGTCCCTTTTTCTTCTTCAGGTTTCTGATGAACTTGGTGAAATTGTTGCACTGTACTGACCTTGCGATCCAGTCCTCATCTCCTTGTACGCCGGTCTCCCAAATGAGACTATCAATACCATCGGTATTTGGTATTCTATTTCCCGTGTTGCATACCACCTGTTCTACTGCAACATCGAAACTCGCTCTTTGAGCTTTTTGCGCTCAGCGGCTTGGTGGTCCGGAAACATCAGCTGCCTTTACGCGCTGGTACAGGCCAGCAAGAAGTTGTAGAATAGATGGAGGCAATCTTTCATTGCTCTCTAATCTCCAACGATAGATCGGCTGAACAATACAATACAATACAATTGCATGTACAATCACTGGGTCAAAGATGACAGTCGAGATAAATCTTGGAAGTCCAGGGCGGCGTGGCTAGGCGCTAGACGTCTACCAGAACTGATCAGAAGAGGAATGTGCTAAGGATATCACGAAGACAAAGTGAAGGATATGAGGGAACTGCGCGTGGAAAGGTTGTTTTTTTAACGATGAGTAGGACGCATCCTCACGGGACAACTCACTCCATCTAAGACTGGGCGTCAGCCACCTTCATAAACACAGTGTTCAACGCAAAATAAAAAGCCGAAAGGAAATGAGGTCTTGGAAGTCCTCCATGCCTGGAAAACCCACAACATCATCACCATGGGAATGTCGCATGACGAACTATTCGGCTGATTGGTGGAAGAACCCAACATTCAAGGGACAGATCAGCCCCAGACGGGGGAATGAATCCCGGCCATAACGATGAATCCCTCAGTTTCGAATGAGAACAATCCAACAACGTCCGAGCTCGCTCAAGCTCGTTCCGACATTCTCTCCACATCCCCGCTCGTTAATAACCTTGGCGAAATGCGGAGAAATGACTCCATTTACAGTCTATACACAACTGCCGCTAGCTTTCTCTATTGCCGCATTCCACAGACTCTGCCGATCCCCCAGCCTGTCATCGAATCTTTTTTACAGGCGGAGAAATCTCTTTCCTCTGCCCGTGCCGTTCCCCGGACATTGCTAATCTGGGGAAAGGTATGGCAGATATCCTGGGGTATTCTTATAAATTAGCACAGCCTGCTTAACTCTCCTACGGATCAAGTGACAGCAGCATCAATTAATTTCATTGACCTTGCTAAAATGAAGTTTCTCGCCATCAGTGCGCTCCTGCTCAGCACGGTTGGTGCTCTTGCGACAGAGCATATTATTAAAGGCGCCCAGATCATCCCAGCCAGCGATAAGACAGCATTGAAGAAGGTCGGTGCTCATGGACACCACAAGCACCACGACCGTCGGACAGTGACAATCCGGTCGTCGAAGAATGATACCGATGATGTGTCGGATGATTTCCTTTGGGGCATCAAGGCTGCCAATCATGGTGGTAGACTTCTCTTGCAGAAGGGGAAAACGTATGTTATTGGCAAGAAACTTGACCTTAGCTTCTTGGATAATATCGAGGTGCAGCTTGAGGGTGAAGTGAAAGTACATAGCCCCCAATACCGTGAGATTAAACCGCTCTGACATGACCAGTTCACCGACGATATCGACTACTGGCAAGCAAACAACTTTTACTACTCTTTCCAGAAATCGATCACTTTCTGGGTCTGGGGCGGCCAGGATATCAAGATCTTTGGAAAGGGTACTCTCAATGGCAATGGTCAGGAGTGGTACAATGCCTTTGCTGGCCTGGAAGTTCTGGTGAGCATGGTTCCAAAATAGTTGGGAGTGATCGGTGTTAATAAATAATTCAGGACCCGGACAACACCTTTTACCGTCCCATTCTATTCTTAACTGACAACGCTACCCGGGTGTCTGTCGAGGGTATCACCCAGCTCAACTCCCCCTGTTGGACCAACTTTTTCGTCCGTACCAAGGATATCTCTTTCGATGATGTCTTTATCAACGCCTTTTCCACCAACGCATCTGTAAGTCGTGCATCTGGTACATTACCAATCAAATCTAATCACCCATCCGTAGGCTTTACCCAAGAACACCGACGGATTCGACTCCTTCAACGTGGACGGTCTCAGTGTGACCAACACCCGCGTCGATATCGGCGACGACTGTTTCTCGCCCAAGCCCAACACAACCAACATTTTCGTGCAGAACCTGTGGTGCAACAATACCCACGGTGTCAGTATGGGAAGTATTGGACAGTACTCAGGTGTCGAGGACATCATTGAGAATGCCTGGATTGAGAACGTGACTCTGTTGAACGGCCAGGTAAGATGTTCCCCACAACATCTATCTTTGAGCGATTTACCCTAATCGGAATTCAAGAACGGCGTTCGTCTTAAGGCCTGGGCTGGACCAGACATCGGCTTTGGTCGCATCAACAACATCACTTACAAGGACGTTCATATCGAAAACACCGACGCCCCTATTGTGTTAGATCAGTGCTACTTCAACGTCAACGCCACCACGTGTGCCAAGTACCCGTCCTCAGTCAACTTCACCAACATTAACTTCGAGAATATCCATGGCACTTCGTCGGGCAAGAATGGTAAGGTTATCGGTGACTTGACTTGCTCGCCTAATGCTGTGTGTTCGGGGATTAAGCTCTCTGATATCGATATTACTAGCCCGGCTGGTGGTCCTCCCGTCGTGACCTGCGATGGAATTGATGGAGATATTGGTGTGGAGTGCCAGTCAAGCTCGGCCTAGATGGCGCAGTATAATATTGTGAGAGGAGAATCTAGAAATAGTCATAAATCAAAAGGACGAATCATAACCGAAGAAATATCATCAAATGTCGACTTAGGAAGTGTAGTCCGACAGGGGGTGTTAAGGTGCTATGTCCGAGGACACGGAGTAGTCATCTCCGAGATGACCTTGGAACATCCAACCAAGTGGCAACCATCAACTCCCCACTGGGATAGTCCACATCATCATCAGTAGGCTTTTCACAGGGATTGACTGCAACCGGTGGCTTATCCTGCACCGATTCTGCACTTGTTCTGCACTTATTCTGCACATGGCCATACAGAGCTCTCACCGGCCCAAACATGAACAGCCAGTCAGCCAAACAGCGAATGTGGAGAGCTAAGACTCGGCAGCTCCATCTAAGCCTCCCAGCCAATGAAAATGGAATCAAGCTTCGTCAACTCTCTTCCCCGAGAGAAAATAGATGTTGATATCCAACCGAGCCGATGTTCCCTCAAAATAATAACAAAGGAAATTGAAAATCAAGCGGTCATACTCTATGATAACTTGTCATGACGAGGATAATTCCCCTGATACTAGGCTACTCTCTCTCTCTCTCTCCACACCCCACATTCTCCCACAATCTAGATGGTAAGCCGGCTGAGACTATATCCGCCCCCTGTCTTTGACCAGATGTATGGAGCCTTGCTGGGAATGGCCCAGGATTTAGTTTCCCAGTATCCTGCTTGCAACTTTCTCCAATCCGGGGGAGCTGCATCCACAATCTCATCCGTTGCCCCCACCCCCAGATCCCCAGAAAGGCGGAGTACGGGGAAAGGACGGATTTGACAAGGTCTCTGCTATAAGAACGCCGACGCATACACGGGACTTCTACCCCCCCCCCCCCCCCCCCCNTATTCTCTTCGTCTGTGCTACTATCTCCCCACAGATCATAGCATTCATATTCAACATGGAGAAGATGGACGGCCAACATCAGCACATTGAAGGTGCAAAGGCTAATGCACAAGGAATGGAGTCTGGAAAGCAATGTGATTTTTACGTCGAAGATCAAGTCGCCCATCTATCTGAGGAACATCGCCAATATATTCTTGCGAAGCATGGAACACTTGATCTGGAGCCTATCCCTGACATGACCGATGCCGATCCATACAATTGGCCGCGATGGAGGGTGAGAGACCACAACTTCTATCATCAATTCACACTTAGATACTGTTTCTAATGTAGCTTGTTGATAGAAAAATTTGAACTTAACACTTGTTGCCTTCCACGCCATGATGGCTACATTCACTGCCTCGTCGATACAGTCTGCATTCGAAAATATCTCCGAAGACCTCGACGTCAGTATGCAGCGAACCAGCTACCTCGTCTCTCTCTTTATCGCTATACTAGGCGGCGCACCTCTCTTCTGGCGCCCGCTGTGCAATCGCTATGGTCGCCGCCCCATCTTCTTGATCTCGTTGATCTGCAGCTTGGTTGGGAATATCGGCTGTGCGAAAAGTCCTTCCTATGCAACTATGGGTCTCTCCCGTGCTATTACTGCGTTTTTTATCAGCCCCGCAGCTGCTATCGGTAGCGCCGTTGTTGCGGAGACTTTCTTCCGGAAAGATCGGGCTCGCTGTATGGGTGTGTGGACACTGATGGTTACTCTGGGTGTTCCTGCTGCTCCGTTTATCTTTGGATTCGTTGCTTTGCGGGTGGGTTATCGCTGGATTTACTATATTCTTGCAATTGTAAGACTTTCTTAACACCAACCTCTGGCAGATATACCCGTCTAACTATTGGCTTTGAACAGGTCAACGCAATCCAATTTGTCCTCTACTTTTTCTTCGGATCGGAATCCCTCTATATCCGTAGCAACGTCCCCTCGAACAACGCTATCGCCGCCAGGCAGAGCCTATTCGGATTCAATCGCATTGACCCTACATCGCTGAAACTCTGGGACTTCTTCCAGCCCCTGAGCTATGTGACGAAACCATGCGTGATCATCCCAGCCGTCGCCTACGCAATGATCTTCCTCTGGGGCAGTATCGCGCTCACAATCGAGATCTCCCAGATCTACCCTGCCAAATTCGGCTTGAACACCCAGCAGGTCGGTCTGCAATTCCTCGGTATTATTGTCGGATCTGTCATTGGTGAACAGATCGGCGGGTTTATCTCCGATCGCTGGATGCTTATGCGTCAGAAGCGCACTGGAGAACCATCCCCGCCGGAATACCGTCTTTGGTTGAGTTATATCGGCCATGCTTTGACGATTTGTGGTATTGTGGTGTTTGCTATTGAGATCCGGAATTCTGGCGGTGCATGGAATATCGCTCCCGTTATTGGTGCTGCTATCGCCGCTGGTGGTAATCAGATCGTTACTACGGTTGATATTACTTATGCGGTCGATTGTTACCGTGAAGATGCTGCCAGTGTGGGTGTTTTTATTACCTTTGTTCGGCAAATTTGGGGGTTCATTGGTCCTTTCTGGTTCCCTGAGATGTTCGAGGTGGTTGGTTGGGCCGGTGGTGCTGGCATTGCCGTTGCTCTCATGGTTGGTTTCAGCGTTATTCCGACTATCTTGGTGCAGTGGCGAGGAGCTGGCTGGCGTTGATTGACATGGCCGAAGACATATGATTTTCTCTTTTTATCAACTAAACAAGAGAATGCAGATGTTTACACAGTAGAAGATGGCGGTGCTGCTTACGCTTCAATCTATTTAATTGTTTTGTAGTATGCTGTACTTCGAATTTTTTCGCACAGTAGTGAATCAAATTGACACTACTGTGCATTACGATATTGATGTAATTCTTCTACTTAGATTAAGTATATTATACGTAGAGTCTAAGGTTCCCTGCTGGTATCGGCATAGAAGCCCTCCTATACCCGTGAGTAGCCTGGCAATGACTGCTAATCCGTTACATGATACTTCTCACTTGCTTCGGGGCTAAGTCGGGGATGGTTCACAAGCATCACATCTTCACTATCAAACACGATCAATAAAAGCTTAGAAGCCGTCACAATAAATCCAATACACATAAAACAATAAATCATAAATCATTAAACATCAAACATCAAACATCAAATATCAAATATCAAATATCAAGATCTACCACCCATCAACCCTCCGGATCCTCAAATGCGTCCCCTCGACCGGCTTAATGGTAACAGCCCCGGCAACATGAATCACCTGCTTCGGGTCTTGCATCTCAAACAAAAACCGTCCAACAACACCAGCAATCGCACATCGCAACTCCGCACGCGCAAAGTCCTTCCCAATACATGATCTCTGCCCATGCAGGAATGTAATCTGCGCAAAATTTGTCGATGCCCCGCCACTATTGTTCGGAATACAGTGTCCATTCTTGTCTGTGTCGAGCTGGAGTGAGTGTTCCAATGCAATTGCATTTCTCTAGCCAGCTTGTATACCTTAGTTGGGCGACTAACTGGCTAACTCCTCACAGCACGAAACCACCGCCAGCGCGTTAACCTGGGCCTGTACCGCCTCGCCATCCACTGCGGCAGTGCAAAGTTCATCACCAGGAACGCCATCTTCTCCCTAGTCGGTTCGAGGGTCTTCGCGAAGCTGTCTGCCACCTTGTTTGGCTTGTTGTGCAGCGAGCCAAAGTCAAGTCCCATTGCTATTGATCTTCTGAAGTCGCTCCATCCATCGGATTGGCCTTGATTTATTTCTCCGATTCATTTAATAACTGTCCTGTCTTGCTCCACATAAGCGAATACATTGAGCGAATATTCTTGATGTTGAACGCAGGTGTGAGTGCTTTCCGCTGCTTCTTATGTGCCGTACCTTCCGAGGTAATCATCCCGAAGCCAATGATTCGGGGTAGTAAGCTACGCATCCGCCATGGCTTCTCGAAGTCGTATGTGTTCGTGCTCATGACATCCAATAGGGCTTGGTGGTTCGCTGAGACTACGTAGCTTTGATTGAACGTGTCACGCATGTGGATGAGGCCTTCATTTGGGACGGTCTTCATCCAGTTGAGAGGTTTCGTTCCTCGTGGTGAGTCGAAGATGAGTTCTGTATGCGAACCCTGTACTCATATGAAGTTAAAATTTGGTGTATACTTTCGTTTTGCCTTGTTGCTCCTATCTGGACTTTCGGTAGATGCCGCAACGGGCTTAGTAGGAACGGCCATATTATTATGCCGTATAGGGCTTTCAGGAGGATGTTCACTACCAGTGCGATGAGACTAATTCTTTAGAAGGTCTTGTCGGTGAGGACAGTGCGCTGGAGGAAATACGCCTCGGCAAGGATGAATGTGCCCACTGCTAGTATACTATCGCCAAGCGCCATATTCTTTTGAATCAACTTAAAAGACAAAAGCCTCGGATTCAGGAGTTGAAGTTCATATCATTTCATTTTCCCATCGGATATGCCCCACAGGGATCGGCACTCCTGTTGGAGTGACCAATGCGAGACCTCGGCTCTGTGAACTACCATTATTTAGATCCGCATGGTAGTATTTCATGATTGTGTAGAGCTCTGAGGCGCATGTGCTCTATGTCAGTACGGGGTAGTGTATACTGTTCCGGAATGTCCATGTGGCTTAGACCAGTCGTTCATAGGATGGACTAGTTAGGGCTGGGGTAATGCGGGGATGCCAAGAGACATGTGAACAGAGACAAAGACAAGATATTCAACGAATTCAACTATTCTCAATGAGCATGCCATAACTGTCGATCTTTCGTCGATCCCTGTGGGGAATATTCTCTCGCATTGATTTCCTTTGTTAGTGAGAGCCCCAAAAATGTGAAGCCTCGGTTGGGAGAAAGTGCCCAAAATATCCCATATCTCCTAAATGTCATTCATAGCTTGAATCCAATTATTATCCTTAATATAATCCGATAATCACATTTTTACCCTCCGATATCAAACCTCACATCCTCACTTCATCCATATTGCCCCACACAGCAACAATGTCTACCCTCAACCTCGTCATCCAATACACTCAAGCAGCTCTATTTCGCCTCCCAGGACCCACTCAACAATTCCTTCGCAACCCAACAGCCCAGAAGGCCATTGGCGTCCTCACCGCCCTCGTCTTCCTCCGCGCGACAAACCGCTTCTTTTCAAAACGCACCCTGCAAAACTGGACCACCAACCAACCATGGATCCCAGCCCGCGAGCTTATCCTGTTAACTGGCGGGTGCAGCGGAATTGGCAAGCAGGTTATGGAAGACCTAGCGCGTACAGGCGTACGCGTCATCATTCTCGATATTAATGAGCCGAATTTCGAACCACCCACCAATGTCACCTTCTACAAGGCGAACATCACTTCCTCGGCTGATATCACCCAAGTCGCGAGCACGATCCGTGAGAATCACGGCGAGCCCACGGTCTTGATTAACAACGCTGGCGTTGGACATGATGGGACGATTCTCAATGAGCCTGAGGAGAAAATTCGCCAGACCTTCGAGGTTAATACCCTCTCTCATTTCCTTATGGTCAAGGAGTTCTTGCCGGCTATGGTCAAGGCGAATCATGGTCATGTTATTACTATTGCTAGTATGGCCAGCTTTGTAGCTCTCGGTGAGATGGTGGATTATTGTTGCTCCAAGGCCAGTGCGCTTGCGTTCCATGAGGGATTGCGTCAGGAGTTGAAGTACTGGTATAATGCGCCCAATGTGCGCACTAGGTCGGTTACCCTCGAGATTTTGTATCTATGAGTTTATGCTAACTTGCTACTTTAGTATCATCCACCCCATGTGGGTGCGTACGCCCATGATCAAAATGCTCACGGATAACGAGGCGCATTTCAGTCAGCCTATCATGACCCCCCAGGTCGTGTCTGGGGCTATCTGTAAGCAGATATTGACTCAGACCAGTGGCCAGGTTATCCTACCCACTAGTCAGTCGGTGGCTAGCTTGGTACGTGCCATGCCCACCTGGATGCAGGAGGGTGTGCGCACTTTGGCATCGGGTGCGTTGAAGAAGATGCGCATTGCGCAGCAGGCAGAAGAAAAGGCCCATGCGCAGTAGATATTTTGTTTCAGAAATTATAGGCGACTCGATTAAGTTGTACAGATTTTGGATTTGGTATGCGGGATCAATGTACTTACTATTGATACTGTTCAAAATCGAAGAAATATCACATGCTGGTCCATGGAGTTATAATGTTTTCCCCAAGCAATAGATGTGTATTTCTTTTCACTTTGAGTAATTGAACAGTTCGTAAACAACATTGTACTTATTTATGGATTGCGCTGTATTTATCGTTCTAGGTGACATTCAGGGCCTTTAGGCTGGATACCGATGACACTCTAGCCATGTCTTCAATTTGTACTCAATCCATGTATGTACAGAATGTACAGCGTTACTATATACAATCACACCATCAACTCGGCCAAAACAGCCTCGACCTTCTTCCCTTGCTCGGTCTTTGTAACATCCCCCAACTCCAAATGATAAATCGGCGCAACGTGACACTCACGATGCCCAACAAACAACTCCACATTCTCAAAGCCCTCCTTAAACTTCGCCGCCAAGTCTTGAATCAGAGGCAACATAATCTCATTCCCGCCCGCGGTGATCAACACCGAGTTTACGGGGAACGTCGCGAACCAATCTGCCGGCGCAGTCGATAAATCAGTGTAATAGTCCCGCTTGCCAGCGCCAACATAGGCTGTCGCCCATGGTCCTGCAACTGCCTCTGTGATGATATCGCCGCCATCGTATATCTCCATGCCCGGGAATTCTTTCTCAAGAAGTGTCCACGGAGCGATCATCACTGCGCCGCCGAGGTTACTGTCCAATGGTAGGGCATCAATCTCTGCGTGTGGGTGGGCTAGGTGAGAGAGAACCCCACCAACCAGGTTCCCGCCCGCGGAGTCGCCGCCCAGGAACACCGTGGACGGGTCGCGGTTTGGCTGTGAGAGAATGTATCGGAGACAATTCACAGCCTGTCGGAGTTGAGTTGGGTAGATTGCGATTGGCGCCAATGTGTAGGTCAGACTGAAGACCGCCACGCTTTTGCCTGAAGCTTTGAGGTCGCGCAGGAGCTGCGCGTAGAATTTGAAATAGCCCATATTGGCAGGGAGTCCGAAGCCACCTCCTGAATGATGTGATTAGTTGAATGAGTCTTGCTTTGTGTTGGCTGGGTACATACCGTGAAACCAGACTATCACGTTTTCAGCGTTACGATCACCTACCCAGTGGCCCAATGCTCCATCTCCCAATTCCACGGACTCGGGCAGTCCGCCGGTCTTCTTGGAGTATTGCTCGTAGACCTTGTGGGATGGAGGTAAGATGTATTGCATCTGACTCGCAGTCAGCCGCGAGGTCGTTTTGCGAAACAGCGCATATCCCAAATGCAGGGACAAAGTCTTGGCTTGGCGTTCAGTCCGCCGAAGGCCGGTCAGGAGGGCATAGATGTAGGCGATCACGATAGAGGCCACAGCTGGGAAAAAGTCCAGTTTCTCTTTTAATGAGAGGTTCACTTTGATTATTTTGGTGAGAGACATGATTGGACTTTTTATGTCTGTTCATAGCTGTGAGGCACATAAGTACTCCGTACAACATATATTACTCGGACTAGTGAGAGTGGCCTATGTCGATCCTTCGCAAGGCTATCCCGTTTAGGAAGGTGCCGAGGTTTGGGGAAATCCCTCGGCCAGCATGTCATTGACGATAAACTATATCTCTTCTCTGTACGGAGTATGTTTAGATCTAACTAGGTAGGGATAGATCAGTATATCAGTATCTGAATTCGTTTTTTTATCTATATCTCTATAGATCTTATATTTCACCAACCGGATCAGTCGAAGAACGATCTGTGTAACTCCTAAGGTCAGTTTTATGTACTAATTTCTTCCAACAACATATATCATCCAACATCGATACTCGTACTAATATCAATCTCCTGAATCTCCCCGATCTCCCCGTGCAGAGTTTAAGGTTCTGTGTGCTGTTTACCCCAAATCGACTTTGTCGATCTGCCGATCAAAGGAGTCGTGAAACCGAGGTATGTGAACTATCTTTTTTAAATAACCTCAATGTTTTTCACTGCTTACTGGTTTCATTGATCACTTTCATTCATCATGAACGGAATCAATGGAGTAAACGAAACTAAACATTTTGATATCATCATCGTCGGCGCAGGTATCTCCGGTATCAATGCCGCCTACCGTGTCCAAGACCAACTCCCCGGTTACAGCTACACCATCTTGGAAGCTCGCACCGATCTAGGTGGCACCTGGGATCTCTTCAAATATCCTGGTATCCGTTCTGACTCCGACCTTTTCACCTTCGGCTTCCAATTCAACCCCTGGTCCCGCGATAACCCCATCGCCGAGGGCTCTGCCATCAAGGAGTACGTGCGCGACACAGCGACTAAATACGGCATCGACAAACACATCCTCTACAACCATTGTCTGTCATTGGCAGACTGGTCCTCCGATGAAAACACCTGGTCCCTCGCCGTTGACCACAATGACTCCCAACACACCTACACCGCCCGCTACGTTATATTTGGTACGGGCTACTACAATTACAAGGACCCCCTGAAAGCCGACATCCCTGGCCTGGACGCCTTCCAGGGCCAGATTATCCACCCGCAATTCTGGCCCGAGGGCTTCCAGTACAAGGACAAGAAGATCGTTATCATCGGCTCCGGCGCGACCGCCATCACTCTCCTCCCCAATCTCGCCGACCATGCCGCCCGTGTCACAATGCTCCAGCGCAGCCCAACCTACATCCTCTCTGTCCCAAACCGCTCAAGCAGCCGCTGGCTCTCCTATATCCTCCCCAATGACCTGTATCGCAGGGTACAACGTATGATCAGTATCTACACCACGCGAATCTTTTTTCTCTTCTGCCAGCGCTTTCCGAATTTCGCGCGCTGGCTGCTCAAATTGAATGTCCGCAAGCAATTGCCCGGCCATATCCCCTACGACCCACATTTTAACCCCAAATACAACCCCTGGGAGCAGCGGTTATGTGTTTGTCCCGATGGAGATCTATTCCGCAGTCTCCGGCAGGGCAAGGCGGATGTCAAAACGGATACTATTCGCGAAGTTACGAAGAATGGAATTATTTTGAGTTCCGGGGAGCAGCTCGATGCAGATATTATTATTACTGCAACTGGCTTGCGATTGCAGATTGCAGGTGGCTCGGCGCTGTCTGTGGATGGGAAGAAGATTGATGTGGGTGATAAGTATCTGTGGAATGGAATCATGCTCCAGGATCTGCCCAATGCGGCTTTCGTTATCGGGTATACTAATGCCTCGTGGAGTCTTGGTTCGGATGCTACGGCCCAGTTTGTCTGTCGTTTACTCAAGGAACTTGAGTCGCGGAAGTTGGTCGCTGCTGTTCCCCGCCTGAGGGAGAAGGAGGCTGTTACGCTTCAGGATCGTCCTCTCTTGAACCTCAAGTCTACTTATGTATCGCTCGCTGAGCGTGTCTTGCCCAAAGCTGCTGACCGTGGTCCGTGGCAGCCGCGTGACCACTACTTGAAGGACTTAAAGTTTGCTCATCATGGTGATATAGACACCGGACTCGAGTTTGTGCAAGGGCCGAATCTGCGTCTGCGCCCTAAGACCTCGTGATTGATGCAAGTTTATGATACGATACCGCCCTAACTATTATTTGGGGTTGTCTAATTCGGTGTAAATATGGCGTTTCAGGAGACCTAGTGACAATATATATATTCATTCATCTTTACAGCTGTGAAATCTCCCTCGTCTCCGTTGCCGTGCATGCTGCCAGCGAGGTAATCAATAGCAAGACTCTGGCGCGGCGTCACCCTTACCCGGGAATTCTGATCACGATGATGCATCTGATGCCTTCGCACAGCGGCTCATATTCCCAAAATACCATCCATGATTAGGATTCGGCCACCTCAAATCCCGAGCCGAGCCAGCATTCCCCGCCTTGCTATTGATTCCTCCAATATACTCCACACCATCAGTGGTGACCTGCACTCCAGTCTCCTGAGTAATCCAGTATTCAGGGGAAGGCTGGCTCCAATCCAAGAACGGTAAGTTGAGCGGTACTTTCGGGATGGGGTCTGTAGTATGCGTGGCTCGGTAGATGCTGTTCGGCGCTTGTTGGTTGGTGATGAACTCGGCCAGCTTCATGTTTCCTGGTTTCGGGCCTCCGAATGTCCACTAGTGATTTTATACGTTAGCTAGCATATCTACTGGCGGTTTCTTGTCTTGTAACTTGACTTACAATGTCCAGAGTGAACCCTTGTGTTCGAAGAACAGTCCCTGCTAGCGCTGCAATACCACCACCCAGACTGTGTCCTACAACACTCAGCCTATAGCCCGGATAAGCGGTGGTTGCATCGCGAAGCTGGGTCGTCGCCTGGCTGGCTACATCACTCCAGTAAATCCAGAACCCATGGTGGGCTTTACACCCGGTGCACACGTCGTCAATCGGGGTGAGAACGATATCGAGATCTGTTTTGCCGTCGCTTTCCGATACAGTTCCACGGAATGTTAAGACGATCAGTTGCCGTGTATGGTCTAGCGCGATGTAGCCTGTCGGGCCGTGATCGCTGTGGAATGTGTTGATCACCGTCGTGTTGTCAGCTGCTACAAGTTCACAGGTGCCGTAGTCACAAGTCAAACTTTGACCCGTGTTGTTGATGTTTTGGTCACAGGCCGATAGACTAGCAAATTGGGAGAACAGAGTAAATCGTTCTAGTAGCTCGCTTGAGATTGCTGGTAGATTTTCATCGTTAGATTGGACACTGCGCTTTGTTATATGTGAAACTTACCCCGGCGAGCTAGTTGGACAGGAGTTGCAATTGTTGTCAGGCTGAGTGATAGTACTGCCAGCACACGACATATCATTGACCCAACCATGTTGGATGGGCGTGATGTATACCGTGTTGAATGTACAGATAGAAGATCTGTGCAACAAGTATTGGAGTGGGTAATCTTGCAAAGATGAAAGCGCCTAATCTCTTCATCTCTGGAAGATGTCGATATATTTATAGGTCTTCTTTCCCAACCCTGTTAGTGGCTATGGAATGCTAGTTCCGAGCAAAGTGGGGTAATGGCTATACCTATGTTGTAGTGCTCAATCCCACGATGCACCGTGATCACTGTATATCCGACAGCTGAGTATATCGGCAGCGCTAGCCTTGCATCCGGAGGATAACTTGACTTTAGGGCCGAAAAAGACCAATTGGGGATATTGAAACGGGCGCTATTTTATAGTATCATATATTATTTCACACGTGTGTTGTACTCCTCTTGAACCGAACCATCCGAGGACAACGGGAGAAGTTGCCCTGTATCCTCATCAGATAATATCTAAGCCTAAGAAACCCTTTACTTCCCGATTTAGTGCTCGCCTCTTGCCACTATTTGATCACTCGCCATTATATCTTCGTGATAAAATGCATGATCCGAATAGTGGTGTTCTTCAGCCGGCATGTTGCATATTTGTTGCTACCAATAGCACTACCACATGTGGGTTTGAAGTGGGTAATTCCTTCAGGCCGAGCCCTTGGCATGGCAGGGATTATTCTCCGATGGGTTAAGATTTACATCTAAGTCTCTCATGACGAGTATTGATCATCGTAAGGCCGAGATTACATGTCTCACCGTGGTGCCGCCCGCAGATTGTACAATAATGCGTGCGCACCGGATAGATCATCGGTGATCGTTTCAGCTGAACATTCACCTTGGATCTCAATACTACATACTTCGTAAATTCACAAATGCCTGAATATTTGCCTGGTGGACTCTCGCCGCTGATGCAAGGTCGATCCACCCGACGGTCTCCGGCATGACAGAGATAAACCCTTCCCGCGTGTAGACCACTGGGGCATCGAAGACAAGGAATTGCGCCTTCGAGGGTCTCAATGGCTACACCATACTGCGTAGTTAATATTTACATACCCGAGCCGAGCTGAGCCTTTTAATTATCTAACAAATTGCAGTGGATCCCCATAACTATTTGACGCAAGCTTATGCTAGTTCAACAGCACTCTATTGCTTGTGATCTTCCCCCACTCGTCCATACGACCGCCACAGATGCATCAAATGGATATTAGAACACCAAGAAGTGGAAGGACACTGAACTGTATGCTGACATTCTCGCGTTGTGTCCAGAAGGGTACGGATACACCCTCAATGATGCCCCCATCCATAAAGGCCTCAAGGCGATTGAGCGCTGTTTATGGAATATTGAAAAGAACAAGAGAATCATAGCCTATGTTTAAATTCCAAGTCTGCTTTACACTAATTAAGCTGTCATTTCTCAGCTTGTTTCTCAGCTTTTTCATCGTTAATTCGATTATTAATTCTATCACTAACATGGCCTCTTCATAACTAGAGGATACAAGCGGCGGCAGCTCAGGCAAGCCATGGCAAAGAAAGTCCGCTAACTGTAGTGTAGTGATATGTACGGAGTACTCCGTATGCATCACGCATACCTACCGTAGGTAGTTGCAGTAGATGGACAGTGATTCACGTACTCCGTATGTCACCTTGAAATGAGCTAACGGAAGTAACCTCACCAGATAGTCTATTGGCCTAAATATCAGATATCACATTGACCCAGAAAATACACAGTCATGTTGTTCCGTAAAATCTACACCTTTAGAAGAAAATCATAATGGAAAGTAAAAGGACCCTTTACCCTCATGATACCCTCCCTACCCTCATCAAGGACCCCTTGCACTTTTATGCCGTACACCCTTGATCTGGCTGAACAATGTTAGCAAATTGTAGTACACAGCATGTGTGACTTCTACGACGTATATTTCTTGGCGCAGATCTTGTCAATCCATCTCCAGGACATGCAGCCTTGTCTTGGCCCCGTGTGACGAGCCAATACCATCTAAATCTGTATTCAACCATCGAATACGCTCCCCCAATTGGACGCAATTACCAATGTTACTGAATCATGCGTGGATAATCTCATATCTCCATGGATGAATGTGGTATTCTATAAGCCCGTGGTCCATTCTATGTAGTTGCTATATCTAATGACAAGGTAGCATGAATGTGAATGATTGCTTTTTTTTGCTATTTTCAGCTGAGGGGGAGGTCCTCAAGTCACTTAGTCTTGCAGTGCAGCGGTGATACGAGATTCTTGAGAAATCACCCTCTCAGATAAGCGGCCATTCCCCTGCAAAGTTCCCCTTTTCGTCTTGCTCTATACAACTGCAGTGAACGCTTATCCATCTACCTGGTTGCTCAGACTGCGAAATTTCATGTCGCTTTGATTTAAAAAGAGGCAAGTTATGACTTACTATTGTCATTATCTGGGCCTTTTCTCTATATTTTGATCAAGGCTAGCTCTTGTCACGATATGTAACCATGTTAAAATGAACAACGCCCGTGCTATTTAGACTTACATCTCGGAATTTCCTGAAGCGCCTATCGTAGTAGGGGACATGGTCCTTCCCTACGTATATACCTGACCTATCCTTTCTTGATTTCACGAAATTGTTATGTAAGAATTGTTTTAAGTATTGATGTACAGAGGTTACAAGTAGCAGATAGTTACAGATTGACAATACACACTTCTACATCTCTCTGAATTCACTACTTGGATGGCAGTCTTAGTCCCTTTTTGTATCCCCTGGTTGGTACGATGCGAACTTACGAGTGGTGAATCAATGTGTATGAGACTTGTTTCTTTTAAGAGGATATACGCGACGTCTGCAAATTCTTGGGCGGTTAGTCTCTCCGAGCTGCCTGATTAAGAATAATTCTTCACTGGACAATGTAAATGAGTGGTAAATAAAAAGAACTAATTCTGATTTCAATGCAAAATATTAATACCAACATTCCAGACAAGACCAAACCAACGATTAATCTCTTGCAACAGGGTGAAAACAGGAATGAAAGTAATTTAGCTTTCGGGAAAGATTTAAGGTTAAACCACAGCGGGGAAACTGCCCAGGTGAGTTTCGTCAATCCAACTGTGGCGTAGTGCCTCATGTACCGGGATGATGTAACTTGATGACACCACTTGATATTTCATGACCCAAGTAGCCACAAGACACTGCCATAGCTAGTCATTTTCTCATGTACCTTTATCAAATCACTTTGCACTACTAAATATCCCTCTATCTCCTATATATTTCTCTACTATCTTGATGCCCCCCAAAGGCAAATACAGTAACCCCAAACTCCGCGATGAAATCAAAAAGGAAGTCCACGACAGCGACAAGGGCGGGAAACCTGGTCAATGGTCTGCACGAAAGGTACCCAGCACCATCGCTCTTATTTCAATCCCTTGGTATCATCTATTGTGGATTCTGATACTTGTGCAGGCTCAAATGATGGCATCCGAATACAAAAGGCGCGGCGGTGGCTACAACACCACAAAGGAAGAAGGCCAGACGGAATCTCAGAAACACCTCGATACCTGGACAAACGAGGAATGGCAAACGAAGGAGGGATCTGGCACGGCGCGACAGGATGATGACTCGCGTAAGCGGTACCTGCCCAAGAAAGCGTGGGAGAAGTTGAACGAAGAGGAAAAGGAGCAGACGGAGGAGAATAAAATTGATGAGTCGCGGGGTGGGAAGCAGTTTGTTAGCAATACCACAGAGGCGAAGGAAGCTAGGCGGTGGGCTAGTTCTGATAATGGGGATGAAGGTCAGAAGGTTGAGGGAGATTCAGGGAAAATTCAATGGAATAAGGAGGCTGGTAAACAACGGACGAAGAAGAATGAAGAGGAGAAAACGGACGACAAGCAGAATGACGACAAGCAGAATGACGACAAGCAGAATGACGACAAGCAGAATGACGACAAGCAGAATGACGACAAGCAGAATGACGACAAGCAGAATGACGACAAGCAGAATGACGACAAGCAGAATGACGACAAGCAGAATGACGACAAGCAGAATGACGACAAGCAGAATGACGACAAGCAGAATGACGACAAGCAGAATGACGACAAGCAGAATGACGACAAGCAGAATGACGACAAGCAGAATGACGACAAGCAGAATGACGACAAGCAGAATGACGACAAGCAGAATGACGACAAGCAGAATGACGACAAGCAGAATGACGACAAGCAGAATGACGACAAGCAGAATGACGACAAGCAGAATGACGACAAGCAGAATGACGACAAGCAGAATGACGACAAGCAGAATGACGACAAGCAGAATGACGACAAGCAAAATGACGACAAGCAAAATGACGACAAGCAAAATGACGACAAGCAAGACGATGACAACAAAGGAGGTGCAGGAACGAAACGCAGTGCAAAGCAGGATGAAGGACCAAAAAAGAAACAGAAGGACAGCGCGAGGATGTCAAGTCTGCGGCAGAGAAAGTGATTTTGCTTCATTTGGGGGTCTGTGGAGACCAGCGAATGTCTACACCGCCCATAAAAAGAAGCATAAGATCATTCAAAAACAGTAAAACGGCAATATGATAGAGAAGCCATCAAATTACGAAGGGGGAGATCTGAGCTCATGGGACTGACTGCCTTGGGTATAGTCTTATAGAAGAGTTAGGAAACCGTCAACCACACAACAGTACAAACTCTACGAAAGAACAAATTTGATTAAATGAATTATCATTTCATTGGGTATCCATGGTATTAAAACTATACTTATTTATGTTCAGCTTTAGCCAATCATGGCAGGATTGAACCATCCATATATACCATTACTTCATCCTGACATAACATCTCTCATTCGATACAGAATAACATCATTTCTCTACTTCCGCTCCTCATCCACAGCGGTATGGGGAGTGTATTGGCTGTCTGGCAGCATGTTCATGGCGTCCTCCTGGGCATCCAACTTGTAATTGGTGGCCCAGAATCCAACACCGCCAAGGAAGGCGAGTATAGCAACCACAGTGTAGTTCCAAGTCAAGAGAGGATCATCAGCAAGACCAATGAAAGCCTGACCAAGGGCAGACGAGAAGGCGTTCATCAGAAGAGACACAGCCTGCACGAGAGATCGCATGTTCTTCGGGGCCTTGGTGTAGGCATACTCAAGGGAAGTGATGGATGCAAGGATCTCGGAAATACCACCCATGATGTAGGTTAGGGCCTGGATCCAAACGGAGATGTTGGTGTGCTCGTGCTTCACCTCCAGACAGTAGTTGGCCTGGTTACCGCAAGGTCCCAACTTGTAGATGTAGTGTTGGGTGACCGCAGCAACAACCATGCTGAGGGCGGCCACAATGAAACCGGCCGTAATACGCTTCAGGGGAGTGAAGTGAAGACCCATCTTACGAATACCAGGGTAAACGAGATGATCGAAGATGGGGATGAAGATGATCAGTGCAATGGGGTTGAGGTTGTTGATGATGTCGTTGGGGACACCTCCAAGTTTCATGGTGGCCGCTTGAGATGTCAGGTTGTTCAACATCTGGTTGTAGGCGAGCCCTAGAGATGATCAGCATGTGCGAATGTAGCAGGGAGGAACTTTTCACGTACAGTAAAGGGGGTACCACAAGAACACTCTGCAGGCGAGCAGTCCGCGGCGAACTTCATCAACCCATGCATCATCGAAGTCCATCCACGCGGGCTTGTTGGCTCCGAGCTGGCTGGGCTTGGCAGCAGCCCAGATATCGGTACCGGAGGTCTTGAACCTAAAAATGAAGGTTAGGAGGGATAACACTGGGAATTTACAGGATGTAACTTACCATCGCACGGGGTTCAGTGTCCAGTGGCCCTTCATTGCTAACATCGACACTTTGAAAGCTTTGGGGTAGATTGATCCACCGGGAGGAGTGAGGATGTAGTGCTTCTTGCAGAGCAGCAATACAGCCGGACACAAACAGAACATGGCTGTGGGGAGCAGGTAAGAGAGCCAGAAACCAACATATCGCTCGGCGTAGACCATGGCGACCTGGCCCACGAAAGAACCGATATTGACCATCATGTAGAAGTACATGTAGATTCGAGAAACAGTGGCAGATGGGTCAACGATGACACGTTCACCGCTGGCAAGTGTCGTGACGTAGGGCCTGTCCTCGCGATATTGCTCTGCAATCAGGGGGGCGATGTTGGCCTTGAAACCACCAGTTCCTACACCCATGATAATCAGGCCAATAGAAAAGCATGCTATGGCTCCGTTGGGGCTGTCAATAACCTTGGGAATGGCGGAAATGATGAGAATGATGTGTCCAATGAGTGCGCAGGCAATTGCGGACATGATGGTACGGTACCGACCCCACCATTGATCAGCAACCATGGCACCAAAGAGAGGCATAATGTAGGACCAGAAAGAGTTGACTGTGCAAGGGGAGGCATATTAGCAATGAACTCAACCCTCGAGACCACCTCACTTACACAATGTCAATCCGGTAGAGGCCTGTTGGCCCATACCCAGAGCTCCGGGTGAATCGTTGCTCCAGTCGGAGACACCTGCAACGAGGGCACCAGTGGTAGATCCGGCGGGCAAAGGTCGCTGAATGAAATTGACAACTAGTTCATGTTAGCCATCCTATCCTCCCTCTCTCTCAAAGGTTGATAATCCATACAAACAGCAGTGGCACCGTAGTAGGAGAAACGCTCGCACAGTTCCACAAAGGCAACGCTGTATGCTGCTACGGGTAGTGTTCCGGCAATACGACGCAAAGTGGCCATTTCCTCCTCAGTAGGAGCGCTCTTATCCATGGAATCACCTTCGATTGACACTTCTCGCAGGGGAGGGGCATTGTCGATAGTTAACTCATCAACCACTGGGACTTTCTCATTGACACTGATATCGTGTGAGATTGCCTTAGATTTGGCAATCTCGGCCACATCGACAGGATCGCTGGCATTCATGATGGCGGTTCTGAGATCCAGAAGTATGGGAGATGAAACACGAAGGAAAAAAAGGAAAACCTTTTGGGAGGACAAGCTGAAGCAATTATATGGCCCATGGCGTGATTAGGTGATTAGCGGAACCGTTTAGCTATGGTTTCACTACTCATTTCCCACCTTTCCCGCATTCTAGAACCCGGGGCAATATCTGCATTGGGACGTGGCGGACGGCGGAAATGGCAAAAACCGTCAATAACCGGAAGAGACCCTGCGTCTCCCAGATTACAACTTAAGGCTGTTAGGATCTGTGCCTCCAATTGAGAGCTTCGGCCTCATCCGGGCCTGACCACTTTGGACGAGATAAGCAAAGTTCCAGGTTTGTTCGAAAAGCAAAAAGAGATCCCGGACGCCTAATGGGTCAACTAAACTTGGATCGTCCAATCAAATAGCTGATGTGGGCTTAGGCCCCCAGCTTCGGTATCCACTTTGTATCACTTAGCGTAACCTTAGCGTGTCTTGGCATATATCTTGGCACGGTTTGACCGAATATCTCCCCGCGCCATGCCGCTTGGCTGGCAGGTTACATTGTAACCCTGTCTTCTTGGCTACCCCGCCTACCCAATCAGAGCAAGGAACAGCAAGGAATAACTGATAACCGAGGTGCGATAACTGATATCCTTTGATATCCCGCATGCGGCCTCAGACCAATCAGAGAACTCAACCACTCTCTCAATACCCTCAATAGCAAAAATGCGGGCCCTCAACTGATTAGGCTCAGGGTCAAATTGCCACTACTTCCCCCCTGGAGAAGTGAGACATGGTGTGATTGGACCTGGTGATATTGCCATCAATTACCTGACTCTTTTACAAACTCCGTTCGCGCATTGGCGACCTCTTGGACCGTCGGTGTCCCGGAAATCTTATAACCTCATGACTATCGAGCTGACTACCAGTCTTCCCCTTGGTCTCATGAGATTAGGCGTCTTGATTGACCTTCCTAATTCCTTCTAGACTATCCAGCATATCCTCAGATATTCCAACGATAATCATGTCGCATGTCCCTCTGGCTACTCCGTACTCTCTACAACATACTGATAATATCCGGACCGAACAATCGCTTGATTCTTCCAAATGTCGAGCTTGGCATATCTCTGAACCCTGGTGGTTTTGAGGTGAACAGTGATCACCCAGCCGATCGATATATCGAACGTGTTCATCGGTTCGACGCTAGAAATTTGGAAGGTGTCGTGATACTCACGCTCGAACTTCACAACTGATTCCTGGATTATTGGGACGTTCATCAATGTCACTGCCTCGCTCACTTTGACACGTTCACCGCTTCGCGCAGGTCCCAAGTGGCCACACTCCAGGCACCCTTGCCCGCTTACTCTGCATTGACCACCGGATCCTTGTGCATTCTAACAACTCCTTTTTGATTGGACGATAACATCACATATGGGGGTCATCTGTGGCACTGCTTACACCGAGGCAAACTGGCTTAGTCTGCCTTGTTTTGAACAGATATGCATCCGATCGCGTGACCATGCATACCAGCGTTATTGCATTGTCAGACTATGATTGGGACCGTGCAGGCTTGGTCGCCTTTGAAGGGATCGTGAACAACATTTTCTTCAACTACTCCCAGTAAAGCATCTAGTAACTTTCCTCTCTTCTGTTAACCCTTTTCATCGTGTCTTTTCAAGTTTCCCCAGCGCCGACAACTCTACCGAAATTCATCCCACACCTAAAATGCGCAAACTCAGCCCAATCTCCGAATATTTCCAGATGGCATGGGGGTGGCCATTGCGCAATATCTCTCCCCACGTTCCATTGCGGCGATTTGAGCCTGGGGGCATTGGGGCGACAAATATAGCAGCGTCCCGCGATCATCGAATTGAGAAACCGACACGATATTGCAAAGGCCTGTACGGAGTAGATTAGGCCAAGATGACGGTGTAACAGAGGGTATTTCCATAGACACTTTCCTTTAATTGCGATATATTTCAATATCTACCAAGATCTATCTATCGTGTTGATCATTTTTAATGTAAATGTTCTTAATATTCCCTCTCGCGCCTCTCATTTCAATCCGTCATCGAAACTATCACGAGTCAACTAACACGATGCCAAATTCGAGGATGCGGGCGCCATTGGCCCTATCTACAACGAACGAGAAATCCTCCCTCCTCGACACTCCTATCAGCTCCAGGAACAGTTTCCTCTGCATCCTTTAGGCTCCTGTGACGTCGAGGAATCATCTGAGGGGTGTCATGGTAGCTGGCCGATAAGCAAATCATCTCACATCAGCTCCTACAGTACTCATGATATCCCCGAAAAAAGGCTCATACTACCTCAAATTATACCGACACACCCGCACAAGGAAGCAATCTTCGAAGCCCGATCGATTTGATCAGGATCTCAGCCCCAATTCGACACCGGTTTGTCTCGATGGCCCCTTTCCAATATTAGTCGAAATTGGACTCAGCTCACCAAGATCATCAAGATCATCGCTGGTCCCATCCCAGGCTGCACCTATGTCTCTAGCATAGCGGCTCCGTACAAAGAACCTGAGCTATAGATCAAGCTAACGTCTCTGTCCCGACCACACCTTACTATGGACCGCGGGTCCCTCCCAAATCGTCTTGCACAGTGGCCTGGCTTCCTTTCAAAGAGACTGTCACCCCCTGTCAGTGCGGCCTAGGACAAGGTTTTAGTGAAATCAATCCGGGTGCAAGTTTGTCCGTGTGATCTGAGGTGGTATCGGAGTAGGGATTTCGGTTAAAGCTTATATCTAGCCTTGACCCTCACACGCCGATCTTTCCCAAGCTACGCCCAGAAAGCCAAACCAGACGTTCCTTTCTGATCTTATCCGCCATCTTACTACCATGGCATTCCCTTCCTAGGCATCTTCTACGGATCTAACGTTCTCCGGGTGTTCTACGGGATCCTGGAAAACTCCGGATCTAAGTCTTTATATTCATACTACTTGTCATTTTTGTATGAGCAGGACCCCAATGCAGAGGTTGGATATCACATAAATTGGCCACAATGGGGTAACAAACACTCGTTGATGGATTTTTTCATCGATTATGGTGCCCTCTTGCCTGATAATCTTCTCCAGGATAGTTATGACCAGATCACGGCGCCTCCTGCTGCGTTCCATATTTGTGTGGGAATGCAAGTGTGTCAGGCCAGGAGCTTGACGAGTTATGATTGTATGAATTACACAATATTTAAACTAGCTAGCACTATTATTTTGGGATTTGGATTAAGTCTACAGGGTTGTGCTCGTAAAAGATAGGTGGTTATAAATGATATTGGCAAATTTTGGGCGTGAATCTATCTTCCAGCAAAATATGTCATCAGCACCAACTCCCAGGTCATCTCCAGCTCGCCGTCACAGTGGCCGTAGTTCCAGAACATCCAGTCGGCACTGTATACGACCGGTTAGGATCACTTTCCCACGTCACAGCCGAAGATCCACTCGTCTTCTTGAGGAATTTATACTGGAAGGTTGTTCCGACAGGGAGGGTGATAGTGCCCTGCCACAAGGGGTTGGACGTAGTGTAGCCGCTTGCAGACAGTGCGATGGCTTTACTAGTGTCCCAGGTACCAAGTTGGCTGATCGATCCTGAGACGTAGATATCTTGGCCATAGGAAGTGGTCACAAGCTCCTTGAATAGAACTGACAGAGCGGTAGCTTGGATACAGCCCGCCCCCGTAGTGGTTGTCGTCGTAGCAGTGGTCTGAGTCGCGGTGACGGCTGTGGTACTAGGAACGGATGAGCCGCATATTCCGCTGTTGCTCACGGAGGAAGCGAGAACAAGAACCCGTGGCAACCCGGATGCCATTGGCACGGCGATATTACCGCTAGCATCTACTGTTATAGATGTGCAGGTGTACAACTCCATCAGCTTGGCGCCTGATGAGTATCCGCTACCACTTAAAGACAATGTGTAGGAGGATCCAGATGATCCGGCATTGGAAAGTACCGTTATAACTGGCGAGCTGCCCGACCCCTTCTTTATGGCTAGCGTATGGCTGTCTTGATAGAAGGGGATGTTCTTGTAATATGTCAGTCCTTTTCATCAGCTTTGCTTTTACAATACATACCTTGGTCGTAATATAGCTAGAGTCTGCCGCGACCGCGGCTTTGCGGATCTTGTTTGTAGTCGCAATATACTTGTACAGCTCTGTTGTGGTAGAGTATCCCGACAGCCAGATAGCTTCACGGTTGGCTGGGTCACTTCCACCGCTATAGTGTTGCTCCTGGCCAGAATATACAATGGGAATACCATCTGATAAAAAGATGAATGAGATCACATTCTTGGCCTGGGAGTAGTCACTTGTGTAGCTATAATCAAAGATGGTTAGTATCAGATATCTCTGAGAACTTCAAATGTCTCACCTCGGGAAACGTGGGTTGTCGTGATTCTCGATAAAGTTGCCCAGCAGAGTTGGATCTGCACAATCGGATGCCACAGTGCCGATCATGTTGTACAAATCGCTAATGCTGCCACTGGAAGATTGGAATGCACGTAGTAGTGGGTAATAACTGGACGGTTAGCTTTTCTCTAGGAAACTGCATGGCAGTCATCTCACATAGGATAATTCAAGACACCGTCAATGTACTTCTGGTAGTCGCAGGTGTAAGCTGGATCTCCATCAAAGACCTCCCCGACAGCATAGACGCCTGCAGCAGTATTAAAGCCAGGCCAGAAAGACTTCTGGACATGCTTTACGGTATCGACGCGTAATCCATCAACTGACAATGTTAGATCGGATTTTTACATAAACCATTAGACTTACTGGAGTACTTAGACACTAAATCTCCAATCCAGTTGTTCCACAGTGTCTGCACTGAGCTCTGCGTTGTGTCAAGATCTGGCAGCGAGACAATGGTGTCACCAAGCCAACAATTCTCGACATTGGACTGATCGTTGTAGTTACTGATCAAACAGTAGGAATGGAAGTAAGAGGAAGAACTGAAGGGAGTGAAAACACTATAATCCACAGTATTTCCAGGTCCAGCGTAGCCCTGTTGGCGTGTTAGAAAGGTTTTATCTCATTGATCAAGATAACATACCATGTGGTTTGCCACAACATCAACCATGAGATACATGCCTCGCGCGTGTAGTGCCTTTGAGAGTGCCAAGAGGTCATCGGACGTGCCATGATTTGGATTGACATTGTATCTAGTGAAGTTGGTGAGCAGAATCCCAGCACAAACCGTTTAATAACCTTACATATCTTGCTGCCAGTATCCATGATAGGACGTCCCATCACCGGTGTTTTGCGGGAGCTGTTTAGTCACAGGAGTAATCCAAATGGCAGTAAAGCCCATTCCCTGGATATAATCCAACTATTTATCAAGTCAATATGGACACTCTGAATGAGGTATTGGATGCATACTTGGTTGATAATACCCTGCCAACTACCACCGCAATAAATCTAATACGCGGTATTAGTGTATGGATTGAGTATCTAGGAATAGAAAACGCGCATACTCTGTCGTTAACATTACAGGTTGCAGTTACTGAATTGTCACTGCGTCCGAAGCGATCCGTCAACAGGAAATAGATCGATTGACTGCGCCATTCTGCGGGTGTCAGGCCCATAGCCACCTGCCATAGTAATATGGTTGCTGTAAATATGAGATTCTTCATGCTTGCGGCCATGAAAAAACACAGGGCTTCATGTGTTATCGAGACTGGGGTTCTTAGATAAATCAACGGGGGGAGCAGTCAGACCCGATTTATAGCTTCGACTTGCATGCTGCGCATTACACTCATCTCATCAGGATCAGCATAAGATAGACCTTTGTTTGGCAAGACACACTAGTATAAGCTTTACGTGGTTTCAATCCAATCGGTTAAATACATCAAATGTAAAAGTTCCAAATTCCTTGAAGTCTACTCCGCTGGACCGAGGTGTCAGTCAACACACCGGGGGGAAAGCGGATAATTCTGTAGCAAAACAGGCAGCTCCGAAATTGCAGGATACTAGTGATACTAGGCCCTGCGCCAGTCTTGAAGAGGTCCATGTCTCCGGAACTTTGCCTTTCTACGGGATTGGTTATGGTTCCACATCTTCAGAACACTATGGAAGACAAGAAATGTCACATCACACTTACATGTAAGCCATTTCCCACTAGAGCGCTAATTCTCAGACAGGCCTAGCGTGCTGGTGACGGAGATAATTCAACGGGCTGATTGGTGGCCATCAAGCCACGCCCCCGGATTCTGCAGTGAAGATGACAGGGGGCGGAGATTCAACGGGATCAAATATCGGAGATGAAGACTCGGCATCTTCTAGAGGTAATTAATGCTTGATTCAAATATGGTCGATCTAAGCGATTGGGATGGAGATCAACGATCGGATAATAAGACCTCGCATGTGTCTCGGGAGATATTCGATCCGCCTGCTGAAGAAAGTAATGATGGACCTAAAATTTGCAGAATCCAGAATGAAGCTCTTCACTAAAGCTGGAATTAGATTCCAAGCTAACAAGATTGCAGCAGGGAAATGCCGATCTTTGTCCGAATAGCATTTCTCCGAGACTGCCGAGGCTCATTTTCTCTGCAATAGTTTGCCATATCATGCAATATCATGCAAGCTTCATGCAAGTTCTACGCAAGTGCATCAATCCATTTTTGAGTCGCGACCGAATGCATTTTCAAGTGGCTCAAGTCCTCTGCAGTACCTGCGCCCCCTATAAAAAGCAGGTCTGACCCCCCGACGATGATTCCAAACCAACTCACTTTCTAAACCTATCATGGCTCCTCGTTTTTGGACAGCGCTTTGGGCGCTTACTCTTGGCCATTCTGTCGTCGCCGCACCGCAGATATTGGCCCCCCGTGCGACAGGTAGTTTGGATACCTGGTTGGCGTCTGAAAGCACGGTGGCAAGACAGGGTATCCTAGATAACATCGGATCGGCGGGTGCTTATGCTGCGAATGCAAAGCCGGGAATCGTACTCGCCAGTCCGAGTACATCTGACCCTAACTGTAAGCTATTCTATGGCTATTTCTCAAATTTAAAACTAACTGAATCTATAGACTATTATACTTGGACTCGCGACTCGGCCCTGGTGTTCAAAACTTTGGTCGATATGTTCAAGAACGGCGACAGCGCTTTGCTAGATCTTATTGAAGAATATATCAATGCGCAGGCCTATATCCAGACCCTATCGAATCCTTCTGGGGATCTTTCTGGGGGCGGTGGATTGGGCGAGCCCAAGTTCAACGCCGATGAGACAGCTTTCACCGGCTCTTGGGGTCGCCCCCAGCGTGATGGACCAGCCTTGCGAGCCACTGCATTGATTTCGTTTGGCCAATGGCTTATTGTATGAAATTTGAATCTTCTTTATTTTACATGGCTAATCTATTTAGGATAATGGGTACACCACCTACGCGGCCAACATTGTCTGGCCCGTTGTGCGCAACGATCTCTCCTATGTTGCCCAGTACTGGAATCAGACCGGATTTGGTTAGTATAACTCAGACTTTTGCTATTCACGTGGCTGATACCCTACAGATCTATGGGAAGAAGTTTCCGGCTCATCATTCTTTACCATCGCCGCTCAGCACCGCGCCTTGGTAGAGGGAAGTACGTTTGCAAGCCAAGTCGGGTCCTCATGTTCATACTGTGACTCTCAGGCCCCGCAAGTCTTGTGCTTCCTACAGTCTTTCTGGACTGGATCTTACATTCTGGCCAACTTTGGTGGTGGCCGCTCTGGCAAAGATGCCAACACCCTGCTTGGCAGCATTCAAACCTTCGATCCGGAAGCAGGATGCGATGACACCACATTCCAGCCTTGCTCCGCCCGTGCACTTGCAAACCACAAAGTTGTGACTGATTCTTTCCGATCGGTCTACTCTGTTAACTCTGGTATTGCTGCGGGCAAGGCTGTTGCTGTTGGTCGATACCCAGAGGACTCGTACTACAGTGGTAACCCTTGGTACCTGTGTACCTTGGCTGCAGCTGAGCAGTTGTATGATGCTATATACACGTGGAACCGTATCGGTTCTTTGACAATCACCTCTGTCTCTTTGAGCTTCTTCAAGGATTTGTATGGCTCCGCCACTACTGGCACCTACTCCTCGTCCAGTGATACGTATGCCTCGATCGTGAGCGCTGTCAAGGCATATGCGGATGGATATGTTAGCGTTGTGGTATGTTGTATCAATATCGATTATTGAGTACCCTGACTAATAAATATCTCAGGAAAAATACGCTCCCTCCAGTGGCTCCTTGTCCGAGCAATACTCCAAGTCAGATGGCTCACAGCTCTCAGCTCGTGATCTGACCTGGTCATACGCAGCCCTCCTTACCGCCAACGAACGTCGAAATGCCATTGTTCCTGCGCCATGGGGCGAGACATCTGCCAACAGCGTCCCTGGCCAATGTCAATACACTTCGGCTATTGGTACATTCAGCAGTGCAACAAACACCGCCTGGCCTAGCACTCTGACTAGTGGATCAGGCAGTGGAACCACTACTGGAGCAGGAGGGGTTACCACCACCAAGCCTACTACCGCCACGAAGACTACCTCGACGACCACAGCATGCACCACTCCGACCGCCGTTGCAGTGACATTCAACGTGATTGCCACGACTACATATGGAGAGAACATCAAGCTTGCTGGATCTATCTCTCAGCTTGGTTCCTGGTCCTCAAGCAGTGCTATTGCGCTGAGCGCTTCCTCGTACACTACGAGCAACCACCTGTGGTTTGTGACTGTGACACTTCCAGTGGGTACTAGCTTTACCTACAAGTTTATCCGAGTGGCAAGTGATGGCACTGTTACATGGGAGAGTGACCCGAATCTGTCGTACACCGTTCCCGCCACGTGTGGTACCACAGCTGTCACGGTTAGTAATACCTGGAGGTGATAACGTCTAGGGAAGATATCCAACGCAGTTGGAACTAGAAGTTAAGCTTTCTTTGCTTCTCGTTGCTTTGGCAGAGTTTTAGACACCTCTGTTGCAGATCGTGTTTTGGCCATTCTATAGGACTAGAATAAGAGCATGACAATGAAGATTTACATTACTGGTCGCATTTAACGAAGCTCATTATTGATAGATTGGTTTATCCCGGCTGTTGATTATGGCACACTTCGTCGCGTTTTTACTACAAGGAATGCTATTTCTAGATTCCATTCTAATCTTATTGATCATTAATCCGATGTAATTGTAGTTCCGATGTATGGAGTCTAGATTTGATGGCGCGCAATGAACAGCCCGCTGAATGACGCCAAAAGCGAACAACCAAGGGAAACAACTATAGCATGTCAGTGGAAGATACTCAATAGAACAGAATTCACGAACTCACGATACGTATGCTTAAGTCCCGCGACATAACATGCCACTACAATCTCCCGCAGCTGGCCACCTAATTGTGCGATATAATTGGTGTCAGCCATCGCACGTTGAATAACCTAGATCAATTAGCACCAAAACCAAAGACGCCCCCCACAAGAAGGTACTTACCTTCTCAGACCCAGGCCCGTGAACATTTAGCCTCAGCTGCCGCTGGAACTCCATCCCCAAAACGGAATTGGATGTAGTCACGCCAGCCGTCATGGAGAATCCCACAACAAGCATATACCCCGCCGTCGCCATGGCGATTTCCTCAACCGGTAGCATAGCAGACATGGCAATAAATGAGGACGCCCCTGCGATTCCCGTCCCAAGTCCGCCAGGGAGAATAAACAGCGACTCCCAGAAGCCGCTGTGTCCATCCCAGCGGAGGTAGAGGAGGACGTAGGAAGTGCCGGCAACCAGGCCCGCGAGAACGAGGAGGATTTTGAATTGTCCCGTGCGCCGGATAAACATTCCTGCTAGTAGTCCGCCAAGAGTATTTCCTACCACTGCTGGAATGAGATGCACGCCCGCTGCTGTCGTTGATGCGCGCTGGGTGACTTGGAAATACAGTGGGACGGAGAACATCATTCCCAGTTGCGCGGTGATCTGGAGTGCGCCGATTGTGTATGCCATTGCGACATTGGTGCGTCTGAGAATGCGGAGGTTGAAGATTGGTTCGCGGGCTACGTAGGCTTCCACGAGTACAAAGGCGATTAGGAGTGATACTCCGGTGCTTGCCAAGAGGACTGTCCACCATGAGCTCCATGGGAAGGACTTCCCGCCTTGGTCGAGGAGTGTGGTCATTGCGACAATAGATGATCCTAGCAGTGCTGTTCCGAGGAAATCGACTTTGGCGAGTTTGCTTTCCTTGGAGGTGGGTTGTGGCTTCTCACTGACGTTCAGTTTCACAATCACGAGAGCTGCAGCTAGAGCGAGGAATGGAGCTTGGAGGATGAACAACCTAAAAATTTGGTGAGAAATTAGATGCAACTGTCAAATACGTGCAAACTCACCATCTCCACCCGATGGTATCGCTCAGCCAACCACCTAACGGGCCTCCTAGACTGCGTCCAAGTGTCATGGCGATATTCACGTATGCTCTCCAGGTAGCGACCTCGCGCTTGGGCACAATATCTGTGATGATGATGGAGCTTATGGTCATGATTCCAGCACCGCCCATCCCGCTGATCGCGCGCCCAAAAATCACCACCCACATGTGGGTTCCGATGCCACTATACGTGGTTAGAATCTTTTTTACCGGCCGCTGGGTGAGGACTTTCCCTACCTCAATATACAGCCAACTGCAAATAACAGGTATGATAGCAGCAGCATCGGCTTGCGACCGTAGATATCACTCAATTTGCCATACTGGATGACAATTAGACAATGAAATCTCTAGTGTGGGCTTCTCACTCACCATCGGTTGTGCAGCACAAAGACCCAACGTATACCCCGTTGATAGCCAACTAGCATCGCGTAGACGATTAAATTCAGAAGAGATGCGGCCTGCCGCGGCCATGACAAGTGTCGCATCGGCATTGGAAATAAATTCACCTATAATCGATTAGATTTCTGGTCTTCGTGCATGACCAATTCTCCTACCAAGCAGAAGCACCGCGATAATTGTCCCAACACCGGGCAATGCCTTGAGCTTAGAATCTGTGTCAGATCGCGGGAGTAATGGACTCTCTTCGTCTTGGGTATTCGCATCAATGCCCTGGGAGGCGATGGTACCTGGAGGCACCGACTCCACCGTACTGCTTTCTATAGCCATGTTCTAAAATTGAAGAAAATTCAAGAAAATTCGATCAGGGGAATTCAAGGCGACAAAAATTATTCCAGGTTCAAGGTCTCAAGCTAAGTTGTGCTCATTGGAGTTGTAAAGCACGCCATAGCCAATATCGACAGGGATCCACTTTTATACTTCCAACTTCCGTTTGACGCCGTGACCAGGGAGATTGTAGGAGAGTTTGGACTTCAACGACGCGATTGCGATGATAATACCAAAAAGGGCAAAGATCTCCATCTGGGGTGACATATTGACCTGTGAAACGACAAGTTATATTTAGAACGAGTTGCACGCACCAGAGCCATTCTCCGCACCTCCCAGAAAACGACCCCACCTTGGCTCTTTGAACATCCTCAGTACCCCCAACCAAATCAACATGTCGGAAGATCCATACTACGATCTCGGTTCCTATCAACTGCTCGTGAAGACAAGCTCTCCAGAATGTCAGTTATGGTTTGATCGCGGATATCGTTGGGCCCAGGGCTTTAATCATGGAGAAGCGGCCCGTTGCTTCAGGAAAGCTATTGCACATGATGAAACGTGTGCCATGGCATATTGGGGTCTTTCCTATGCCCTAGGACCAAACTACAACAAGGCCTGGATTCGATTTGATCGCTCTGACTTGCTTAAAACGACCACCGAAGCCCGGCACCTTCTTCAGAAAGCCCAAACATACACTACCCAAGAAACGCCGGTGGAATTTGCTCTAATCGAGGCACTGAAGGCTCGATTCCCACGATCCGAAGTGTTACCTGAAGATCTTGGCTCCCTAGATCTAAGTTACGGGGAGGCTATGCGTCCGGTGTATGAAAGGTTTTCGGATGATTTAGATGTCGCCGCTCTCACAGCAGAAGCCTTGATGTGTTTCACTCCGCGTGGCCTATGGAACCTCGACACCGGAGAGCCTACCGGCGCTCATACTGTACTGGCTCGTGAGATAATTGAGAGGGCGATGACACTTCCAGGGGGCGCAGAGCATCCCGCGTTATGCCATCTCTATATTCATTTGATGGAAATGTCCCCTTACCCAGAAATCGCATTGCCGGCAGCCGATCGGCTACGCTTTTTAATGCCCGAGGCATCCCATATGCTACATATGCCGACACATATCGATATCGCTTGTGGCGACTATCGTAGAGCCGTGGATTCTAATCACCAAGCCATGCTTGCCGATGACAAATTCTTTGCTCGCACAGAAGGAACCAATCTCTACAAGTTATACCGGGCGCATAACATCTATGTGAAGCTGTATAGTGCCTTGATTTCTGGCCGCTTCAAAGAAGCGCTTTCTGCAGCAAATCGTCTGCCTGGAATACTCACCACTGAGGTGCTTTCTATTTCTAGCCCTCCCATGGCAGATTGGGTCGAAAGCTTTCTCGGTGCGATTGTTCATGTTTTAGTCCGATTTGGTCGCTGGGAGGAAATTCTTCAAAATCTCCCGATACCCGAGGACAAGCAGTTGTACTGTTCCACAACAAGTATGATCTATTACGGCCGAGGTATTGCACTTGCGGTACTTGGTCGGGTTGATGAAGCAAAGCTTGAACAAGCTAAGTTTGAGACGGCGAGGGCTCTCGTGCCGAGAACCCGTCTTAGTAGCCTGCCAGCTCTAGAGGTCGATGTACTGAAAGTTGCATCGGCCATGCTCCAGGGCGAGATTCAGTACAGAGAGGGAAATTTCGAGGTTGCGTTTCGCAGTTTGCGAGAGGCCGTTGCTCTGGAAGATGGTCTCCCTTATTCTGACCCCCCGCCTTGGATGCAGCCAACCCGGCATGCGTTGGGTGCCCTGCTCTTAGAACAAGGCCATACTGAGGAAGCAGAGCTAGTATACCAAGAGGATCTTGGTCTAAGCGATACCCTACCCAGGCGCAAGGCAAGATTGAATAATGTCTGGGGTCTTCATGGTCTTCATGAATGTTTGACGAAGACCGGGAAAATCAGAGAGGCCAAAGTCATCGGTATCCAGAAAGAACTAGCCTTAGCTTCTGCAGACATCCCCATTGCTGCTTCATGTTTCTGCCGTCTTTCTAGTTCACAGGGAACAAATGGTCTCCAGTCGGACAAATCGAAATGCTGCGCCTGAAAGACTCGGAAAGTCGGGAAGTTGATATCTTCTACTGTCTGGTGAAATTCTAGTTTATAGGAAGTGATACCACGACTAGCCAGTATTTCGCGCTTCTTGAGTAGGAACTTATTGGTTGCATTGGATCCCGGATCTCTTTCGTTTTTGTAACAATCGGTCAACTTTATATATACAAACCCTCTAAATTCCGACCGATATAAACAGTGTAGAATGTATATTAATCAAAAAATCTAAATAATGCCTACCAGTTCAAAATATCAAGTGGATATACGACGACCTCGGAATGCAGTCCGAGCTTCGATCCCCTAGAGACTGTAGGGCTTATTAATCTAATTATTCATACGTCAATAATATCCGAGGTACATTTTTTTGCCTTGGCTATTCAATTCTTCGTCTTACTGATTGTTTGTAATATAATCGCATTGAGGATGTCTTACTAAAAAAATGCGCCGGTGGGCTGTAAATGCTGGGGAAAGCCCACCGGCCCCACATATTCCCCCTCCTTATATATCACGTCAGTAGCAAGACTTCTATACTTGATCATCCTCCTAATCTCAAATCAATCTCAGAACCTCTATCTCTCGCCATGTCTTCCGTCAAATCATTTCGCCAACTCATCGGCATCCCCCCTTCCACTGCCTCCACTAGTGATTCAACTCTGATCATCATCGACGCTCAAAACGAGTACGCCACAGGTCTTCTCGCAGTTGAGAAAGTCGCCGAATCTCGCAAGGTCATTGCCAAACTGCTCGAGAAATACCGACAGGGCAACGGCAAGAATATCGTCCACGTCGTGCACGAAGTGCCTGCCGGTGCACCTGTTTTCACTCCTGGCACTACTCTTGCGCAGGAGTTCGAGGAGCTCACGCCTAAGCCAAACGAGAAAGTGGTCACGAAGAACTTCCCTAGCTCTTTTGCTAAGACCGATCTGCATGATTACTTGCAGGGACTAGGAGAAGTGGGCCAGAAGACTGTACTAGTTGGCTACATGTCGCACGTTTGCGTTTCTACTACCGCACGTGCTGGAAGTGAGCTTGGCTATGATGTACTTGTTGTGCGTGACGCGATAGGCGATCGCCACATTCCTGGTGCGGACGCGGACACTGTCGTCTCCGTGGTGCTCAGTGAGTTGGGCGATGGTTTTGCCACAATTGTCTCTGAAAGTGAGATCAACTAGACACCGGTCTATTTCATATACAACTTACATGAATAACTCAATGATCTTGTCTAAATTGAAACGAACACGCCATTTCCAGTAAGTAACATCTTCCAATTCAACTTAAAGAGACTCCTCACATTGTAGAGTAGTCATGCGAGAAATGCGAGGCATGAGTTGATTCCACCAGTCTATGTAATGAGAAAAAGCAGTTTGATGATCAGATTAGCTTTCTTCAAGGCAGAAATTTCCCATTGACTCAATTCCACCAATTCTCGTCGGTTTCCAATAATATTCCACATTGCGAAATCCAATCGGTACTGCTGGGATCATGCGATCTATCTCTTCTAGAAAATATCAAAAGCCGTCGAGCCAATTCCGGATTCGAGCTAGCATCCCAAAGATTTCTCTCGTCCGGCATGGGGAACTGTAGATCGGAGAGGCGCAAAACTCGACTATCAGACTCATCGGGTTCTCCCAAACAACTCCCCCTTCCACAAAGCCGAGAGACTTTGTATAAGGCCAAACCAAACCTTTTGATTTCTTCAACCCCTACCCACATGCAAGTAAGGGACTCCACGTTTCGGTACCTCGTAAGCATATTGGGGTAGTAGAAGATGTTGTTTCGCAGGCAGGTAGCGACCAGAGCGGAAATGATTTGACGATCAGACACATTCACGACCAGGCCGAGGTTAAGTTCGAGACCAGCCGGGGTCGATAATAATGAAAATATAATACAAAGAAGGATGCCTTGGTAGGTTGCAATCGGCCATCGTGAAATCGGGCTGTCTAAACCTTCATCATCATATTCTCCTTCCACCGGCGATCGTGCCCAATTGTCCTATGAATCAGCGGTCAATAGATTGAAAGGATTATGCTTTTGAGCTACTTACCTGCTGTGCTGAGATCGCTAGTTTTAGTTTGGAATGTAAGTTCCGAGCACCTTCTTGCGCCGCCGGGCTCCCACTGACCCAGAGGCCGATCATGATCACCGCGTGAAGCAGCGATTGGGGCTCGTCAGCAACACTGAAGGTATGTCGATGCAGAATTGGCCATTGTTGATGAAAATGAGTGAAGTAAAGATGTACGTAATGGTCAACTTGGGCGATATTCCCAATTGAAGTATTGATCTGATCTGAAGTATTGATCCCATCATCTCCATCTCCACTACCGTACTCCCAAAGTTCTTCTTCTAGATCTGGTTGAGTAGGCTCGAGGTGGACCGGATTATCAAAGATACACAAATGTCCCTTTGAGGAACATTCTGTACACGGCGAACCTCCCTGACATCGTGCTTTGACCATCCGACACCTTGTGCAGGCCTGTGTGGCGCGAGCGAGAGACCGCCCGGGATCTTCATGATCGCGACGAATATGACGCCGAAGACTGTCGCTGTATAGGTTTCCACGATTAGATAAGACCTCTCTAAAGTTCACAGGTCACTCTACCTGCGAGAAAAGACGCGGCCACATATTGAACAGGTGCGAAGATGACTTCCACGGTGTTGCGCCTCGTGGCGTCGGAGATGTTCTTTACGACGGTAGCTCGAGGTACAGCCGGGGACTTGACATTGAAATTGGGGCATATTCAAGCACTAGAGAGCTGAAATGAAAAATTGCCGTGTGAACATGGACAAGGACTATATTCAAGCCCACCGGATGCAGCCCACCGGACCAGAGTGGAGCGGATGTGGCAAAAGTGACCAATCATTTTCTCGAATCAGAGCCCATTAAGGCATTTATGCCTAAGGTATCAGGCAGTCAAGATGAAGTTGCTGCCTTAGGATCAATATAGGAAACACATAGCCTACAAGGAAATCACTCTACGTTGGCGAAGTGTACAGTTTACTGGATGAACGATGCAACATAGATATTAATCTGAGGCTATTTTCTCATGGTGTAGCTTGTATGAATTTAAAGTACAGTACATGAAATTACCGTAAATATAACCCCTACGTGTACTCAGATTGTGCGTGCATTTCGCATGCACGGTATAGCTCTAACATTATATTATATTATATTACATTACATACATGTATAAATCCAAAACAGGTATCCTATGACGGACAGATCTAGACTAAGATACTCTGAGATAAGTCTGAGGCAGTGGAATTTGGACACCGAGGATAGAGAAATGATCAACTAGCTGTATATTAGTTAGACGTCTGAGGCCACTGGGGATGAACACCCTAGTTTCTTATATCGTATCTTGTTCATCTTATTAGGAATCTAAAATTCAAATGCCAAAGGATGTATGTTCATTCAATATACAAATCCCGCTATTGTCCACTCAGACTACATTTCTAGGAGATACAGTTTGCTCCAGTTCGCGCGATGACCCTTTCGTTGATGCCCTTTCCAGCGAGCCCCTGGAGCTAGCTTCCCCACTGCGTAGCATCATCGTGTCTGTTCCCTCGCGGTCCTGATCACCAGGATCAGAATAAGAGCGCTGATTCGAGACACAGGAAAACCGGTTATTGAGTATGACAGAGTGGTCACGGCGATTCACCACACTGTTGTTAGGAACAGGCTCGTTTTCGGACAAGAGAATGATCTCTACCGGGTGGTCTCGGATAGTAGGCACTTTAAACCATTTATAGAAGCAATTCAGGACGGGAATAGACAGCCCGTGAATGACGATGGAAAAGAAGACAAGCCAATATACCACTAAAATCAAGTCAGTACACATTGTTATTAGGCAGAAAGATATCATACCCGGTATCATGGCTGCAGTCAAGTTGTTGATCTCTGTATCGCTCTCTCCGGGGTCTGGTAACAATCGTCGCGCATATTCGACATATGAGATAGCGCCAACTCCTAAAACTAGTAAGTACTGCCTGCACTCAACACAAAAAATCAACATCTTGTCTGGATGACACACCAATTGGGGCAAAGTATCCCATAAACAAGGCCTCCTTCCAATTTTCGCAGACCTTAGGCATGAATCGATATCCCATCATGATCGCCGGGATCCGACGGAATACCAAGATCAAAAATCCGAGCCCGACCAGTCGAGCGATAGTGATGCCATTCTGAGTAGGCATGTGAAGTTGGTCCCACGGCATGATAGCACCGAGGAACATGAAGGTTCCAATGTTCAAGATGTTTTCGATTGTGGAATTGAAGGAGTCATGTCTCTCTTCGACTTCAAAGTGATAGGACCCATCCCAGTTCAATGCACAGCCGGCAACAAAGCAGGCAAGAGTCTCGTCAGAGCCAAAGCAGCCACAGGTACCGACAATAAACAACTGCAAGATATCTTAGCATATGCTGCACTGTTTCTCAAGAATACTTACACCCATCGCAACAGGATATGAGAAGAAGCTCTCCTTGTCAACCCAACGTCTGTTTATATCATTAGCCAGTCTCTTGAGCCAATAGCATAAATTTACATACCTTTTTGAGGCCAAGTTCAAGGCTTTCCGGCTCAGGAACCCGACCAGCACACCATACCCAGCGCCCATGACCAGCATGTACAGCACTCCCTCAACAGCCCAATGCGCCAAAGCTCGACCAACATCCCCACCCAATCGACCCGTATCCGGCTCGCCAATCCAATCTCGACTCTGTTTCCCGAGACCGGCTTTGACTATCTCCGTACCCGGGGTATCGGCATAACGAAGAATAGCAATAGAGAGAAGCAGAAATGGAAACCCGAACCCGTCATTCCCACCTGCCTCAGCTGATATAAATTCTCGAAGATGTCGTCGGACATATTGATCTGCGAAAGGGCCCTTGGCGATAGCCTGGGAGAGAACGGGGTCGATGCATATGACACACGATCCAATGATGAGAGAAGTCAGCTACGTAAAGATTAGTGGGAGTATGTGTTAAATCAGCGAAGGTAAAACTCACAAACGATAGGTTAGGGATCAATAGTTTTATACATGTGGATGTCATCAGCCACTGGATCGTCATCAATGGGAGTAGGCAGATGGTGAGTTCGACCAAATGAAGCCGAATATATCGTTTCGGCAGCTCATAACCGACTTTGACCATAGCAATGCCAATCACCAATCGAGTTAATCCCTAGCATATTTAGCTTGATGTTTTCCTTTGCGGCGGAAAGACTTACATAGGCAATGTCACCAATGTCACCACCATCGCTGTCGGTATCTCCTCCCCACTGACTGACATTAATCAACTTTGCACCGAAGGGTCCTATAATAGCCCCAATCATGAAAGACGGTACTGAATATCATCAGCGACCGATACCCGATAGGACTGAGGGACGACATACAAGCTTCACCGAGGTACCATCTTTGCTTGATTTTCACAGCGATAAACCCGAAGATCAAGACGTATATTCCTAAAACTATTAATCAGAGGGAAATTTAAATATGGCACGTCAGGTCTTACCTGATAATGAAAGTACAACATTAACACTACTAATATCCAGGATGGGGTGCAGCATCATGTTCCCGCAAGCGCAGAACTGATGTTATGAACAGAATACAGGATGGTGATGCGGGCATTTGTAAATCGCGCGAATGCCGACATGACGATTTCCTTGAAGAATGCTCCCTTCTTCGTGTCTGAGTTTACTATTCGAGGTCTCTTATCTTGCTGGCCTCATCCGCAGCTTGCATACATCCCGGAGCAAGGGATATGCTCTATTGACGCGTCATATACACATAGGGAGCAGTTAGCGATAATTCTCGCTCAGGAACATATCCAACTGGATCGAATAAATCGAATGAATGATATAACACCTATTCTCACAAAAAGCTTAGGACGAAACGTAGGGGACAAAATGATATGCGTGTGACTCCCTAGATACCCAATAGATGAAAGCCACAACAGTAGATTGAATTTATACCACTAGACACTTGAGCCCTATCTTGTTGCCACAATTAAATATCTTGCTGCCTGACATACGTGTGAAAAAGCATTTGATCAATACAAAAGTACCTTGTGCTGCGCCACCCCCATTTCCCCTTCAGACCGGCCCACCCGAGAAGGTGGGAGGTCGAAACATTTCCGAGTCAGGGGCTAATTTACCAGAGAGGAAAACCGGCTTCTAGGCCTCATTTCTAAATGTAGCAGAGAAATACATCGCATGTTCAGTGCACGGAGTCCGGAGTATGTATTTGCATGGTCTATAATCATCAACCCTGCAATCAAGGGCCAGAATGTTCCAGTTTTAGAACAAGGGATAATAGCAGGGATCACTCCTAAATATATCATATTTGTAACAAATATTTCAAACGATGGTAATATCACACTATGCTAATGTCTTCTAGAAGGTCTTGGCTCGTCCTATAAGTGGAGCATCTAGGTCCCCCTGATACTCAGATATAGATAGCATCGAGTATAGCATGAGATTTATGTGCTGTTCATCACGTTGTCATCTAGATTCCTCGAACTAAAGAACAAAAGAAAAGAACGCATGTGCCCAACTTGAAACATCGTGGAAGCCCCCTTTTTTTTTTACCAAAGCGCGGATCATGATGTTCTGTGTAAATGCCTCATAGCTTTATCACGCGATTTAGAGATATGAGATATTTTACCAGCACGCAACAATTTGGAACAAAGAATATAAATGCAAGACAGTCTGGCTAGTTAATCAGTTTTCCAGTTTGAATCTACATATTTAAATATTCACATATTCACATATTTCATTGCGTCATGGGTTCTATAGAAGGATTATCCAAGCAGCTTTCGGACCAGGCGAATGACTGCTCTTATGTCTATGGCACCCGATTTGCCACAAGGGCCTTGCCATCGCATCAGCTTCCAGATGGAGGGATGCCAAAGGAGGTGGCGTACCAGATGATCAAGGATGACCTGGCCCTGGACGGTCAGCCAATATTGAAGTGAGTATATTTCTCAAGTATGCGAAAACTATACTGACATATTATGCCATATAGTCTCGCTAGTTTTGTGACCACGTACATGGTAGGTCAACTTCTCATCTTTTGCTTGACCAACGCTAACACTACAACAGGAAGATGAAGCCCTCAAACTACTCGCCGAATCATCAAACAAGAACATCATCGACCACGAAGAATACCCTAAATCCGTCGAAATCGAACACCGTTGTCTGAACATCCTCGCCGACCTATTCCACTCGCCAGTCTCCAATGGAAATCCAACCGCCTTTGGCACGTCAACTATCGGATCTTCCGAAGCCATCATGCTCGCAATGCTGGCAATGAAGAAGCGTTGGCAAATCAACCGCCAAGCTCAGGGGAAAGATGCCTCCAAACCAAACATCATCATGAGTAGCGGCGTACAAGTCTGCTGGGAAAAGGCAGCCAAATACTTTGACATCTCCGAGAAGCTAGTCCCATGCACGGAGACGCGATACGTAATTGACCCAGTTCAAGCAGTCGACTTGGTCGACGAGAACACTATCGGAATCTGCGCGATCCTCGGCACTACCTACACGGGCCAGTACGAAGATGTACAAGCTATCAGTGAGCTTCTCCTTGAGAAAGGTCTGGACACGCCCATTCATGTAGACGCCGCCAGCGGTGGGTTCGTGGCTCCGTTTGTGAACCCGGATCTAGTGTGGGACTTCAAGTTACCCAACGTCGTCTCGATCAATGTCTCTGGGCATAAATACGGACTTGTAAGTACATTCATTAATCACGGCCAACTCCAATACCAGCAACACATACTAATCTCCACAGGTCTACCCCGGAATCGGCTGGGCCCTCTGGCGATCATCAGAGTACCTCCCTGAAGACTTGGTCTTCAACATCGACTACCTAGGCGCCGAGCAACTGAACTTTACGATGAATTTCTCCAAGCCAGCATCCCACATCATAGCCCAGTATTACCAACTCATCCGACTCGGTCGCAGCGGCTACACTAGTATCATGAGAAACCTCACAAAGACAGCCGACTACCTCACCAGCCAGCTACAAGAGCTGGGTTTCATACTCATGAGCGAAGGGAATGGGAAGGGTCTACCAGTCGTGGCATTCAGATTGAGTCCATCGCAGAACGTCATCTTCGACGAATGGGCGCTTTCGCGGAAACTGCGCGAAAGGGGATGGATTGTACCTGCTTACACTATGGCTGCTGATTGCCAGGAAATGGGGATGATGAGAGCTGTTGTCAGGACGGATTTCAGTATGGGACGGTGTGTGAGTCTTGTGCGGGATGTGCAGGATGCCCTAGGGGATTTGGCGGGTATGGAGATTCGGAATATTCAGCGGTATCAGGCGTGAGTATACTTCTTTTGAGCTTGACTGTCGGGGGATCTCTGCTAATATTTGTTATTTGACAGGTTGGTTCAGAGTTATGTTTCGATTTCCAAGAAGAAGTGGACTTCGTCGCGGATTCTCAGTCAGGAAATGGGGAAAGAGATAGAGGGAATTTGAGGATTTGAATTGGCTTATTGTTTTATAGAGTAATATAGGTTACAGATTTTACTTGTTTTCTAATGAATTTTTAGATGCGTCGAAATGCATGAGATCTGTATCGTAGGAAGAAGCGCGATAGGTATCTAGGGGATACCATGATAAGAGTAAATTGAATGATCCTTTTGAGGGCATATAGAGGCTTTATTCTTTCTCTGACAAATGTATTTTGATAAAAAGAGTATCTATTTGGTCATGGGAGTGGAGTTTGAGGAAGAGAGGAGCAGAGACAACATCACCGGGCATCACGCGCAGTCATTAAAATTAGGGGATATATAATTCATGAGAACGTCGGAAGGTTGACAGACAAGTTGGCATCCCAATCCCACAACTCTGGGCCAGTGTAATCCAATCCGTCAAACCAACCGCCTAGATCCATTGGCTGTGAAAGGTCAGCATAGCCCTTGAGAAAATCCGAGGAACTATAACTTACCGTAAAATCACTAATGTCAGTCGATAGAAGCGATGCAGGGTCAATATCGCTCGGTGTAGCCGAGGCTGGGGGTGTCTCCGAAGGAATAGAAGCCTGAACAGGGACGTTAGGCATGGTAGACACACAGCTATAAGCGGAGATACCAACCTGAACGGGGCGATGATCAACACTATTCTTAGCCTCCTGATATGTAAGACCATTCAAGATCGCTCTGCCAATGCGAACGGACCTCTTTGAGGCCGTATCAACATTACACAAAGGATCCTCACCCTTGACCCGCGATTTGACTGAAGCGAGGATTATATTCAAAAAGAAAAAAGGCTTACCCCCCTTCCCACCGGGACCAATGCGTCTCCCAAAATTATCAGCGGTACGTTCGACAGCCTGCATCATCACGCCTTGCTGAGACTGGATCATGCTCATGAGCACGCTGGAGTTGACACCATCCATCCCGGATGTAGCAGACGTACTCATTTCATTGGCTTGGAGGGACAGTTCCACGCAGGCGGTGATTGCGGCGTGGAATGTTTCATCGCGGAACATCCCGCTGCCCAGCTGGGTGATGTGCGGGTAGAGGATGTCGTCTGTCGAGGAGGGGAGTTCCATCTGGGAGAGAATTCCGAGGGATTCTTCGAGGCAGATTTTGCGGGAGTAAGAGCATTTGGGTAGGCGGGCAACACTGAGGGAGAAGGGGCGGTGGAGAGCGAGGAGGAATTTGCGCATGATGAAGAGATGTAGGGATTGGGCGAATCGGTGACGTGCTGATTCTCCCGGAGCGATACCCGGGGCATTATCGTCAAATAAGGATGATGCATATTGCATGGAGCGGGAGAGTTCATCACCCATTCGCAGGGCGTCGTCGTAAGATAGATTAAATCGGAGACTGTTTATTTTTTTGGCGATTCGATAGCGTAGTGGAAGGGTCTTGGTAAGGAGAGATTGGTAGAAATTTTGGGTATAAAGGGCAGTGCTGAGTGGAGCAGGATTATTCTCCATGTCCTGTATCAAGTCTGCATCGTCCCAGTTGGACGGTGGGTCGCAGTCGCATTCGTCTAGGTCAACTGAGGGCGGAACACCGCGGTCGAGAGAGATTTTGAGGTCCAGCTCGACGATAGTGGCCCAAAGGCGACGGCGCAGTTCAGAGTAGAATGGTCGAGCCTTGCGGAAGCGAGTCGGATCACGATGCAGACCCATTGTCGTCGCAGACCGAATCAGCGACCCGGCTGAGGCCCAGGCTACATCTCCATCACTGGCAACTCCGAGGCGAGCTACCAGAAGAAGGGTTTGGGTCTGAAGCATTCGGAGGTCGATCTCTGGGCTAACAAATGTACACGAGATGTATGACTGGACAGCCATGATCCACTTCATGGCCGGTTTCTGGAATATATCTCGGTCGTCTTGACCTAGAGGTGGGACATAGAAACAACTGCCAGCAGCCATCACGGCAAGTAATTGCGCGACGAAAGCCATATCGACTGGCTGGGTGTTGGCCCAGTAATCAGCATACTGCCTCAAGAACGTCGGTGTGTGCAAGATTCGATATGTCGTCTCGAAAGTGTCGAGATACAGTTGAAGCAGATGATCTGCCACGTTTCGCTGGGGAACCATTTCATCCAGCTTGAAAGCCTGCTCGCGAAACTCGCGCTGATGATCCTGTGTCTCGCGTGACCAAAGCTCCGTCTTAAACTTTTTCATATCAGTGTACTCTTTATCTTTTTCCTCCCCGCGGCAATGACCACGGCGCATGAAGGTACCAATATCTTTGAACTATAAAAATTTAATTAGCAAATCAATCACAGAATACAATGAAGGATACTCACGAAAGAAATAGTAGTGGTATAATGGCTGCGACCGAAATAACGAGTCTTATTCTTCTTCCCACGGAAACTCCAGTCTGGCAAGAATCGCACGCGGTCGTCAACACCGACATTTTCGAAACTATTAGCAGTGCCGACTTCAGAAAAGACATCGGAAACCGAGGTCTCAGGCGTCTGTAGATGAGACGACTTGCCGAGCGAATTCTCCAGAACTCGCAACCGACTCCGGAGCTCGTGCAGCTCATCAGAATGACCACGCTTCGAAACGCGATTGGAAGTCGAATTCGGCCCCAATTTCGAGTCGAAGACGAACATCCCGCTTTTCCGGCCAGACTGCTCTTCCACACCACCATATGGTAATTGCGGGGGGGACATGCGTCGCTGAGCAGAGTCAGATACAATACCAGTTCCAGGCTGAGCTCCGACAAAGACGCATTGGGCTGTTGTTTTTGAGCGCACGCATTGCCCGCAGGGTAGAGAGCGGTCACATTTTAATTTGCGCTTGCGACAGACTGTACAAGACAGGGGCGGGCGGCGACGACGCTGTGGAGCGCGAGATTCATTTTCTACCTCTATCTCTTCATGATCTAGAGAGAGGTGGTCATGATGGTTTTCCATTTTGAGGGTAGTCGGGTAATTCTGATTTCAGATTGATTTTCTTTGTTCGTCGCAGCAAGTCTTTGCGACGGCGCTAGACATGGGTGAGACGTTGGTGCCTTGTCGGAGATGAGGGGCGCTTTTCCCGATTACCTGGCTACACATGTATTCCACGACGTCTTGGAAAATATGTGTCTTTGTGACAGTAATTGACAGATGGCCTTTGAAACTGTGAGACGAGGGCTCATTTGACATATATGTAGGTCTCGACCTTGAAAGCTCTTACTCGATGAAGAATGACCGAGCTCGGAGATACCTTTTCTGGTAATGGTGGAGTTAACCCCGAGAGATGCTCTGATTGATAAAACGAGTCAAGCTTTGCCAATGTGACTCATTGCGTATTCGGCTGGAGACCCTGCGTGTATTCATTTAATTCATTTAATATTAGAACAAATCAAATCACTCTCTGTGTAATCCATACGGGTAACTCCGTAGTAGAATCCAAAAATAACGAGAATTAAGATTAAGTCACGTGGTCTTTATTAACCCCTTGGAAATCAGGCAACACAGATTATATAAGGTTAACGGCCCCGCGATTCACTTCTTGGCACTTGGCTTTCTCTTTCTATACTTTCTACCGAGTACCTATGACAAGCCCAACTTGAGAAAACTCTCTGTATTTTATTCTCTGAAGTAACTCAAGATTAAAATGCATTAAAGTCAAATGACAAACTTCACTTTTGATATATACGCAACGCTATGCCGAATTTATATCCAAATCAAACAAAAAGCTACTTCGACCGCCAAAACGGCTTCATAACAGACCGCATATAAACCAGCAAGTAAACCATCAAGTAATTGGCAACGGTAAAAGCAAGGAAGATACCAAAGTATGGCCAAATCTTCGAAGAATCCAGACCAATTCCAGACAAGTACTGAAAACACAGATTAGCATCACTTCCAGATACAACAAAAAAAGTTTTCTAGGGAACAAACTCACATCATCACCAAAGCTATATTCACAATATCCACACTCAACCATCCCATCTGGGTTGGAGAGATACCCCACACCCTTCGCATCAAGCCAGGCACCCGCATACTCGCTGCAAGTAGTGTTGGGCGGACTCCCAAAAATAGTCAATTCAGACTGAGAGCAGACAACAGGGGTACCACGGAGGACAGAAGTGAGCACACCGCCAATCCAGTATGTAAATGGCGTGACGTAGTACATGGTATACTTCCAGAAGGCAGGCATCTGCGATTGCGGACGGAGGATACCGTTGAAGAGCTCGCACATGATAATAAAGAATGGCATGAGGGTGGCGGCGATCATTGAGTCAGCGCTATAGATTGACAAAATATATTAGTTGACAAGATCACGGCGGAAAAATAAATGGTGCTGGGTTATACTAGACTCACCTCAGAGCGGCAATCCACTGACCCCACGAGGTCGCGAATAGGAAGAAAAGGAAGAACATCAGGAAACAGTATCCCGCCGCAAACCCGAGTGGGAGTCCCACCATGAAATAGTATAGGACGAAGAAAACTACGCTGCCGACGACGGAATAGGGGATCTCAGAGATGATCTGGGCTGTACAGAATGCCACCCAGCCGTATACACCACTCGGGCCTTCTCTTGCTAACCAGATATCGCGGTTCATGATGAAGCGCATGGATATAGCGTTGATAAACTCGGGGACAAGCATCAGGACGAGGAAGCAGGAGAAAGCCTTTGACTGGAGGTCCGTGGTACTGTTCCCGATCTGGAGGTAGGTGAGGCCGTTGATGAGAGCGTGCAGGAAGGAAGAGTAAAGACGCGAGTAAGGGTACTCAGCGGTGCGCCAGAACTGGCGACAGGTCCGTTGAGTGAGGAGTTTGATCTGCTGGCTGAGAGGGGGCAGGGTTGGAGGCAGCGAAGGGGAGCGGGTATTCTTGTCGGACCGAATTGAAGCGATTTCGTTCTTGACTTCGGCGAATTCTTCTGAGTTACGCCAGACTGCCGCCCAGTTTGTTTTATTTCCCGTGTCTTTTGTACCGCCGACGGCTACTTCGATGAGGAAGTCGGCTGCGTTGGTGACCTTCTCTGGGATGTTGCCGTGTCTCGCGAAATACTCGAAGATTGCGTGGCCGGATTCGCCGACTGGGCCGAAGTAGTATGTGCTTCCGCCGGGGCTTAAAGCTAGAACACGGTCGAACTGGGATGTTGTTAACATTGATTTGTGATTAGAGTGGTTGGTACTTACCTCTTCGAATTGTTGCTGGTTAGCTTGGTGGATGGTACAGAGGACCGCCAGTCCCTGATTAGCGAGACGTCGAAGCAGAGCGACAATACTAGTTGCGCCCTGGCTATCGAGTCCACTTGTCGGTTCATCCAGGAAAAGAAGCAGGTTTGGTCGAGCGCACAGCTCCACTCCAATAGTAACCCGCTTTTTCTTCTCGATGTCCAAAGAGCCGATCACTGCGTCTTGCAATTCAACCAGGTCTAATGTGTGAATCACTGTTTCCACATACGCCAATTTGTCCGCCGTTGGAACGTCATGGCTTTGTCGGAGCATTGCGGAGAACTCAAACGCTTCTTTGATCGTACTGCTTTCGTCGTGGATATCCATTTGCTGGCAATATCCGATCTGTCGGTTGAAGGACTGGTCAATTGACCGGTTGTCCACAAATAGAGACCCAGATAAAGTGCCAGGGCTCTCTCTTTGGGTGAGTGCAGTCAACACTAAAGGTTGTTAGAATCAAGCGATCCATTAATTTCATTGGGGATCTTACATGTAGACTTTCCTGCTCCCGAGGCACCAACAAGAGCAGTCAAAGATCCCGGCTTGCAGTATCCACAAACACCATCCAAGATCTTCCTAGTCTCCTTTCCAATTTGCACATTGAGCTCCAAGTCAGACCAGGAAAAGGTAGACTCGGTAGCTGTAAGTGTCTGGTCATGCTTTGTTTCATAACCAACAGGCGGCGCAGCAGAATCAACCGAGACCGGCGATTTCTCTTCATCGTACTGGACATTCTTTTCCTTCTGGAAGAGTTTCCGGGAGCTCTTGTACTGGATAGGGCCGGCACTGTCCAACTCCCACTCAAGCACCTCGCTCAACCAGCAGGTCATACCGATAAAGGCGACGGTGAAGAGACATAAAATTCCAAAATTGCGCCAGACATTGCTGTAGTAGAATCCATACTTCATAGCCAGGTAGTCATCACCATTCACGACGGTGCTGCCAATCTGACTGCCAGCATAGGCACAGGTTTGGTATGCGAGGTCCGTATATTCCGAACCGGACGGAATAATGGATGCGGCCGCGCAGGTGAAGTTCATGTTGTGAAATTCGGCCGACATGACTGCTTCGTATGTATACAGAGCAGGAGTTGTATATGCGAGCCATCCAACCCAAGGAACATCTTGAATCATCTTGTCGACAGAGAGAACGTAACCGCCGAACACGATGCAAAACATAACAGAAACTCCGCAGTAGCGGAGGGCAACTTCAAAGTTATTGGATAGAGCGGCGAACACACGGAATTGTGCCGTCAGGCAGATCGTGGACATATAAATAAAGAGGCAGTCGATGAAGAAGGGACCGGCCTAGAAGAGTTAGTGTCTATACTTGCGGCAATATTCCGAAATTACTCACATCAGACCGTAGACCGGAGAGGAAATACATGACAATCAAATACAAGAAGACCAAAAGCACAGTTGTCACCATATCTGAGAGAACTCGGGCCAAACACACAGCGCTGGGCCTCACAAAAGCGAATTTTTTCTGTCGACTCAGGATATCACGACCCTGCATGGCTTCTTCCAGCTCCGACATCTGCAGCCAAGCAAGCAGAATGGAAGAGTAGAAGAGCACACCTCCGCGAGAGTACATACCGTCAGTGGTCTGGGGCTGATCGTAGAACATGGATCCAATCAACAAGCCATATATCACGCAAGAAATCAACTTGATGTACAGTGAGCCCGTATGTCCTTTCAGCTGCCACATTTGACGCTTCGCGCAAAGAACGACCTGTCGGAAAAGCGAAATCGTATATGGCGACTTGGACGAGACAAAGCGTGATTTATCACTCTGCACCGTCTTCTTGAATTCCTCTACGCTGTCGCACTCCGAATCCACTAGGCCGGAAGACCGACCGACAAACTTCTGATCTTCGTAGGTTTCAACAGCTCTCTTGATTCTAGCGAATGCAGCACTCTGGCGGAAAGCGGCTTCTAGTTCGATGGGGCCCTTCGGCGCGCGGTTTTCCCATCCAGCACGGAACCGCCGTCTTTCAGGCAAGGTGATACTAGTCAGAAAATCCGAAGTTGTTTGCATATCAGCGCACTCATAACCCAGCTCTTCGAAGTAGCGCTTCGCCTCGTTGGCAGATCCTTGGTATAGCATGCGGCCCTCATCAATGAGCAGTACCTTATCCACCAGCTCATATATAGCATCTGAGGCTTGGTACAAGGTGAGCAAGGTTGCTTTGCCACAGGTATCGGTCATGATACGCAGACTGCGTGCATAGTCGAGTGCAGAGGACGCATCCAGTCCTCTCGTGGAATTATCCCAACATGCTACCGATGAATCCGTAGCGAGAGATTCAATGATGGAGATACGCTTGCGCTCTCCGCCGGACACGCCGCGGATATACTCATTTCCCACCAAGGTGTTCATGGTATGCGACATGCCAAAAACCCGCCCATAAATCTCTAGGTACCGGGGAATCCTCTCCCGGTAACGCTTGGGGGTCTTACTTTGCAGGGCAAACTCAAGCGTTTGACGCACTGTCAG